GCTTAATCTCCACGACTTCCTCGTCATACAGGATAGCATTCCAGAAACTTCATGTTCCGCTGAAGCAAAAAAACAGCAATGCGTGATCTAAAGGATAATTATTCAGATAAAAGACCAGCTTTCTCTCTTTTTGCATTTTTAATTCCTAAACTTTTTTTGAACTAGTCGCCGTTCTTATCTGTGGTCGAATATTGGTTGAAGGTATGTTGCTACTGGTACAAAGTGCTTCCTCCACACCAACTACAGCGATTATCCCGCAGGGCAGTAAGGATGTCTTGACTCTGGAGCTCACAGATTTAGCTGGGGTTTTGTGAACTTTGACAGCTCGCTGATGTCCTAAAAACACTGATAGGATGACACTGGTAAGACTATTCTGTCGCGCTTCTCTGTAGCAACGCGAAAGTCGAAGAAACACCCGTGGACGATCTTTTGTGTTGGGCAAAATACGTGCCGTTTGGGATACTCAAGGGCCACGTTGCTCTCATGCACGGCAATTACCAATTGCACATGCGAAGGAACAAGCAACTACGTATTGTGCCATTTTAAGCCCAACTAGGATGGTCAGTTTCCCCCCTTCTCGTGAGCTAATTTCAAAAGGCCGGTCTCCATCAAGCGTACACGTTGCAGTGCCGGTGTATGCGGAGTTGCAAGTTCAGTGCGGAAAGTTGTCCGCATTGTTGGATTCGGAATCATCGGTGCTAGAAGCTTCCCTGGATTGCGGCGCAGACTCAGCAGTTTCTGCATCGGCAAAAGTGGGGTTTCAGTATATCTTCATTCGTTTCCTTGTGCTGTGTAGATCATTTATCATATTCACACGTGTGTGCTTTATTCAGAAACGTCTTGCGTTGGCCTAACACTCTGTTGTTTGCTTGCCGGCGTTTCCCTAAAGGTGGATTCCTCCCCCCGCTGCGCAGCAAACTTAGTTTCTTGCATGGTGTTGAGTGCAGTGTTACTTACCGTTTCCTTTGACTTATTGTGACCTCATATTGTAGGTTGTGTATGGTAGTTCGTCTCTTGCTAACTTTGATGATGGGCTTTCTAGATTTGCTTGCCGAACCCGCTAAGGAAATTCTTCCGAAGATTTCTGTCTTATTCGGAATCATGAGGTCGATGGTTTGGGGAGGTTTCTACCATTTGGGGCGGTTAGACCAATTTCTCTTGTGATATTTCCTATTTTTTAGAGAACTGGACGTGTGGATATGTTTTTATTTCATCGTGGCTAGCTCCTAGCGACGCGCGTTGCGGCTGCGTCTCAACCCCGCCTCCACCCCCCCATGCGGCGGTATGTCCACTGGGCCGGAGGGATCCGATTCATTAAGTTTCGACCCAAGTCACAGTAGTGTATTTTATTTTTCCGCATTGTTCGTTACTTTCTCATAGCGGTTGTTTCATTCTCTCTTTTTAAAAAAATGGTGCGCGTTTTGTCTTTCACATCTGTTGCCGTGGTCTCGCTTTTGGGCATTGGACGAGCCCGCGCCCAAGCCACAGGAGCGGAAAATACCGCTAGTAAGTTCCCCTATACTCTCACAGTTTTAGCACAAGAGTTTCGGTCCATGCTTCGGCATTTCTTGCTCAACCGCAAGATGGGTTGCAACTATGCTGAGTCTGGGCTTCCTGCTTTTCTCAGACTGCCTTTCTGCGATCAACCTCGGCCGTACAGCGAAGCTCGATGTTAGGCCGTCCACGCTGGTCATGGATACTAGCTTGGCTCAGCTAGCAAAATCCGTGATTAATAGTGGAGATCTTGTTGTTTCGGATTCAAATTGTGTTCTGCACGACGGCCTGAAGCCTACAGACGTACGTCTGTAGAAATTTGTCTACCGCTTGAAGACCACACCGATGTGTTTCGTGGGCCCTAATCTTATCCCCTGCTTGTTCTTATTTCGCTTTCAGATGAAAGGCATTGTGCTCGAAGGCACCTCGAAGACACCGCCTACTGCAGATGAATATAAGGCTATTATTCAGGGGGTGATTACGAATGGCCTTGCCGCTCTTGGTTCTTCTTACTCAGCGGATACGATGTTCGACAGCAATGTCTATGCCACCTTTGCAGCACAAAACCTTGCATACCTCATGTTAGCTGATGCGCAGAAAGTTGGGTGCGCAGTGTCCTCCAATTGCAGCTCCGGAAAAAGCTATACATACTGCAAGTTTGATACGGAGCTTCACGATAACTCCAAACCCTTCACGTGAGTTTAACAACTACACTGCGTACGGTTGTGCAGGCTGCTGGTTCGGTCCACCTTTTGAATCGAAACTATCTCTTTGGTTGTAATGCGATGTGTTTCAGGGCATCGTCCTTCGCAGCATTGAATGCTCGCCAGGCAGCCGGAGTCAATATTTCGACGTTGCCAGACACCGCTATCGATACCCCTTTAAGCGGTTCTAGCGGGAATGGGATGACATCATACCCTGCGACCGCGCTTTTGGTCCTGTCCCTCCTCGGTTTTCTTAGTGCTTAATAGCTTGCCAAATTCATTTGGCGACTGTTGCTAGAGTTGTGCCCTTGCTTTGAGAGCTTCCGCTGTCGGTTTCTCTGAAGCTCTTTTCCTCTGCAACCTCGTCTTCTAAGGCAATTTTGGCTGCTGGTTTCTTGGCGTTAGGGTTCGTTCGTCCTTTTGCCACCTGCTGCTATTATTGCTGCTATGGATTCCACAGTGATCTGTGTTTGCGAATCACCCCTGTACTAAATTGGCATCATATCTATCCCCATTTTTGGGGTGTCGGCAGTATGCTTTCGCACTTTGTTCGCTGCTGTTGTGCTCTATATTTCATCGTCTTTTTGCGCGTGTTGCTTCTTTTGTAGTTTTCTGGCGGGCATTTAGTTCGTCATTTCACTAGCAGTGAAGTGGTATTCGCCCCAATTTTTGTGCTTCCGATTAATGGGACACGCGCGAAACGACAAAGCCCGGCTGTAACCGTTAGGTATGTAGAACCTCGGTGGAGCCGATGAAGCTCATGCGTTTAAGGTGCGTTCTAAAATCCTAGCACCAGTAAACGGTCTTCTGCAGTTTTGCTTCTTTGGGTTGTTTTGGACTTTCTGAGGAGTAGTTTCCGGTGAACAAAACTTGAACAATGGTAAACTGCAAAATATTACAGTTGGCACATCAACGGGATTCTATCTAATTGGGAAAGGTTGCTGTCGGCAGCATTAGGTTTCCAGTCAGACACTTTGTTTGGGTTAGTGTGTCGTTAGGGACTCGTTACTGATCTACCCGTAAGGCCTGTAGTGGATTGTTTTGAGACGGGGGTTTGGAGCATTTGTTACGAAGCATTATGATCTGTGAAGGAATCACGCCTTCTAGCAGAAGTCATTTTTCGTAGATTGTTCAGTAAAGATGTGTTTCTGCATATGTTAGCTTTTAGTTGAACAGGGAGGGGGGGAATTACTCTTTGGCAAAGCTTCCCCTTGTCAGATTCCAGTGGCGCGGTCAACGCGTGAGGATGCTTGTAGTCAAGTCGACCTAAGGATGCCCCACGACACAAAGGACACTTTACGATGCTTTCTTTCGTTGGCTTTTTTTGGGCAGGCACTTTCGAACCATGTTTTTGCAGTGCGTGAATTTTCTTGTGGGGAAGACGGCTTTTTCAGCGGTTGCCGTGTTCGCAACTGAGGACGGGGAGTGGTACCATCCTCGCCTCCTGCATGCAAACTGGAGGAAACATCGTGCCAGTCCACATGCAGCCTCTTTTTCTTCCAACTTTCTGTTCAGGGCTGTGCTCTTGATGGTAATGTTCCTTTATGCAACCCGGTTACTACATGGCATTTGTGTTTGAGTAGGAGGCCAGTACTGGGGCTTAGCTCCGTTGGGAGTCTCAAACGAGAGATTAATTGTAAAAGATGGTACGCAGCTACTGGCAAATTCAGCATAGGACTGATTAAAGGAGGTCCATGATAAGCTGCCGTCTTGTTTCCAGGATGGTAACATTTCCGAATTTCAACGTGGCACGCTGGTCGGTGTGGCATGGAGGATCGAGTCATGTAGCTTGTGCGAAACAGTTTGCTGCGGAGTACTACCAAACTTCGCAAAGGAAAAATCTTCAAAAATACCTGGCTTAATTTAACCTGCCGATGGCGGCATTTGTTACAAAGCATGAGGCGAGGGGACGGACAGGGCGTTTCACTGCTGGATGTCCCCATAAAATTTCCTTCGTAGTTTTGGAGTGAATTCGCGTATACTGGTCATTGTGCTTATACAGTATTATACAACTGAGCTTCAGGGCTGTGTTTTCACCTGTATTCTAATGTTTTGACGACAGGAAAGGAGGCAGCGCCGCGCGAGGGGCTACCGTTACCGGAGGATCGCTTCATCGTCCTTGGCAGATGACTGTCTTTTTAGGCCTCACCTGTCGTCTGTCGAGTCCTTAGACTGGAAATGCCGTACACTAGCAGAGAGAGATATGCCAGCTGAACTGAATTTTTCTGAAGCGCGAGCGAAGGCACGTAGCGGGATTTACAGGGACGCACAGAGACTTTTTCTCGAAGAGCTGGAACAGATCAAAGTCAGAATAGATACACAGCAAGCCAATTGAAGTCCTTTCCGTTAAAATGGTCTTACAAAATCCAATTTCATTTCCTACTATTTAAAACAGACTACGCTGTATCAGTGACTGCTGAGGCATATCATATTATAAAAGCAGCATGATTTCTAGATACTTATGTGAACACCTGGAAAAGAAGAAAACTATCGCTCTGAAAAAATTAGGAAGTAACACCGAGCTTATGCTTTATTTGCTAGTACTCTGGCGCCGATGTTTATAGTCTCTCTTTTGTATAATCGGTTTGCTACTTTTTGTGCTTGGCTTCTTGCTGTTTGCAACATGGCCTGAAGGGATTCACCCAATTTCAGCCTGCCGTGGGTCCACAAGCGAAGGAAAACCTTGAGGAGAGGAACTCAAGGGCGACGGTAAGAAAGGAATGGTAGGAATGTAAATGCCTCTTTAAAACCATCTGTCAAGCAACGTTGAGGAGTATGCACATCACGCAGCACTAAATGAAAATGGCAGTGAGTAGCGCGACACTATCGAGAGTCAAGGCTCTGGTTTTGTTCTGCATTACTGGTTTAGACAGGCTACAGTACTCAGCTAGTTGGGCGCCCCAATTGTTTTGCTTACCACAGGAGCTGCGGAAGCGAATGCTCGAGACCGACAATCAGTGGAAGGAAAGGGGCACATGTGTACAGGCGACTGCTTGTGTATCGTCCTCAAATTCTGTTCTAAGCAAAGCACAAGAGGCACAAGAAGAAAATAGAGAAAGCGTTCGAGACATGAACAGCATTCTACTGACGTGCAGAGTGGATGCAATCAGAGCCAAACAAATTCAACTCAAAAGGTGATAGTTGCATAGAAGAAAATTGAACGCAGCACGACAAATAACATTCGAAAGAAGTGAACATCTGAAGGAAGCAGTCTTTACTTTTTTCTAGGCTCTAAGAAAAATGTTAAATATCACTGAAGTCAAAAAGTCAAAAGATTGCTTGTATCTCCTTGGATGACTTGTTTTCTCCTTCTTCTTTGTTCGTCAACACTACAGATGAACTAAACTTTTCGATAGGCGGTTGTCCCTGGTTGCTCTTTTCTCCTCTTTCTTCGCCTGAAGTTGCATTTTTTAAAGAACCGCTAACTTTTGTCCCTAATGGCCTATTCACTCTGAGGCACTGGAGTTCGTAGTTACTGTTCACTAAGCTGCTTCAAGTTATAAAGTGAGAGTTAATTTACACGCAGGATTCGATCAGAGAGACCATCCACGTGTTTTCGGCTTCTGCTCTCCTCTCACATCTATTCCCATGTTCCTTTTGCCTTGAGAGACCTGCTTTCTTGCAATGCATAGCACTACAAGTGAATTAAGTGGAACATACACTGCCTTACTCTCTGAGAGAAAAGTATTCGATTCACGCCACTTCGCTCCAGGCAGGCGGAAGAAGAAAGAGAAAGACTGGAGAAAGAATTAGATGCGAAAATCGAGGAAGAAAGGCTAAAAGCAACTAAAACTATGGAAGAAAGGGAGGCAGCAAGACAAGACAAGCTCAGATTGCAGGAAACAATGATTAAGCAACAAATCGACGAGAGACAGGTGAACGATAAAATCATAGATCAGATATTTAGGGTCAGCACTAACTATCGTTAAAGATTACGCACAGCCGGCTAGCTAAAACGTAAAATACATGGAGAGGCTTGCACAGGAGGAAAGGTCAGAATGCATTTATACCCCTTTTGGGATAGACACCCTTCTCTCTTATAGCGTACTGTTCCTTTTGACCGCATCTGATATCTTTTGCGCGCGCTTTTTGCTGCCCATTTAAGCCATATAATATGCTGGTCAGTTTCACCTTGTAGCTCATCCTTGTTATGCAATGCTTCCGCAGAAGAAAAGGCAACTGGAACTTGAGGAAACGAAGAAGGAACGTGTATTGGTCCTGCAACAGATGGAGGCACTCAAGTTAGAAGATGAATTGGCGAAAAGGCAAAAGGAAGAAACAGCAAGGAAAATGCAGATTGAAATCAACGAGCACAACAGAAAGATCCTCACAGGTAAACTCAAAAACCACACTATTTTTACACAAGCTTTTCCTCTTGGTAGTTTCTGAGCGCTAGAAATTTTTCGTCGTGGGCATAGACGCATATCCCTGGAGTCATGACAGAAATCCATGCTGCGGGGGAGTCGACGCAGCAAGCCTATTTTAAATGATGTATTATCAAGAAGAATGTTGATTTAGAAAAATATCAGCAGTGAAACAACATACAATAACAAATATTCATATAATAACGCTTGACTGCAGGGGTAATGAGGCACATTTGTTCCTGAATGCCCTACATCTATAGTTACCTCCAATAGCAAATAGACGAGCAAGGGGGAGAATGTACAAAAGCCAATACAGCTCGATGAGCTACGACTTTTCATCGCTGCTACAAAACATCGTAATTCATAACTTGATTGCTAAGAATAATGGATTTTACACAGAAAAAAGGCAAAGGGAGGCGTTGGATCAGTTAGAGGAAGAGAAAATATTGCAGTATGACAGAGAAAAAACTGAAAGAGAGAGAGAACAAGAGGCAAGGAGACAGGAGGCTGAAAAGGCGAAACAAAAGGGATATGCAGCAATCTGTGCTAGGCAGGATAAGGAACTAGAAAGGGCTGCACAGCTGGACGCTCTAAGGGCCAGGCGGTAAACGCAGCAAATCGCTTTTGAACATAAAAATAATTGCGAATTTTGCAAATCAGCAGTCTATGCGGGCATGCAGAAACACCTACTTGTTTGTGCTTTTCTGCACCGCGCCTCTCTGTCTCTGCGAACGCGTCTTTAGACCATGCAGTGTCCAGTTTACGTAAGCAAAGATAACGTCAAACACCATTCAACGAAAAGAATATGAAGTAATACATTACAAAAAAAATTGTAAGTGGGTTTTTGCAGGGCAATGGAAGAGCAGGATCGACTTGAGCGCCAACGGGAAGAAACAGAAAGGCGGAAGCAAAAGAGAATAAACGAGGAACTAACAAGGGCGCGGATAGAGCAGCAACGAGAGAAGATGCTAAGATTAGTCGAAACGGTTTTAGCGGAGAAAAGAGAGTTTGATAGAGTTGCTGCCACGCAGAAACAGCAAGCTCTAGCCGAGCGTTCGAAGAGAGAGGCCGAAAAAAACAAAAGACTGCAGCATATGAGACAACTTGAAAAGCAAATACAAGCGAGGGCAACTGAATTACAAAAGTTTAAAATACAACAGCATGCAGAATTAGAAGCCCTGAAACAAGTGGAAGAAGAAAATAAACGATGCATCGAGCGAGCACGGGTGCAATACACAGAGCGAGCAAAAATAAACAAACAAAAGTATACATAAATAACAAGAGAAGTAAAATCCGCGAAATACTAAACAAGAGCAAGACAAAATGCTATATCTAGTAACTTTAAATTAAATGTGTATCTCTGAATCAGGACAGAAAATTGGCCGAGCTGGGGAAGATGGATAATGCCGAGAAATATATTCAGCAGCTTCTCAGGGTTTGTAACAAATAAACAGTAGGAACTTGAGGCAGCGTACAACACGGTTTCAAAATAGTAAAGTGAAAACGTAAAGCATTCAAGAAAGAAATACAAGGAATAAAAGAACTGGCTGGTTGGTTATAGATTAACTATCAGCCCAAACGCAAGGTTGCTTGTTTTTTCGAGTTTCTCGCTGAAATTGGCCTGATGGGCCTTGAAGCGCCCCTTCTGTACCTCGATGGATACAAGCACATAGGAAAGAATATTGAGAAAACCGGTCAAAAAGACAGAATGTGAAAGCAAAATGGTAGCAAGAAATGTCTAGTGACAAAACTGCCGGGTGTCGTTCGGGTCCCTGACACCTGAGGACAACCAGAAAGCACGCATGCTGAAACATTAAATACCTCCACGTGACCAACAACACTAATAAGTATACAAACACAGTTTAGAAGACACACCAGTAGTTGGAAGCATAGGAATAGAAATATGCACTACGCTGCACGCAATAACGGCAGTGCTTTAACCCTAAAACAGCCCCTAACATGATGATCACTTAGCCATAAACGTAATAGTGTAGGGCACCTCATACGCAAACACAGATGAATTGGGGATAGATGCACCAAGTGGGGTTAGCACTAGGACAACGGAGAGATATCAGTCCATCGAACACCCTGTGTCATTTTTATCCACAACCAATGCTAGCCAACTTCACTTCAGTGCCCCGATAATCATCGCTCGCGCTCCTTCGCGCTTTCAATATTCCCTTTCATGAAAGCCACCTTGTGCGGTCCCGATCTCACCGTATGGATTGGCCGCTGAGAATCGATGACCGCTGCCTCCAAATCGTTTGTTCTTCTTTTCAAGATTGTTGCTTCCTCTTCCCTTTGCCTTCAAATTCAGCTCCACCTTAGGAGGGACAGAAAAACCAAACGCCCGTGCCACCCGCTGCAGGTCTAAGTTGTACACATTAAAGATATCTTTCAATCCGTGAGATGCATACGCCTGCAACAAACATACAAAGCAACGGACGTACACACATGAGCTCACCGACATAAAACCACAATATGCACAAAAGAAATCCAGCATTTTGAGGGTGCGTCGCGCTACGGGTGGAGTGCTATGCGGTGAGAAGGCATAAAGTAGGGGGCAACCAATTCACAAGGTCAACGCAGCTGTTAATGCGCAACATACAACGAGTTGTGATAAAATCGTATAGCTAAAAGGAGTACACGCCCTCACTATTGTGCATGCACAGATGGAGGCAATAAATGTGGCGCAAATCTAAGTGCGCATGGCCACGAGGCTTGATACTGTGCAGGTCGATCCGGAAGAAAACGTATTGATGGGGCATGCCTTCGTGTGCTGCCAGCTGACCCATTCCAACATTAGAAGGTTTGATGGCATAAATGCTTAGGTAAGAGAAGTGCTGTATGTGCCTTACATGAAGGTAGGATCGGTAGGCGTCGCGAGACGACTTATGGAGATAGTAGTTCTTTTCGATCAGCCTTTCCAACTGTGTCTGGACATTGGCTAACTTCGAGCTGGGAAAGCTGTACTCATTCAACGGAACTCCTGCTTGCCTCAAATAACGCAAAAATCCTATTTCTTCAGGCATCAAAAACATCAAAGCTTTGCCCTTGCCGCCCGCACCACGTGCTGTGCGGCCAACACGGTGAATGTACTCCCGAGGATCATCAGGGGGATCTACTTGCACTATCCAGTCTACCTAAGACAAAAAACAGCAGGCGCTATATAGGATATGCTACCAAATGGCCAGTATCTCTCAAAAGTAACTGTACAGCACCGCGATTCACAACACATCTATAAAGGCGCAATGCTTACTTTGGGAATGTCTAAGCCCCTTGCAGCAACGTCAGTACACAGAAGAATTCCCTTCTGAGAAAAAAGCCAGACGCAACAAAAATCGGTGAGATGCGATATATACGGAAGTCCGATGAATGAGCTCCTTTGGACAAACATTGCGCAGATATGTAGCACGTCACGCCTGCGCAAAGAGAGCAGAGAATGTTCGAGTTCAGATTCCCCCAACGATTTTATCCCTTACTTCGGCCTCGCAGAATTCGTAATACGTTGACATTCGTGCTCCTTGCTTTTTTTTCCCGTGGATACAGGTAGTCTGGAGGTCGATGTAGTTGAATAACTCATCGTGGAACCGGACAGACATGCAGCTGCTGAAAAACACCATTACCTTCTTGTCTCGGTTCTTTTTCAGGAATGTAAACAGCAGCAGAAACCGCTGCTCAGCTGGACAGATAACGTATCCCTGCTGTAGACCCGAGACAGTGGCCACCGAATTCTGCACCTGAATAGTATAAGCACCCATCCCAAAAGGCAGAGCTCGCAAGACATCATCAACAAGATTAGCCCCACGAATATCACTAATCGACACATGCAAAACAAAGCATCCAGCGATGCCTGCGTGTCCATATGCAGAAAAGTAAGCCTTAAAGCACGCGCCAATTCCAATTTAAACACTACGAAATTCCCTGTTTGTCCAGGTTTATTAATCGTTATCCTTTTCCTTGAAAAAACCTCAATCGCATGATCTGGATTAACACATTACGCAGTAGCAAAAGCCAAGGCTGCGAATCCTTGACCCATAAGCATTGATGTGTAGAAAGCACTAACCTGTAGAAAAACGGGTTTCTTGAGTGAGAGCCTGGCTAGATCAGCAACTTTAGCGGTTTGAGTTGCGGAGAATAAGCACGTTTGTCTCGTCTTTGGAAGAAGCGCCAAGATGGCATTCAGCTCCTCCTCGAACCCGATTTCTAGGATTCTGTCTGCCTCATCTATCACTAGGGAGAGCAGATTCTTGTAAACAAATCCCTGGATACAGAAACGGGAAGAAGAATACCAAAAGCTTGGTGCGTCTGGCGCACGTAGAAAGGACGCACCATAGGCGGCAAACATTGCGCGTAAGCCACAAACAGCACCCGAGACCTTTGATTAGCAGCATCAGCCCCTCAAGCCTCTACACCTTCGCCCAACCCTACCTTGGTGTTTTGCATGTGGTCAAGCAATCTTCCTGGAGTAGCCACGAGGACATTAACACCCTTGCACAATTTCTCGGCTTCGTTCTTTCTGTTGGCGCCCCCCATAACCAGCCCCAGAGTTTGCGGGAGGTACTTGGCCAACTCCACCGCTACATCATAGATCTGCAGAGACAGCTCGCGGGTAGGTGATATCACCAAGACCCCTGTGCCATTACGCGGCAAGAACTTGACTTGATACAGCAATTCCATAGCAGGGACCAGGAAGGCGAGCGTTTTGCCAGAGCCTGCTCACGAACAACCTCGACAGCAGCAGGAAGAATCCAGCGCATAAGACTGAAGCCGAACAGCAAGCGAAGAACCGAACAAGTGAGCAAACAAGCACCCCAAATGCACAGCAGAATCAACAAAATCCCCCAGCAAAAAGAAAAAGAGCACTGGAAGCCGCAGCACATGAGAATCTTGCATGTAGTGACCCCAAAGAGGCACAAACGGACGAACATACAAACCAAATTCCATGAACCAAGTATACCGTAGCGACCGGAACATGAACTGCAACAGTCTTGGCACGACAGGCATAGCCACGAAATTGAATACCTGTTTTTGCAGCGCCAAGCACATCCTTTCCCTCGAGAAGTCGGGGGATGGCTTTGGCCTGAATCTCTGTAAGCCTCTCCATCTTCATTTCCCCTAGTGCCCTCTTGACTGGATCGCAAATATCCAGTGACTCAAACAAGACATCGGAAAAAAACCCCCCGGAAGGGCCTGGACATACAGAAAACAAATTCGAGAGGGACGACGCAAAAATTCTCCTTTTGATGTTGCATCGACTACAACATAAGAAGTATAAGGCTTTGTAACAACCTGCAATGCAGTACAGTTCGCGCGAATGGGGGCCATAAGGTCGCTCTCGGCCTACGGAAACAAACAATTCCGGTTTCTTCCCAGCCCATTTCTAGTACCTGGTGGTGTAGAGGAATCATTGTGAGGTTCTAAGCTGCTTAAAGCAGATGTGGTGCCTTCTTCTGGAGGCCCCTGCGCATCGACGGCAATGGGAACTCCGCTTTCCTTTATGGCCTCATCGCCCTTGACAGCGATTTCTTGGGCTGCTCTCCGCGCTTTCGCCTTGTGGGTAGCAGTGGGGTCTCCTTCTGCAGGCAAAGAGGCATCTTCGGCTTTGATCTTTCTCTTCTTGATGCCCAGGTTTGCCTTCTCTGGTATCATCTTGCCCTTCCTTTGTTTTTCTTTTGTTTGCTTCATCGTGGCGCAAGCAGCAACAGCAGCGGCTCCCGACTTTCTAGTTCTCCTCTAGAGAAAACTTCAAAACGACTCCATCAAACGCATGAAGGCAAAGCTAACGGCCAACGAATGAGGCAAGTTTGCGTGCAGCACCATGTCCAATGATCCATGTACTGGAGCACACGAAAACACCATGCAAGGAGATAAGGGGCTACGGTGTCGCCTCCGAACCCCTGTCCCCTTCGGCTCCCTTCCCGAGCTCCTAGCACCGTTGCGATGCACGAGATAGCGGTTACGGAGGAACAGAAACGGGAGAATCCAAAGGCTTGTCGTTCCCCTGAGAGATTGGAAGATCGGACTTCCGCGACGCACTAAGCCAAGCTACTGCGAGATATCACTATGAGAGAAGCCAAGCATCCAATACGAGTAAAACAGAGAATAGTAATATTGAAAATGCAAAAGAGAAAGGTGATCGTAAGCCTCAGTTCCCTAGCCGCCCCACACAGGCCAAACCGTTCGCCTTCCGGGGGCCCCCGGAGAAAGCAACAGTTGGTAGCGTAAGCGCCTTATAGGGTTTCATAACATGAGCAGAAACCCTATAAAACGCACAAAGCGACAGCTTTCAAATTTAAAGGGGACTCATGTTGCTTTACCACTTGCCCTTAGCTCCGATCCATCCGTAATACCCAGCGGTGCATCCAGCGTGTGACATGGGGCTGCCTATACAATGCAGGGGTGGCTCCGCCCGCAGAGCCGGGGGCCCCTAGTCCCTCTTCTCCCCTCTTTTTTGTAAGGGCGTAAAGCGCTTCTTGTCGCTTGTAATACAGCAACATTTCCATTACTCTCAGAATCGTAGACCCAGAGCCTCCGGCATTCAACTGGAGGGAATTCCCAGATCCCCCGAGCCAGCATCTTTGACTGTTACCCAGCCACCTCTGCGCGTGGAGGCTCCGCTGAGCAGGTTTCTCGCTTCAGCCAGCCGGAAGGCATCTTTCGAACAGACAGGGCCCCACTGAGACCGCAGGTAGGGGCACTCAAATATTGCGTACTCAGGGGCCCCCCATCGGGGTTGTCAGCCATGACTCCGCCCTTGACGGACCCAGGAGATGCTTCCACCAGCAGCAGCACTGCAGCTGCTGGTGCTGCTGCTGCGGAAGGGCTCCCACGCCAAATAGGCGACGCGAAATCGCCAAACGCATCCGCAGAAACAGCGACAGCCCCACCCATACCAACAGGGATACCTTCAGAAGAGGGGCCCCCGACCCCCCAACAGAACTCCAGAGGCGAAGTCACCGAGACTTCTGTGCCTCCCGAGGGGCCTCGGGCTGTTGTGCCGCAAACAGCAGCAACACCCCCGCTGAACTTGGCGGCTGTATCGGCGCCTGCGTTGACACCAGACGTAGTGGCTGCACCCAAGGCAGCTGTAGAGCCAGCAGCACTGCCACGTGACTCGACTCCAGCGGATTCAGCATGCGCAACAGCAACATCAGGAGCTGCTGCTTTGGAAGCTGCCACGGCACCAGCACCAGCGGCCTCAGCAGAGCCAGGCGCAGCTGCACCACCAGTGGCAGCCACAGGAGAGGCTTCCCCAGGATCTGTCTCGACATCTTCTGACTCAGGACCAACAGTGTTCGCATCAGCACCTTCTTCTGCGGAAGCACAGGCGGCAGCAGTTCGATCCACGACAGCTCCAGGCCCTTCTGGCCCCGCGTTGTCTGCAGTGGTTCATGCTTTTAACTGTTGCAGGGGAGAGCTTTGTTTGACAGATGTAGAACGGGTGCACATTGAACAGTTTCTAGGGGCCTCTGGCGGTCACTGGCGGCTTGTCGCACTGCCGGAGTCGGCATCTGTTGTGGGTCGCAAGACGAGGAAAGCAGCAGTGGCAAAACGAGGAGGCACCAGCTCAGTGGGTGCCCCAGCCAGCCACACGGCGGCTCAGGAGCGGCAGCGACGACAGTCCACGGCTAGTCATAACAGCCTCACCGCTAGCTACCAGCCAGACCTCCCCAAGACGCGTTCCTCGCGTCTACGCACGTTGCAGTCTCTTGGCAGCGAGGGTGGTGGGGAGGGCACTTTCGAAGAAAGCCGGGGAGGCTCCAAGGGGCCCCCCAGCGGGGGCGTTCCCTGCAGCGACGCAGCTGACTGGCCACGTCGCATGCAACGGATCCTGTTAGAGCTCTGCAAGCAGCCCGTGTGTCTGCCCTTTTTGCCCCGAGTATCGCCTGCAGAGGCTCATTATGCAGAGTTGGCGAGAAAAGTTTACCCAGCAGTGCCACTGAGTCTTGAGACCGTCTTGGAGAGGCTGGAGAACGGATGTTATAGCAGAAGTCTGGAGGTGTTCAATGACGTATATTCCGTTTTCATGTGCGCTTTCCGGTATTACGAACCCGGAAATCAGTATTGGATGATGGCCCAAGAAGCTGCGCTGGCCTTTGGGGCTCTCACCGCAGGAGAACCTCTCTGCAATGTTTTTGCACCAGCTAGCGCTAGCCAAGACCAGGGGAATCAGGAGTGGAACAGAGCGGGAGACGACGTTTGGGAGGCGACCAGGGGCTCACACCTCAAAGGAGCGGCTAAGATGGGATCGCAAAAGACAAGATCGGGTACAAACCGAGACTTTCAGTCACAGGCTGTGTTTGATGATAGTATTTCTGGTTCTGTTGACCATTTTCTGGACGCGTCGCTATCAGCCGATAGCGAGTCTGCGGTCTGCACTCAGCTTGGGAAGCGTCTTTGTGCACAGGTCTTGCAGAGTTTCGTATTGTTTCTCTTTTGTGGGCTTCTGTATCATCTGTACGTAATCGGTTTTCCGGAGAGGTGCTCCTGTTTCTGTTTCTCAGTCCTCAAAGGGATGAGCCGAGGAGGCAGGGGCCCCACGCCCCCTCCTGTCGCTGCAGAGGCTCCCGTAACCGTCGAGGAGCGTCAGGCCTTTCAGGAACTTCTGACGCAGATGAACATGGATGCACATTTCCAGGTAAAGAAAAGAGGCCATCTTCGGATCGGCGCGACCATGCATGCATGCGTCTGTGCGCGGGAATACGAACTTCTTAATGCGTAGCTGCATTTAGGGACGTGGTACAAAGGGGGCGTTCCATGGAGGACGTTCCGGAAAGGGTTCCTACAAGCTGGCCTTAGCGAGGTCTCTCAAACGGATTTCAGGGAGCGTCGTGGAGGTGGACAGGGAAGAGGTGTACGAAGCCTGGGGCAGAGGGAAGCCAGTAGTCAGTCTGTACAGTAAACGATGTAGTGTTTTGGCCTGTCTGTTGTCTTTTGCCTTGTGATTCAGCTGTACAACACGTTTAAGGACCGGGCAAAGTGGATATCCTTTGACACTGGGGAGGTCGAGCTGGATGACGGCGCCACGCTGCCGTTCGTCTTCAGGTCTGTTGCTGTGGCTAGCACTGCTGCTTGTTGTCTGTGGTTTTGCTGGCATTGCAGCTGCTTGTGTTTTCAATGCTTTTGTGCCTTGTTCCTTGGATTGTTGCGTGCATGTGTAACTCGAAAAGTGTTGCTTTTTCTGTCGGCGTAGGGAGATGGTACAGTGGTGTAGGAGCCAAGTAATGAACGCCCAGGGTCATACAGCTGCCAATCAGCAGCCCTTTGGAGCAACGCAGCACGCGAGTGCTGAGGGATCGGTGAGCTGGCTACTGGGCCTTGCTTGGTTCACCAGAAGCACCCTTGTACCAGTAGTCCGTATTTTCGCCTTTTTTGCGCCTTTTGCATAGAAACACTACCATACAGAGTGCAGCAGTAAGTAGGGTTCCGATCTATACCAAGGGATTTATTGACGGAATGCCGCATTTTCTCTGTACACCCTGTTGCACCAGCATGTATTCGCATGTGTGAATCAGAGGAGGCTAAACCGTAGTGCTATAAGGAGCCATATTTATTTTTTCCTATTTTCTTTCTCGAAGGCGTATGCCTGCATCGTAGCGTGCATGGCTGCTCCCTTTTTTTGGGCGTATAATTCGCCATACTGCGAACAACGACCTCAAACAACCTATGGGTCTATTTCCATGTTGTGTTTACATGGTAATGCTAGATACGCCTTTCAGTGTGCTTGCATGCGTCTGGATGTATGATAACCCGGGTGGAAACAGGGGCACGATTACCCCTAAGAGGCATTCATGCATCTGTTATTTTGTTCGCAATGTATTCTTTTGTGGCATATTCCACATCGTTTTGTTTTTCCAATTGGGTTTCCTTGTCGCACAGAACGGTTTAGGGCCACCGGCGAAACGGTTTAGGACCTCTGATGGCAGCGCCTCCTCCGACTCCTCTGATGGTTAGTCTACTTTGTGTTTTTTCAGCTGCCGGAGTGTTGTGTTCCTGCACTCTTCTGCTTATTCTTTTAAATCTGCTAACAAGAGTTCCATCGCATGTATATACGGTGTCTTTGGTGCTGGCCTGTCGGGGGGATTCTCTACGAATTTTATGCGTGCATTGCGGTGGTCGAGTTTCGTCTTTTATTCAGATTTGAGCGACGAAGACTTTTAACGCGTTTTTGATTCATTTTTCTGATTCGTTTTGCTTCTCGACTCCTTCATGGCCACCTCAAGACGCTCCCCGTTCATGTGTTTTTTCGTACCACTGTCGCGACATGTGGGTGGGGAGTAGGACAAGAGGCACATAGCTGACGCAGGCCCTCTGGACGTGGGTCTTCCTCCGCGAAAAAGATATAAGCGGAGGGCAGAAACAGAATTCAATAGGCAAACGGGCACAGAAGAGGGAGCTCATCCGAGAAAAATGAATTGTCGGTAGCAACCGCGCCCGCTTGTCTTTACTGTTGCAGGCATGTATTTATATGTTGATGCCTGTGCTGCTGCACCACTGCAAACCCGCCAATTCAACCGGTTGTGTTGATGATATTTAGATACATGATTTTTTTCCCGACCACTACTAGTAGGCAACGGGCAGGCATCATGGGGTGCATTTGCTGCTACTTCACCTGGGAGCGGCGGCTGAATATGCCGTTTTGGCACTGCCAGCTGCAGCAATCGTACTATTTGCACCTACGATCATAGCGCCGGCAGCCCTTCCCGTTGTTTGCCACGCATACCGAGCATCCTTTATAGCAGTGTTTTTATATCTTCTAAGGGTGACAAAGCAGTTTAGATTGTTCCAGATGTCGAAGCAGTGCCCCTGGCCTCCTCCATTACGAAATGTATCTAGAATTTGCCTTGTCTTCACAGGTGATTCCTTCACCTTCCCCTTCCTTTGCCTCACAAATGCGACTCCAAGTGGCTAGCTGCAGATCCTCCGGGGTCGAAGAGAGGAAGGGGATGCGGCGTTTTGGGTTACCCACTAAGGGGTAGCATGGACCTCTTTCTCGAGCCAATAAGAAAAACGTAATCGGCCAAGTAGGGCAATCTGAAGGAATATGAATCCCCTTAAACGGAGACGTTCAAGGCCACCGGCACTGGCGGACTATCATTTGTCCACCAACCGAACACCACACAGGGGCATCAACCAAAACTTTCACGCTTGAATCATTGTCAGCATTGACAAATAATATATAACGAGGTTTCGTTATACCAACACGGCTATACAGAGGCCTCAGAAAGGAACGAATACGCCCTTCTACCATGTGTGTCGGCTAGCACAAAATTTCCCCTGCCCACATTGGCGCTGTGTCATGCAGGGTAGCCACCGAAGGAAGAAACCATTGGTAATGCAAACAGTTTGCGGAACGTCTGAGGCGAGTATTCTGTGATATTTCTACGGATTCCTGCCCTGATAATCGTAGGGGAGGCAATAAACTTCGGGGCATGCGTGCAGTGCCACCGTCGGCGCACATGCAAAGAATGGTGAAAAGGCATGCTAGTTTCACTGTTTCTACCCCTTTGAAGTAATATTTTTAGCATGCCCTTATCTGTGGATCTTGAACAGCGGGTGATTGCTGCTGGGTCGCTCTGCAGCGTTGCAGTGATGCTGAGAAAGGCATTCTAGTGAGCGTCAGGGAATATTCTGCCAGACAGCCGAAGTACACATCGGCAGAGCTCATTTAGTGTGATTATATCCGTGCATCTATTAGACGGTAGCTGTGGCATTCTTCACCGTGATTCTTATGTACATCGGCCGAATACAACGCAACGGTGAAATCCTCTGCCCTGGCTGGGATTGATAACGAGGCCGCATTTAAGCATAAGCGTGAAAGGCTCTAGGAGGTCCCCCTTATGAATGAACTGGAGAGGGTAGGCGCGTTGCTGGGAGGGCTTAGGTAGCGATCCACTACGGCCTCCTTTTTCGCGTGGTGTAGGAGGCGAAGGTTCCTCAAAGACTTTTCATTACAATAGCTATAGTTATCAAAGAAGTTCTCGTATATTGACTTGCCAGTTAGCCTGTTCGTATATCTGATTATTGGGTAGCAATGTAAGCAATACAAAAAATGACGCAGTGTCGTGTGCACGTGCATTGAATGCTGTGTGCAAGTGGCTGTGAATGCTCGGAGCGCTTTGAGGGTGCAGCTACACACACCCTAACTGTGGCTCTTCCCGTATGCCGGAAATTCAGAGGAGCGTAGGCAAGGAAGGCGGAAAATCCCAGGGCACTATTTAGCCTGGTAAGCCCCTATTGCATTTGACATCAAGTATGTTTCAATGCGAGATCCCAGGTGGAGCGTTACAGGTGGTGGCTTGGGATTGGTGCCTCTAAGGGGCTGGTCGGTTAAAGAAGCGCGTAGGGAAAGAAGAACGATGCATCAACACCCTCTATATATGTATACGGCACTTGTCTTCCCGCTTCTACCATTAGTCTGGAAGGGCGTGAGGACGTCTCTGCCGTTGCCAGTGCCTCGTTCCTTGTGGCAGGTCAACCTACATTGCGGTAGCTAACAAAAAGTTGAGTTCAGTATAACTATCGTAGTATTCAACATTGGCAGCATATGTTCGCTTTGTAAATTAAATTTGCTGCAGAGGAGGGTTGGCTTTGCTGCGCAAGGATGTGAAAAGCGCAACTTTGGGGCAAAATGCTGCTCGCAACTCTTAGCAGATGTTCAAACTGTTTAGACGGCTTTGCCAGTTGCATCACCCAGCATTCCATCTTTCCCTCTTAGTGCAAGCCGGTGGACTGTGGGTCAGGCACGGGGGGAGTTCTTGAAAAAAAAACATGTAACACTGTTCAGTTTCGTTTTGGCATGATTCGAGTAAATAGAGCCCTGTAAAGGCGTAGAGCAAGGAGATACATCAGTCATGAATCGTATGCAAGACGGGATCAGCTTTCACCCCGCAAAGAGTAAAACGGATCTTTGAAATTTAAGGTACGAAGATCTTTGCCCGTGTAGCCTGCGCCATTCAAAAATGCCTTCAGAGTTACGTACAGCCGCCTATCGATGCAGTAGATTGAAAATCTCGTCCGAAGTCCTTGGATGGGGAAGCATGAGTGAAAATCTTCACTCACTTCCAAAAGGGAAGATATCTTTTAGGCTCCCACTGGAAAGACACGTTTACCACGTAGTACACGCCTAGTAGAGAGTTCTTAGGTCTCCATTTTGAAGAGCTCTCCACCTTTTCTGTTTCCATCCCCTAGGATTTCGGCATGAGGGGAGAGGCCGAGACAAATAGGATGCATGTTTGCTGTTCCTCGTGCTGAGTGCATCGGGCAAACACACCTAGTTGCACCCTATAGTGCACTGATCCACAGCGTTGATTGTCATTGCGCTAGCTCTAATTTGCCATGAATAACATATACTAGCAGCCCAACCAAGCGGCATACTTTGGCTAATTCACAACTACAACTAGAATACACGAAAGTGCGGAAGATAGCTTTGCGCTCCAAATAGCTCCTGGAACTTTCCCAAACGCAGAGCCATAGAGCTGCCCGATGTGATTAGTGGCTCAGATATTGTAGCCATATGAAACTGCAAGGCCTTAGACGAAAGTGAAGGGGGAACGGCTTGACCTCCCACAAGAAAGGAGGAATAATTCTTGGTGACAGTGCCAGTGGGCGACTAGGAGAAACAACACGTAGCTGTCTACATCAGTATGGTAGAGCATAGCGGCTACCCTCATACCCAATTGAATTGATGCCTCCATTTTCCTTGCAAATCATTCAGGCTTTCCCCGGGTTTCACCAGTCTTCAAGCATTCTCGGTTCAAGGAAACACCCAACTGTCGGTAATGCACTACTACAAGCAAGCACGTATGAAGCCCGTGATGCAATATGCATGATTTCCTATTTGGCTGATGCTATCAAGCTCACTACATTGCAGGCCCTTCGAGGCAGTACTCCCGACAGGGGCAGTCGTGCACCCTCTGTTACGCCCTCTTCACTCAGCACACAAGAGGATTTTAGCGTTAACCTAGTTTAGCAGGCTTAATTGAAGGAGGAAACTCATGGCGCTAAAAGTGGGTTGCTTCTCTTGCAATTCAGCTGCAGTTCCGGCAGGCAGTACCGGTGGATCAGTGCTTCTTGCCATACACAAATCAAGCAGCTTCTTCCGATGCCTTTCCTTTTATTTTATCTACAGCTAAAAAGCAATTGCCAAGAAGCTAAAAATCTGTTTCTCATAAGTTGAAACTACACGGTCTAGCATTACACAACATTGAACTCAACAGGAAAGAATCAGCACTACTCTCGGCCTGGCAGCCGCAAGTGACGAGGAGTCAAGAATGTCCTGCTAGCTGTACAGGTCATGATTCATTCTTCCCCTCCTTTCCCCGTTAAGCTGTTTACTTAATTCAGCTCCTTTGGTGTCTTGTTTACTCCGATTGCTCCTTGTCATCCAGCAGCCGCAGCAGCACCTGCTGCACTCGGGGACCCTTGGGGGAGAGATGGAGACCTGGAACTGGCAACAAGCTTCAACGCGCACATATGAACCTCCTATACACCCAAAATGAGACGATCTGGGCCCCAAATGGGCATTTCGAGAGGAACAAAAGCCAGAACAACTAGGGAGACCCCACGTCCCCCTGCTGCTGCTGAACTCGGGGGTGCAGCGAAGAGGAGCAGGAAGCAGCTACCTGCGGCAGACTGGGTACTCGGGTCCGTAGGGACAACAGCACAAGCTGAAGCGACACCAGCGGAAGAGGAAGCAGGGCAGGATGTGTTCAAGAAGCACCTAAAGCACATCATCCTGCAGCTGACGCAGAGCAAAGACAGGACGCCGAAAGTTGACGTGTCGCTGCAGACACGGGATACAGCAGAGCTCTTCTTGGAGTACCCTACTTTGCCCCCCGTCCTCTCCACATGCATCGCTCACGGGCCTTCTTCAGACGCTGGGAGGGCACTCAAGCGGGACGGGCACTTCTGCCACTGTGGGGCCCCTCTGGAATCTTCAAACGGGCGCGAGGGGGCAGAGGGGGCCTTTTTTTCTAGGGCCTCGTTTCCCGCCACAGGGGATCCTCGGGTGGTTAGGGCCTTGAGAGTTGCTACGTCCGGGGTGTCGCACGCAGCACGGCACTTCCCCAGTGTTTTATTGAGGTCAAAGGCCTTCCCAGCAGTAGCGAAATCAGGCAGAGCCACAACAGCCACTATCGGGTCCAACGGTAAGAGTGGAGGGAAGCCAGAACTCTTTCAAGAGGCTGTCGAGCGTGAAGAAACTCAGGAAGCAGATAGTGTTGCGGGGGCCCCCTCACGTTCAGCAGCGGAGGGTCTTTTAGAGCCCCCCTCGACAAGTTCCCCGTATAAATCTTCGTACCGTGTAAGCGCCTCCACTGGGCCCCCTCTATCCTTTTGTGAGCAGCGTGTTGCTGGGCTACCCCTTTCTGGAGCAGCTCCGCTGCTGGTTCTGCTTGGGGGATCTTCTGGCAGCGGGAAGAGCACGCTGCTACCGCTGTTACTGCATCTGTTGTCCCTTACCTATCCTTCCCTGAGCGCCCTTCGCCTGTGGCATCAAGGGGGAGGAGGGGAGCGCTCCCAGGAGGGCCCCAGGCCATACACCCTAATATCTACTGATGCACTAAGACAAGTTCTCAGGGTTCTCAACTCAACGCCGAAGGGTGCACGCACTCCTGCAGTGGCCGTGGACGTCTCCGAGCGGTCCTTGGTCCGTAAGCTCCTCTTTAGCAGCACGTACAGACTAAAGGGTCTCGCCGAGCAACAGATGCAAGGGGGGGGGGCCCTAGCGGCGACGGAAGGAAAAGACTCAGAAGCAGCGGATGTCAAAGAGTTAACAGGACCATCAGGAGAGATCGAACACCGCTGCAGCGAGTGGGAGGCCCTAATGCGTGCGGTAGAAGAGGATATGAGGGAAGAGTTAAGTGCTCTTCGGGGGTTCCCTAACCCGGTGCCTTGTCAGTCTTGTGGCGAAAGGGCCCCTTGTTGCGCCCTTTTGGGAATGCTCCAGCAGGCGATATTGCTGCAGCGGCTCATTCTCGAACCCCTTGTTACTTCCCTAATGGACTCCTCTTGCGACGTACAGGAGCCTCCATACATGGGGAAGCCTTTTCCGGGGCCTTCAGAAGTGGGGGAGTCCCCCCAAGCCCTTCAGCTTGTGCTGGTCGAAGGAATACATCTTACCCCGGGTTTCATTTCGCGGATGCAGAAGCGTTATGGAGCGCGCTGCTTGTCGTTGGTTGCATTTTGTTACTCCCTAGAGGAGCATACTCGACGCCTGACAAAGAGAGAGCAGGAAGCCTGCCCTGGAGCCGCAGCAGCGGCTTCTGCTGCTGTTGCAGTTGCAGCAGCCACTGCTGCGGCAGCAGCACAAGCTGCTGGCGAAACAAGAGGGGCCCGCTCCTCGGAAAATTGGCCAGAGACCCCTTCGACGAGGAGAAATGATGAAGAGGAAGCTCCCAGCATGCAATACCAAACGCCACCCAGCAGCAAAAACAACTACAGCAGCAGGAGTGGCATCAAACCGACAAATTGCAAGTCCAGCACTGGCATGTATCTCCACAATATGTCTTGCATCCGATGTGCCCAGTTGTTCCTGTGCGCCGCGGCTGCCTCTACGTTGGGTAGCAACAGCAGCACTGAAAAGAGCACCAGCAACCACAAAAACAGCACAAAAGTCAGCCGTAGCAGCAACGGCTGCACCGACTTCCCTGGTAGAAATGCAGCAAGCTTCTTCCTCAGCGAGGCTTCAGACGCGACAGCAGGACCTGCAGAAGTTTTAGTGCAGAAGGCCAACTGGTTAAGCCTTCTAAGAAAAGCTGTTCTAGAGGCCCCCGGTAGGGGCCTCGCCTCCTCTTGGGAGGCTCCCCGAGCGTACCCCATAGCTACTGACGACATGCTGAACAGCCTCTATTTGGTGCAACAAGTGGCTGTAAAACAGTGGGGAACCCCTAAAGGAGGCCTTGGCCTTTCCACTACGGCTGCTCCGGCTCCCTAGAGGGAGGGATCTTTTCAAAAGGGGGGGCCAGTAGGCCTGCCCGCCGCTACAGTCGCTACCGCTGGTAGATCGAAACGTGCGCAGCTGCAGCAGCCTGTTTTTTGATGTACACACACATACGCGCTGCTTATGCTGTTGCCAGTGTATATTCGATGTGGCGATGCAAAGACAAGCCTTGGATTGCGTGATCCGCAATTCTTAAGGTTTTTTGAAATGCAGTCGTTTTAGCTGTTGCAGCTGTCTTGTGCACATGATGCCTAAGCAGCACACAGTGTCGTGTGGAGTGCCGGCTGGTTTTCATTGCGGAATCGATGGTGGGCAGGGAAAGGGCTAGCGGCCCTGCTCGCTAAACAAACAATAGGAGATTTAGCAGTTGTCAACAGCAGGACCATACTCGCTCTTGAGGCCTGCCTATGTCGCCACTATATCACAGCCTCGCATTCGATGTGTGGGCCGAGTGGATTAGCTGACTGCTGCAGCACCACCAAGTCTCCTTTGTCTTTCCAGTACCTCTGGGAAAAACTTGATAAGGAATGTCGTGTAGGTCACCCCTTGACCCTCCTCCACCGTATGGGCAGACACTGCAGCAGGCTGCAACACATGAACATCAGGTACAGCAGCAGCACTTGCACTCATCCATGACACAGGTGGGCGATAAGAAGAGGCTAAACAAAGCGCCTCTCGTACCGGCATCTTCTGCAATGACAATAGCAACCACACAAACCGCATCAGTGGCGCTGGAAACTAGGAACATGTGCTTACAAATTCTGCGCTACAGAGGATTCCCTCGATGATGCCGGCAGCAAAGGCCCCGCAATTCACGTGTGACAAGTCTCTAGGGGCAGAAATGAAACGATTGAGCAGCAAATCCTTGTCGTTCAGCATGTCTGCACAGGCCATAAAACTTGTTTGTCGAGTACATGTACACACAAAATCTGTGCATTCAAGGGCTAATAAAAGCATGACCTCAATAGAGATGCATCCACGCAAGACGCGTTTTTGCAACACTGGGTGCAGGATCTCTGTGGGATGTTCATACATTCGAGTTCGCTGTCTTGTGCCTTTAGAAGCTCTACGCTGTGGCCGAAGAGAGATTTCCACACAGAGGACGCGATGAATGTCAAAATGGATAGCAGCTTGATCTCCCTCCTGTTATTTCGTTCTCTGTAGAGCACGATATCTAGGGCTTTGTAGCCCACCCTCAAGCCTAGCTCGTGCAGCCTGCAGCGCCGCAGCGAGCGATGCATAGGTAGACACAGGGGCGCACGTCGATAGGAAGACAAAGAGTATGGAAGCACAGCTTGGCTAGATTAGTGCCCATCTAGGCATTCGTCTAGAGGTGCTGTAGAACGATATATGAGCCTAGCGCCCGCTGCAAGGTTTCAGAGCGGTAGAAGGAAAAGAGGGGGGCTACCCACTCGCATACAAGCGGGATATACTGGAGCACGCCGCCTCCAGAGCCACACTGCTGCTGCTACAGAAACGCGCTAATTGCTGGTCGTGTTGGTGCAATTGCGTGCTCTCTTACCGGTCTTCCATGCGGTATCCGCGCTTGGCGGCATTCAGGCAGTACTGCACCATTTCAGAAAAAAGGAAGGCAAAGGCGCTGAGGCTCACCTGCAAACGAACACGGAATTGAGAGGAAGAGAATGCCGCGTGCTCATCGGCCGCGCGATGACGACGGAGCAGAGGGAAGCTTCGGGAGACCCTTGGTGCTATCCTTGTTCGTGGATACGAGAGCTGCCTGCGCGAGCGAAGAAGGAGATAAGGGGACAAGCAGGCAGCCGACAAGACGGCACGAGGTTTGGGGTATATACCTCGTGTTTGGACTTTTGGAGGCCTCGTTCCAAGAGAGAGGGATGCCCCAGACTCTTCCGTCTGTCTCCCTTGGCCTTGTCCATTGGTGCTTCCTTCTTCTGGCTCTGCTAAGGCGTTAAGGGCGGATCGGGGTTGTTGAGCAGCCTCAGGGGTTCCAACTGGGCGGCTGTTCGTGGGGTCCGTTTGTTTCCGCCTATGCCACCACTTCAGAGCGTGAAAAAGAGGACGCCTAGACTGCTGCCCTTGCCAGTATGGCGCTGCAGGGCTCGTCTCTGACTGAGAGACGCACAAAAGAGACCCTTTGAGCAGTTCACAGGATTCGAAATGCGTTCCTTTACTGGTCTCAGCACTCTTTAGATGCCTGTGTCGCCCAACGGACGCAAACTACCGTTGCTGCGGCTGAAGATTCAACTGAGCTGCGCTTTCGTTCCGCCCTTTGCTCGGTATGCGCAGTTGGCGAATCCATACACAGTGTCTTTATTTAAAACGGGACACAGTGGCACGGTGTTGAGCCGCTGACTGGCTGCCATTGGACGATCGGCGACCTGGCAGTCAGCCCCTCCTTCGGGTTGTGTAACGGGTCTTGCAGACACGCAAAAATTAAATACCATTCAGAAACTGCAAACGTCGCACTCTAGGTCGGTAATTACAGATAATAAACAAACAAATGCTTAACACTAGCAAAGTGTACCCCAAAAGAGGGGATCTCGCATGGTCCCAACCGGTCTCGAACCGGCGACCTTTCGGTTATTAGCCGAATGCTCTAACCAACTGAGCTATAGGACCTGCTGCTGCTGCCTAACGTTTCCCTATGCTTCTCTTTAGTAGGGGAAATGAAAAAGTATCGACGCATTTCAAGTATTGTAGAGAAGCACACTTTGTTCGGTTTTCGTATGGGTCGGTATATGCCTCTCAGTTGCAGGTGTTTCTGGACGACCCATTCCCATGTACGCGCACACACGCAGCGTCCGCCTATAGCCAGCAGACAATAATGCGATATGCATTATACTCGGATTTTTAGGCTTGTTTTTGGATTTTTCTGAGCTTTCGCTCTCAAACTCTCCACAGTTGTGCAGAATTCCAATTCTCGCAAAAACCTATTTCATTCTGCTGCTTTCCTTAAGTAACACGTTGCAGTCTATGGGACTATGAAACATTGCGAGGCGCACTCTAGCAGCTACTCTTTGCGTCTCTCTGTGCAACTCTCTCAAGCGGTGGTGACTTTCTTAGTTGGTGCACCCATGGCAGCATAGGGACACTGGGTGATACCGAGGAGCTCGGCAATAACGAAGGGGGGCGTTAATGATGAGAGAATACCCCCGTGCGTGCTAATGCGCCCAGCCCAGCTCGGGCCACTGGATCCCAATCAATACCTCGAAGGAGTGATATCTTGAATGTTTGCGCAACTGTTCCTAGTATGCTATGAGAGATGCTGCCGTCAGCTCTTCCAGAATAGTCAATGTAAGCGTTGTCAAGCAGTCAGAAAGTCGTTCGTGCCCATGCATCTCACTACATCGCACACCATAATGAATGCGACCGAGCGAAACAACAGCGTGCACAGATATACTGTGTTAGTCCGGCGTGAGAATAATTATTGCAAAGGGGCGGTTACTGTGGATATTTGTTGCTCAGCTTGTTTAGCTCCTTCTAGTGTCTGCGTAGCAAGGCGTTTTATCACCCCCAAAACCCAGTACACCACTTAACAGAGAGTCATTGTGTGGCCTTCCAACAGAAGTGATTCCTTCATTCTTTGCTTGCGCCAATCAGCTTTAGAAGTACATACCAACTTGCACGTAGCACTTAGCGGATACCCACACAAAATTGTGGCTTCTTATATCGAGCAAACAGTGCTCTGCATCAAATAAGCTGCTTGGACAGACAAAACAATAAGCCAATCTCTTCCTGTGTTGGTTAAGTGTAACTGTTGCAGTAGAAAATGTTCTAGTGTACTTTACCCCCGCTCCCCCCCTCCGCCGCCCCCCACGACACATGTTCCCCTTGCAATTCGAAAAGTAAGTGCATTTGTTTCGTACCTTTCTGTCGAGACCAACTGTGTGCAGGACAGCGGAAGAGTTCTCGCCTTATCCCTACTCCCCGGGCAGGCAGAAATGCGAAGAACAAAGCAAATAATAAGATCTGTGCAGCAGATACTAAGGGAAATCCAGGGAACACACGTATACACTGTGGCCAACAGTGAACGAGGGATCAAAACAACAGGACCGCAACAGCGTAATAATTCTCTGGCTTCATCGCGCTAAAATGTGTGAGCCTCCTGCTACGGGATAACAGAAGATACGTACTGTATGTAAAGGGAATCAGAATGCACATCATTTTAGCAGTGCCTTTACATTAGAATAGACTATGCATACAAACATGTCGAGTGTATGCAGCACAGCCTGCTTCCAAGCTCCGAAAGAGGCATATGCAAGAACGTAGGGGCAGCACACCTGAAAAAGCCTGCGCGAAAATATGTGTAGAGAACGCATAAGTAATCATAAGTACCAGCTTATCACTCTGTAGCATTGACTTAAAGTAGCTATTCAATGCAGAGTATGCACTAGGGGAAAGCAGCTACCAAAGACCGCGCAGGATACCGCCATTGGCAACCAGCGTTGCGAATCATATCGAGCCTCAAATACCCCTGCAACAAAGGCCACAGCTATTCCTACGCCGCCCACTAGGGTTACTGTTCGCCAACATACTTCAATAGAATGTCCTGTCTTGTGTGCACTCAACGCATCGTAACTCTAGAAGCTAGTACTTCTGTGGCTTCTTGTGAAGCCTTTGACTCCACGCGGGTCCCTTGCCTGCGCGGCAAAGTCCCCAACTAACTGAAGAATGTTTGAAGCTGCTTCACAAAGACAGTACAGACAGTTCTATGAAACCTCAAACTTACAGGGGAATTGACAGAGTAACAAAGTTGATTTTTTTGAGGAAGTCATAAGAGGTGCAAGTTACCTGGGTGCAAACTTCTTCGTGTAGTCAGCGATTGCATTTTGCAAAGCATGCCGACTCACGAAGACCGGATGTCCACTCTTAAAACACACAGCCAGCTTCCACTTGTCATATTTCCTTGACTGCTCCCTTGAGATTTGAGCATCTATTCGCGTGCACCAGCCAGCGTTTTTCTAAATCCCTGCGCCGCTACGAATGGCTACTACGCCCGAACCACCGAGTCCAGGCCCGGATCGTAGAGGGGCTCCTCATTGTAGACCAGAAATGACGAAGAGCATTGGGTAGATGAGTGTACTGTTGTACTAAAAAAACGGCTTGACACTAGAAAGAAGTCAAGCCAGACATCTGGGTTTTGGTGAACCTAGAGTAACAAATATCACAGAACAGTTTAGTTGGTTCTCTCTCTGTGCTCATGTGTCCCAGAGTTGTTTGCAGTGGTCTTTCTTTCTTAATGCTCGAGAAACCTTTTAGAACTTCTGAATCACCGCTCAGTGTTCCTTTGTTCGCAGTAGACACTGCTTCTCGAAATACAGGCAGCGGTTGTGCACAACTGCAAATAATGTGACTTTTGAATTATTCGTAGCCTGTAGGAAGAAAATAGCACTCTCTGCTACGTCACCAGCATTGGCTACTAGTAAAAACTGGGCCTCCTACTCGGACAGCGCGAGTGCAGCACGGGCTACAGCAAGGCCGGTGAAAGTGCATTATCCGACACCATCCTCCCCTGTTCAAGTAATACATTGCGTGCTTTTATCACACCGGCAAAAGATGCAGCAAGCCGAGCTAATATAGTAGCAAGATCTCGGAAATATGATGCAAGCACAGAACCTGCAACGTCCTTGTGGGTACGTAATGGCGATGGCGGCACCTTAATTTTTGCCGGAACTGTCTAAATTCCTGCAGTCGAAAGACGAGGTCCAGCAAACACAATAGCTCACATGAAATTACGCTGCCGCATGTTCCTAGAGCACCACCGCTTATGCCACAGCAGCTTAAGCGTACAAAGTAGGAACTGTAGACGCTTTTCACGATTGTGGCTACAGAGCCTGATATAGCCCATGCCGACACCAGTCCACCCTTCCGTGACAGGCTTATTAGAATCCGGAGCAATATGCTGTTGCACTTGAGCTGTGACAGAAACACGCCCATACGGCGCACAGGTATACGTGACATAGGGGACACGAGTGTGATTCACCCGATGGTGCCTCTCGTCTGGGTGAATGGGGATTTGTATGGGGTAAGTGTAGTCAATTGTTGATTTGACTGTTGCTTTGTGTATTTTGTGAAGTTTTTCACCAATATGATGCAAAGGGAATTTCTACTTCACTATAATTATGCTCAGAGGCTAAAGCAGACGTACATGCGTCACCTTTTCTTGGCATCACTGGATGCCCCTAAGCACTGCGCAATCCCTTAGCTAGAAGCCTTGGACCTTTTTGACAGTACCCAGTCGCGATTTAAAGCGACAAATGACAGCCGTAGCCTTGCTAACCATTGCGCTCTGCCACCCGGCAGCAAACCTGAGTCTTGGGAATTAGGCTAAGGAGCAAACGAGCAGAATATTCTTCAGCAATATCATACTAATTGTGAAAGTTTGCGAGGCCGCACAACATAGCTTAGGGTTGCCTTTGGGAGTAACTTAAGAGGTTGTGCTGGATGACCACCAAGTGGCCAGCCCGTTGGGAAGTCATCATTATTTAGCACCTCTGCAAAAGTCCTCCCTGATAGATGCCGAGTTCTGCAGCTAATTAACTGAATATTCTATCGAAATTTCTGATAAATTATTACATTCTTGGCCCCTACGGCACGATGAATGCTCAGAATCTTCTTTTTACCGCTCTGCTGACTGTCAAGCCTCCCGCAAAAAGATTTCGCCTCTCCTTGCTAAGGCACCGACTATACCCCGCTCACTAGGATGGAAATCAGCGCTATTTTTGAGACCAGGTGCTGCTTCTCATTAGCCCATCCCAGCATGCTAATCTCCACAGTACGCAGGCGTGGCTGCACTGCCCACCTTCCATTGGGTCACCCAAGGCATAGGGATTTTACGTCATGGTGCACAGGCCCACCATAGAATGCACAGACCCTATTCGGAGTTAAAAATTCACTACCTGCTGTAGCCTTGCCAATCTTCGTATCTTGCTGCATGTAAGCATACCTGAGTCTTAGGGGCTACGCTAATAACGGGTGACCAGGCGGATTATACTTCCCATGTCGTCTCCTCAGATAGCAGATCCACTTCACGTACAGCGTCAACCAACGCTAGCAAAATTTTGACTACCAATCTGAACTTGCATCACCTTGGAGGTGACTTTTACTACGGCTATATCCTCTGTCGCTCTCGACAATGCGGCGCAGCCTGCGTGAAGGACTTTCCTTCCTCCTAACGCGCCTTCTTTGCGTGCCAAGCAGCCTACGTCCTCTGGGTCCAGTCCCGGTTTTGAAGTTCTTTTGCTTTTGGGCTTCCAGTTCCGGATGATATTATCCATCACCCTACAATTGAAGCAGACATGTTGTTAGGGGGCTGCCTAGGGATCTGGGGCTTCTTCAGAGAGCATATACCCTCATGATTTCTTTGCTCTTTCACCCTTGATTGCATGCTTGGACTGGCTGACACAGCCCCGACTGACAAATGTTCTAAACTTCAATTTGGTTTTTACTTCCAGACAAAGACCCAGGAGTTGCGCTCCTATGCTCCTCAAAACCCAGGTAGTGCAATTGTGGAAGCCCTACGGGTCGGCTGTTCAATAAGTTGCTGCCCATCCTGCTACCACCTGACTTGACAATTCGGGCAGATACGACATGAACCGCCGAAAACGCAGCTGTTCATGTACGCTGTGGCATTTGCTAATCAATGCTTATTATTTTTGACACACAGATTTATTGGCAGATTTATTAGCTCGCGCATTCTCAATTCTCCAAAAGCCTCCTGTTCAGCTGAGCTGGGCGAAAACCGATGAGTCAGGACATGCGTGAAGGCCCGAATTGTTGTAATTCGTTCAAGCATGGGACTAACACTTCATGGAGAGAGCCACCATTGAAGTGCTTCACCCCCTCCACCTCCTGGATAAATATGCTGCTTGGAGCACTCGTTTATCTTTATCTGAGGATTAAAGAGTGAGGCATCTTCAGCCATCTGATGAAGTCTTTGGGTACTTGCCAACCCTTAAGGTCGTCATACTTTTCTGGTCCACATAACCCTATGGACGCACTCGAAAATTTTGCTGGCAGACAAATCACTCCTGTCTACCAGCTGTGGGCTGCTGCGCTCACCTCAGCTTGCAATCCTGCCTCTACAAGCCTTCGCTGTGCCACTGTCCACTTCCACTGACAGAGAAGTTTTAATCCCTCAGACTGTTGCCAAAAAACCGAAATAGTGACGTAACAACTAATAGGATTGCAGCTGGACAGCTATTGTTGTGGAAAAGGCTAACAGCTCACCATACCCATGGCGGATATATGAGTATAAGAGCTGCATCGACTCCAAACTCGGTAGGTACATTTAAGACAGTTACTGACTGTTTCTCAATAAAGCTCCCTCATTCCCATGCCTGCACCCCTTACAGTTCTTGCATGAGAGGAAAAGGACTACTAGGCTGGGAGCAGCTGCACCCTCTCAGCACTTTGAAAATTTACAGCTAGCTGTCCAGAGCAGCAAGCGCTTGTGCACGATTGCGGCTTCCAGTGTGTAGCTTCCATTCCCTATAAGCAGACAAATCGATTCAACAACACTCTTTGTTAATAGCTGTTGAATATAACCAACGTAGTAGAAAGTGTCTTAGTGTAGCTTAGCCCCCTACAAGCGGGATATCAATTGAAGTTCTGCCGGTATCCTACCACGGGTCGGTTGCTGATCATCGATTTGCTAGTACAACGCCTCTGCTGTCTCAGGGTCTGACGTCTCACAGTTGTATGCATGTAAATGGAGCAGTAGCTGCGGTGATTTTTCGTGCAAAAAGATATGCGTACATGAACTTTGTCCAGCCTGTAAGGGCTGCTTGTCAACAAACCATTTTGCCAGCGGCTATTCTTGTTGCAGCCAGCCATATGATGACCTCTCTAGTCAGCCTTCTGTGGGCCTCTGATTGCCAGAGACAGGCTGGGTGCCTCATTCTGTCTACCCTTGGAAACACAAAAGACACCTATGAGTTCACGCTACGATGAAGTAGGCCCTTTAGTCCCACAGAAGGTAAGTGGCAGCGAGGCGTTGGGCCTGAGGAAGGGCTCCCTGGGCAGCCCAAAGGCTGTAGAGGTTGAATGCTGCGCACTGCATTCAAACAGGCAAAAAGCCTCAAGAAAGGCTAATTACAGGTATATGAGAGACGAGGCGGCAAGAGAAAGAATACCACGCATGATTATTGGTATACGGAGAACAGACGCGGAAAAGCAGAACAATCCCTCATGCGCTGTGCCTCTTTCAGTCTGGCAGTCTACTGTTGTGCAATTCTCTCAGTCCCTGCTAAAGTTCTGTGCCCTCTCTCCTCCCCTTCCCAGGCAAGCCTCCTTCAAAGCCCCATGTAAATGCATGAATATCTCGATTGCTAGAGCCAAAATGGTCCTCCCAGCACCCCAGAAACACCCTTTCACGAATGCAACTCCACGTATTCTATTACCACGCGTTTAACGACAATATTGTGATGGCGGCTTTAACCCCCCACAAACTCTTCCTACACCTAAGCCGGCACCTAGGACAGAGCCACATATCGGAAGCTCCAGTCTCCTTACCATCCGCAATTTAGTCCATTCTTCTCTCAGAGTTGGATCCTGGGCTGTACTCTCCCCCTGCCAGCTCGGTGGTGGAGCATCGGTATCCGGGGTCGATTGGGGGCCTCCACAGGACTCAGGGGGCCCTCCTAGAATCGAGAGGCAACGGAGATACAACGGCACGCAGAGACGGGAGAGCCGTAGATGATGATATGCCCTGAGAGAAGCAAGAACAACGGAAGGATCAAGTCAGCGAGCACTGAAGCGTTTACAATCAGGGGGCACACAAAAGGCAGACAACTGACAAGGAGCCTGAGATTTCCTTTTTTCCACAGAAGCTAAGGTGTTCAGTCTGAGGTTTGCGTGCCTTGCCAGGTTGTACACTGTCTCCGCCAGAAATAGCCTCCTCTCCAAAACCCCCAACTGCGCTTGCTGCCGCAGTTCCATGTAGTGGCAGAGGACAGAGAAGCCCTTCAGCACCTCCGGATGCCTATCCTAAACCACGAGCACGGACCTCAGAAGCACCCGTCTAAAAGATGCGTCAACCAGCAAACACTCACGCTCTAAACGTCGGCGCAAGAAAAGCCCATAAATACCGACCTGGAGAGCATGTGTCGTCGCATGCGCTAAGAAGGCGGCAGCGAGGCAGAGGGCAGCGAGTGCGTCTTTCGGACACCTGTAGAGAGCCCTGGTGTATTCGGCAGCAGCAAATCGCCACCGACACGACGAAATGCAAAAGTGACCAGCCATAAGGCACAGTGCGTAATCGCTAGGACGGCCCAGTAACTGCCGGATTACCCAGGACCTGCAGACGGTGTCACAGGGTGACACTTTGGAGTAACTTGAATGCATGGCCGCACGGAGACGCAGGATTTGTGCAAATACGCGTACTGGCTTCCTCACCAAAGGCACTGGGGAGCAGTATGAATGGGGAGATGAAGATTTGGAGGCAAGACAAACGGAAAGTGAAAGATAGAGAAAAGCAAGAAGGCGGCATCCACAGGGGCTAAGATGGAGGCTACGGAGGCCAAGAGGCAGCCCTTAACCAAAGGAGACAAACAAGGGGACAGTTTTTACATCAAACTGGTCCGTTTCGAGAGGCCCTGTGTGCAGCAGAAGAACAAGGCGAGGGCTGCTCATTGCCATCGTGTGCGACTCCCTTACCGGTTCTCCAGCAGGAGCTCCTTCTCGCGCGAGTTGGTTGTGCCGTGGGAGGGCGACTCCGCCCGTAAGAAAAGCAAACGTCCAAATGCGCCTAGAAGGCCCCAGGGGGGGGGGCCCCTTCGCAGTCGGCGCTGTAGCAAGCGTCTTAGAGAGCCCAATGCCAGTCGGTGCATGCCACCCTCCAGACTTAGCTCTGAGACAGCCATCCGCGCACTTTGCCAACGATACCCCTTTTGACGACGCTCCATACTTCGCAACCCACGGTGCACTGTCGACCCGGCAGTAACAGCAGTAGGCAGAGCCCCCCGTAGGGATCATAAAAAGGCAAGCTGCATGCGCCGCAAGGAAGCGCTTTGCTGTATACACCTAGGGGGCATGCGCCTCTAGAGGAGGGGTCCTGAGGAATACCCTATTGGCAAGCTGTAACTCGCAGTAACTCGCATCTCTGCGGGTTGGCACGGACTATATAACAGGCGGGCTCTAGTACACGGTGCACTGCAGCGCCTATCCTATAGAAATATCCACAGCCAAAGCGCCGTACTGAGAGCCAGAAGCTGCATGCTCTCCTTCAAAGCCTTCTTCGCAGCAGGGGAACCCGTGTGCCGCTTTTGCTTCCAGTCGCCTTGGACGTCTTCTAGGACAGCCACGGCCTCAGAAAATCGCCCCACCGACCCCAACAACTCAGCCCCCATGCGCAAGAATTCGCAATACGCTTCCAGTCCTACGCCAATCCAAACGCATCATCAGGAGCTGCGGGAGAGGACTGATGGACTCCACGGCTGCAGGCTACTGGTGGGTGCAGCAGCGACATCGGTGGACGTAGTAGAGCCTACACAGGCGGCGAGGGTGCAGCTACGAAAAGCGAAGACAGGCACTGTCACGCGCAAGGCGGGGAAGGAGGAGCCACAGAGCTACGGGCCTAAGGAGCAAGAACCACGGCAACGCGCTGTTAAGGAGGAGCAACAGGAAGGCACATGCTACAGAGGAGACGTCTGTGGAGACGGCTGCGTGATCGAGGCTCCTCACGCTCCCTAAGAAACCTCTCCCCTTTTGCAAAGCCGCTTGAGCACAAGCAGTGCAAGGGCATAAGGGCAGTCCGAAGGGGGCAGAGGCCTTGGAATGCCGAGACACCCAACAATGCAAGAGCACCGCGAAAAACGCGCATTGAGGCAAGCACACGCGCAGATACAGAGAGACATATACAGCTCACAGAAGAGCACAGCAGACACAAGCGACAGCAAGACAAACACGCGCCGGCAAGGCCAGGAGCAGCAGCAAAAACCCTGCCTGCGAAATCTTCAATCCCTTTCAGGCCTAGATCCTTTTTAACCCCTTGATGCTGAATTCGGCGAGACCGCTTATTCCGCTTCGTTGCCGTTCCCTTCGCCATAACCAAAAGCCCCCGGGGAACCCTTTCTGCAGGATCCGAAGCTTCTTTTCCGCCATCCGCCAAAGCTCCCCCAGAACCCGCAAGGTCCACTCCTTGAGCCACCTCCACGCGCCTCTGCTGTGCCTCCCGCATGACACGGCGAGTGTCGAGTTCGCACTCTGTGACGAGAGACAAAAATCGAGCCGCCAGAGTTGCGTCTTCTTCAGGTAGGCGGCTCTGTGTTGCTGCAGGGGCGGCTGACGGGCTTCTTCGTCTTAGGGCCTCTCTCTGGGAAAGGCTGCTGAGAATTTGGCGGTACTGTCGCTCCCGATCTTCAGTCGGTAGGGGGCTGAGGAGAGAGCAAACGCACACCTGTGGAAGGGTGCGAAGAAAGTCAAAAGACGCACAGCCAGCACAGGAAAGCGGGCAGCAGAGCGGAAGGCATCCACACGAAAGAAACAGAAAGACGCCTGCCTGCCTGCAGAAAGCAGCCGGAAGCTGCTTCATCAACGGTGCACTCCATAAGGCGAAAAACACGCGCAGAGACGGATCTTGTAGCTATGTATCGGGGAGAGCGACCACTCCCAGCACCCTGGGAGTATCTAGTGCAACGCTGCAGCAACAGAAGGGGAAACAAAGGACCTTGGCAGCGCATCCTGTTCCCAGAGGCTTCTGAAGGAGATCGAAAGGAGGACGCAATCTGCGCCAAGTTGATTGCCTTGCTCCCGAAGAAGGCTGGAGAGAAGCAGACGGGCTTCCGCATCGCGAATGCCTGCAAGCCCTGAGTAGGAGGCCTCTGTTGCGGATAAGCAGCTGCAAACAAAGGAGCCACTGGAGATCGCATTACAGGCCGATAAAGCAAGAAGCAGCAGCAACTGCCTCTGCGAAAGGCGCACCTGGAAACCAGCAGAAGCCCATTCATCAAAGGGCCCAGAAAGGCAGACACACGTAGATGCGAAGAGCGCTGAGGTGAGACGCATACCTCTGGAGCACGCCAATCGCCTCTTCCGGACTCCCCAACGCCACGCAACACTTCGCCAGCTTCACAGACAGCTGAAAACGCCCACAGCGCACAGCAGGCGACGTACAGCTGCGTATCCCTGTGTATTTCTGCCTAAAGCCGCCAGCCGCGCGTCTACGACAGAGGGAGGAGGGGACGGGAGGGACAGGTGCCCCAAGAGAGCTGCCAGGATGACGTTCTCTCGTTCCTCCAGTGCCGCGCAGGTGTGCGTAGGAGCAACGCAGCAGGAGTCAACAGATGCGACGAGGAAGGAGCCACACACACCCCGGAATCCGTTTGTGCCTGCGGCAGGGATAGCACTCGCTGCAGCAGCCTTCGGGCTTCCGCCTGCCTGCCTGCTACAATGAAGGCATCCGCAAGCAGCAAGTAGGTGTCCAAATACGACGGATCGATCTCCTCCACAAACGCAGTACTGCTGCTGCTGCTGCTGCTGCTGCTGCTGCTGCTGCTGCTGCTGCTTTCTTCGGGGAGAACAGGCCTCCTCCTCAGCGCTGCTGCATTCAGCCGGGCCTCCACCTCTGCTGAGCAGTCCAGCTGCAGCAACAAAAACACGCGAAACGAATAGCATAGGAAAAGGCATGAGCCGGAGTGCAGCCACTGAGGCAGATAGACGGCCGAAAGGAATGGCAAAAGCTGGACGGTGCTGCATGCATTGTAGAACGCAGCGCGCAGTATGCGTCACTGCCCTAGAAAGCCCTTTTGAGCGTCTTTGCAGAAGTTTTATCGCATCCCTTCTTGAGCGGTCGGGAGACTGTCTCCGTAGGTGATTCATGTTTCCCCAAAACACACCTTGCCCGTGATGACGCCGGCAGCAGCCAGTTTCACGGCTAAATCCAGAGGGGCAGAGGTGAGAGGAGCGGCCCCTAGGAAGGACTGAATAAGAAGAAGGCAGTGGCTGTGCCTCCCTTCCTCTGCATCTATTTCGCACAGCATATTCAAGCAGTCTTGTTGCTCTTTTTCCATGAGAGGCAGAAGCGAATGCTCCGGGCTAACGTTGCTGCTCGTTGGCGTTGCTGCTGTCGCTGTAGCCGACTGCGACGGAGCATCTGCTTCAGACAGGACGGCCTTGGAGCACTTGGCTGCTGCTGAGTCGAGCTCATGCTGATCATGCTCTTCCTGTCGCTGCGGCTGATGCTGCTGGTGTAAAAGATCCCTTTGAAGCTCCAGCATGAGCTGTTGGGTGGCCTCGTGAGGGAGTAGCTTATAGAGGGCACCTTCCAAGACCTCTCTAGCCTCCTGGAGCCTCCCCGATTTATGAAGGCAAAACGCTAAGAGCGAGGAGAGAGGCGCCAAACCCCAGTTTCGTGAATGCAGAGGCTGCAGCACTGCGCAGGCACGCTCGTGAGCCCCCTGCAAAGGCATGCAGCACGGACAAGTACCGGATGGCAAGCGCCGATAGAAACCAAGGAGAGCCGAGCCGAACACCCCCACAAATAGAAACGCTAGGGGAAGAGGGGGAGGAAAGCCCTGTGAGAGAAAAGCATTCGGCTTGCCATTTGTTTGTACACTTGAGCCAACTGAAAGGTCACGTTCTCTTCCAGCTGCCGCATGTCGTGATCCTCTTCGCCGTCTTTGCTTCTTTCTGTCGCCTCCTCGCTTGCGTCTCTGCCATCACCATTCGCTTCCTCTGCCACCGCTCTGGAAGAGCTCTTCTTTTCGCTTGTCGCCGTCTCTTTAGCCCTGCCGCTGCAGCCTTTCGCCTCGACGTCTCTTTGCACGGCCTCCTTCCCCGAGTCGCTCTCCCTGATGTTGCGGAGGCACCTCCTAAAACAGTATGCAGCCTGCTGCAAGTCTTCGAGCTCGACAGCCAGCAATCCACTCCGCTGCCACAGCAAGGCATCTCCCCCCACCTGCGCGAACAGCTGAAGCTCCTAAACCCCAACCTTGACCTCCAAGCTACCACTCACAAGGCAGCACGACATCCAGCACACGTCAGGCCTCTCCAAAGCGGCCGTCGCAAGGCACTCGCCAACACTACAAAAAAATTGTGTGTGCACTCACAAGATGCGCTGCTAAGAGATAGCAGTCAAGAGCCCGCCGCTTGTCACCATACGCCTCCTCGAAAACCAACCCCTAAACGCAAAGCAAGGGACGCAGACTGAGAGCGACGAGATGAAGCAGCAAACACACAACACGAGGATATCAGGACCGGCCAGAAAAAACACCGCATACATGCATGCATGCATGTAGAGAGACAGAGAAAGAGAGAGAGAGAGAGAGAGAGAGAGAGAGAGAGAGACAGAGAAAGAGAGAGAGAGAACATCTGATACGTTGCGCTCTGCATTTTCATAGCTAGAGCATCCAGGGGTATCGACCGCATTCCCCGTAGCTTTCTGTGCGCCGCGGCTCAGGTATATACAACGGACAAGGAGATGGAAAGGATCATGAAGCCCTGGCGCCTTCCTGATGGTTTCTTTGAGTGCAGAGACTGCCGCCTCGTAATTGCCGCTCAGGTAATGATCTGTTGCCTGCCGCATCATCTCCCGAACCTACGGCTCGACAAAGCACAACCCTTGACAGCCACAGTCTGTCCTGAGTCGTACTACGGGCCGAAAGAAGCGTCAATAGCACAGCGACACCATCACTGGCAAGCGCGAAGCCCCCAGACACCACCACCTTCCCCACCCTCGACTGCACCTCCGGAGTTAGATTTGAGGGGCTTGCAGCGGATCGGCGCTTCCGACGTTTCCGATGGGGCTGGCTGCTGAAGGCTGCAGAAAGCAAGCTTGACACCCTGAAACACGTCCTGAGGCGTGCGCCAAGGTTTGGAGAAACACGGAAGGGAGTTCAGAGAGACTCGACAACCTCAGATCGAGGCCTCTAACGCGTGTCGACAAGACGTTGCAGCAGCACCAGCAGCAACAACAGCAACAACCCTGGTGCCGCTCACGCGCTGCGCGTTTTCTTTTCCTCCTTCGGCTCCTGGGGGCCCTAGAGAGATCTCCTAGAGATCCGTCATTGCCCAAAAAAAGCATCTCCTCGAAGTCGTCATCGAAAGAGCTGGAGGCCTCACTGTCTATTCTGCATGCGCGTAAAAGGCACCAAGACCAGCAGGAGCGGGGTGAGCTTTGAAGGAGTTGCGTTTTCCTAGATTGTGAAACTACGCACACGATAGCGTGGGGGAGGAGAGTATCACCGGTCGCTTTCTGAGGTGGTGGCACTGTCTCCCTTGTTGTTGATAAAACCAACCCGGGGGCCCCCTATCTGGGGGCCTCCTAGAGGGTGCGGCAGCCCCCTTGAAGCAGCATCGGTGGAGGAGGAAGCAGCCGATACACAGGCGCCCTCCCTCTGCCTGCGTCTTTCGAGTCGCTTAGCAGCGAGAATGGCTGGGGGCCCTCGGAGGGGCCCCCTAGCAGGGGCCCCCCTGGCCCCTCCCTGGAGGCCCCTGCTGCGCCCTTCCTCGCTGGCTGAGCTGTCGCTCCCCGCGGAAAGACCCCAGCTGCTCTCACTGCTGCTGCCGCTGCTGCTGCTGCCGCTGCTGCTGCTGTTGCTGTCGGAGTCGACATTGGAGGGGCGGCTTTTCGCCGTGGCTTTGAGGCGCTCGAGGGCCCTGCTGCGGCTGGCCCTTGGCCGCAGACCACCTCCCGCTATCCCAGGTGCAAAACCGTCCACTGCAGCAGTAGGAGTTTCCGCAGAGAGACCCTGAGGGGGGCCCCTAGGGGCCCCTGCTTTCGGACGCACCTGCATGGCACGGGGCGGGTACGGCAGGGATGTAGTTCTGTTTCCGAACCCGCAGGATCTCTCTATGCGGGAAGAAAACGCCAGAGTAGTCTTTAGGGGTCGAAGAATCGCCAACGGCCGGATTCTTTGTGTAGGTGGTTCTTCGGGCAGAGCTTCCCGACGAAGGGGTCTTAGAGGGCCTGCTGAGCCGCGAATGACAGCAAACGCGGCCACCCAAAGACGACAGCCTGGTGGTAGATCTACATAAAACAAGCAAAATAGAAGACGGAAGGACAGAAGGACTGACGGGGAAAGCGTGTTCTTGCATCGGGCGCCAGCTGCTGCATTTGGGGGCCCCAGCAGGGGAGGGCCCCCCGCAGGGTCGCTCGTGCTTCGTAAAGAGGGAGCGACCAAGACCCTACACTCAGGGAACTCGTGAACCTGCACAAGAAAGAAATGACTGCTAAACTCTAGGAAGTAGAGTTATACGAATGTGCAGGTTGGAGTGCCTATCTCTGCAGGTGCGAGGCACGACTGCATCCCATCCGTGGTTTGTGTGTAGCTCGACGAAACTTCTTTCTGACCTCGTTCACTTTACAATCCGTGTCCGTGCACAGTACTATGCCCATGATCATGCTATTTCCTAGGGGGCTTTAGGAAGAGGTGGCAAAATAACCCCTTAGGCCCCCCCTGCCTGTGTGCAGCTGTCCCCTGAGTTGGAGCCGTGGCTCGCCGGTACCCGATTCTTGACTCCCTACTCTACAACGTGAGCCTTAAGCTCCCAATCTCACCTTTTTAAAAATAAACTCGTGCTGATGAGCTTTAAATCCCCTTTGGTCTCGCTTTCCGCTGGCGTTTCTGGCATGCCGTCTCGACGCTGCCCCTCTGCAGTCTCTCCTGCAGAGCGGCGTCAAAATCCCCTCACCCCCTCTATTGCCTTCCCTGATTCTTCCCCATCGCTTTAATTTTGGTTTCAACACCTCAAGTATATCTAAAAGGGCCAAGGTTTCGACCTCCTTTCACACGAGACGAAGCCCAACGGCGCCGAGATCGACACAGTCGATGCTCAAGACGGGAGGAGGCCCCTCGGTCGAAGGAGGCCCCCTCTGGCTCGGAAGACGAGGCTTACCGAAGCTGGCAGCAAAGACTGCAAGCGTCGTATCCTGCATCTATTACAGTCCTTAGGGCAGATTTGGGGTCCTCGACCGCGCGGAGCTGAAGAGACCCCTTCCGAGGTGTCACTACACACGACTCACTGCCTTTCCTAGTGATCCTACACCCCCGATCATGGCAACAACAACGCCAGGAGGCAGCACTGCAGAAGCAATGGCCTCGCATCCTACGATACCTAGTGGCATCGACGTTGCGCATAGCCCAACTGAGGGCCCCCACCCCCCGCTAGCCTCATGTACAGGCATCACCCCCGCTCACGACACAAGCGCGAGGAGACTCTCGAATGCGTCGCACGAGGATTGCGTGGAGGAGGGCGGAGGGGGGGAAAGCGCTAATGGGGAACGTAAAGGGTCCCCTCGATTTCCACCGGAAAGCCTTGAACACGAGAACGCATCCACAGCCCCCTCACTCAAGGCTCAAGACGCACAGACAAGAAGACACAGCTGCAGCAGTACGGATGAGAGCGTCAGCAGCAGCGAAAAAAACAGAAACAGCAGGTGCGCGTGGTGTCTGGGCAGCTACTTCCTCGACATTTCGTCCGTTCCCGCGCATGATCCGCTACAACGGCTGCTGCAGCAAGCTTGCTGTTTCTGCTTCTTGCTGCTGCTAGGGGATGCATCGCCTGCATGGGCAAATGCTCCCGTTCCTCCTCCTATCCGCATAACAACTGCCACCAGCACGACAACCACCAGCGGCAGCTCCTGGACCGCTAAAGAGTATCATTTGGGGAGAATCGCTGCGGCAGGTGACCCTCTGCTGCAGTTCTACTGCTCAGTGTTTAAAGGCTGGGTGCGACGGCAATTCATTGAGAGGAAACTCTCAGTCAGTAACCGTGGAAAGTGCAGCAAACCTGACACGAGCACTACTTCTAGCACGAAGGGAGAGGAGGTGTCAGATTCCGACAGGCACAATGAAGGAGCCGCAGCAGCAAAGAGCCAAAACACATCGGAAACAGAGAAAGATGCAGAGCAGCAAGACGAAGAGCAACAGCAGGCTTCATCCAGTAAGCGGCGATTTTCCTCTATTTCGGAGAGCTCCTCGAGCTCTCCAAAATCACTTGAGGCCCCCTTCAAACGTCCCCCCGCTACGGCAGCAACCGCGGCAGCAGATGAGTACGCCCCAGGAGAAGCAGGAGACGCACACGGCGCAGCAGCAGTAGCAACAACAGCAACAGCAACCATTGGTCCCGCTGCTACTCGCGTTGCGCTCCCGCACTCCCCCCGTAGTCTACACCTCCGGGGAGGCCTTGCGCCGCCTCCCCTCTTAGCCGACGCTCATGAGGACTCCCCATCTAGTCCAAGGAGATCCACTCCAGCCAATCGGCTGCAGCAGGTGCTGCAGCGCTTTATTAGCATGCATGCAGCAGCTGCAGCGAAGAAGGCCTACGGCGCCGCAGCAGCAGACGCCTCCCTCAAGGCTTTTCTCAATCGGTTCGCTCCAAGCGGAGGGGCTACCCCTTTCCAACTAGGCCCCCAAACGAAAAAACCACAGCTGCATGGATGCGCTCAAAGTGCTCCGACTCAGGATCTGCCCCTCTGGAAAAACATCGTAGCCGAGATCCAGCAACGAGACGCACTAGAGGAGGAGTGGGGTGCTCCCTGGGCCCTCAGGGGCGCTGCAGCGAAAGAGACTCTCCCCACTATCACCAGAGAAATGTCGCTGCTGCTGCAGACTCATAAGGGCCCCTGTACTCATACAGGGACGCAGAAAGACGGGGCCCCTCTGGGTGGTTTGCGGGCCCTGGGAGATGTCTCCGAGCTCGAAGAGAGGCTGGAATCTCTAAGGCTGCAAGTAGAGGTAAGGCGGATGCGCATCTGGAGGCTACGAAGTTGCTGCTGCGTTTGCTGCTGTTGTTATTTCGCCCCTGCGTTTGCTGTTACGACCTCTCCCCCCTGGCGGCTGCGGGTCAGCCATCCGGCCAGAGGCGGTACAGGAGGCTGCATCAGGCTCGTAGCATGCTCTTCCTGCGTCTCTGTGCCCCTACAGAGCACTGGCATTTTCTTCAGGGGTGCCCGCAGCGGCCCCCTGTCTCTTCGCTGCGGTTCTGAGGGTGGCGTGCCCCCGAGCAGCAGCAGCAGCGAACGGGGCCCCCCAGAGCCGATGCAGCCAGATATATCTGCGTTTCTCAACCCGACGGGAAAGCAGGAGAGACAACGCGCGCGGACCAACCAAACGGATTAAAGAGGGCGTCTTGCGCGCTCGCACTCGTGCAGGGGCCTTATAGGGGCCTTAAAATTGTGCAGGGGGCAAAGCGACCCGGGAGAGGACCTTCTACTGCCCAGGACTCCCTAAGAAGATATTCACTTCTGCAATCACGACTACGAAGAACGTTCAAGTTTGGACGCTTGCACGAGGGGCATGTACGATGCACGCGATGGACTGTAATCGGTCGCTTGCGCTTGCAGCAGTGCGCTCCTAACTATAAGTGCTTGAGCCCTTTAAAAGACTGCGGGCTCCCAAAACATCAGAAGCAACGTCAACCAAACAGCATGAGGCCGCTGCAAGGCCCCCTAGCGCGCCTCTTCGCATGCCCCTTCAGGGGCCCACTGAGTCGGCTGAAAGGGCGTTCCGTGGCAGGAGTTCCTAAAGGGCCTTTGGACGCAAAAACCAACGAAATTTCTATGGGCCCCCCTTGTTATTCTAGAAGCCGTCTCCCCTCCCCGTCTGACCTTCCGCTAGCAAGGAAGCAGCGGCAGAGCGTCTCAAGTAGAAGGGGGCCCTTCCTCCGTTACCTCTGCGCACCCCGTGGAGGAGCCTCCTCCTCACGAGGACGCGCGGGTGGGGCCCCCCGCGAAAAGCGGCCTTGCTTCAGAGGCCTTTAAGACCGCTAGAAGAAGAATCGGTGCTCCGCAGAAAAGTGGAATTTGTGCTTTTGCCTAAGGAGTGCGAGGCCCCGTCCCAAAGCCTCTTCTGTCTTTGCGCAGAACTCTGGATACTGCTTCATCAAGCGATCATAAGTTTCGGTGGCTGCAGCTGCATGCTCAGACACGTTGTCGACGGAAGGCGACGCGCAGAGCCCAGTTCCACCAATTCCTAAAGTGCAAACACAAAAGACACCAAGGGCAGACCTTTCGTCTGTGTCTTTGCCCACCCTATACACCCCATTGCATCCTATAAGCCTAAGAAACTTGGGTTCCCAAGCCTCTGCATGCCACCTGAAGATACAGCCCTTTGTGCAGCGTCCTTCGCGGATTGGGGCTTGGGAGGACGGAAAATTCGGGTCTGTAAGGGTAGTGGCGGCAACCTTGTCCATATATATATAGTGTAGAAGCATAGGCATATGTAGAAACATAGATACAGATATGTAGGTATTTATAGAGATACAGATATATACAGGTATGCACAGATACGCACGCACCAGAACTTCTGCTTCCTAGCTCCATGATTTCATTCAGGTGGTCTCGTACATCTTCCACGATTCGCATCAAATCAAACAGACGACGCACAGATTCCAGTTGCTGCTGAACCTGCAGACCCATCAAAGACGAAGGAACTCAACTCGGCCTTCTGGCAGCTTCCGAAGAAGAAAGACACTCAGAATTGGAGGACTGCCACCAGTCAAGTAAGAAAAACCACAAGGCCCTGCACTCTAGACGCGTACAGCCGCACGCACCGCTTTCATGTGTGCAAACGGCCTCGAGCGGTCCTCAAGGCGCGCAAGTTCCGCATCCATAAGTGGACCATCCAGCATTAGCGCTACGGTGTCTCCCCAGTTGGCGGCAAGGGCCCTATCTTCTAAATGCCGCAGCTCCTGCAACAGCTGCTCCTGCTGCTGCTGCGTCGAAGATTCGGCGGAAGCACATCCGAAATGCATCAACACGGGTCGGGGGAAGGTGCTCGTAAATGCATCACACAAGCTCATGCTGCTGGTGCTGCTGCTGGTGCCGGCGCTGCTAGGGACGCCAGCAGTGCTAGCACTGCTGCTTAAGCGGTAAGAAGAAAGTAAAGGCGCTCTAATGCACCCCAAGGGCCCTTTAGGGCCCTTAGAGAGAACAAAAGGCGCAGCACGCAACATGTTGCGGTGCTGGGAGACACAGAAGACGCTACAGACGCCGAGGGGTTAACAACGAGGCAAATCCACGCATGTCACACACATACATGCAGCCTGTTGTCTTGGGATCAAAATAAGGGCATTCACAATGTCGAGGCAACGCAACTATACAGGAAAGGAGATGGAGAGGCCAGCTACTCCAGAGGTCGTCTCCTGCGGGGCTGCATGCATGCACAGAACTCAAAACGATACTCCTAATGCTGCGCCCTAGATATGTTTGTACAAAAATGTGGACACGCTGCTGACTTGAGTGTGTAGGGGAGCAGCGACGTCTGAGAAGATCTAGACCGATCAGGCAATCTTCCAACCCCTACAGGTTACCATTGGAAACGTTTGTGCACTAACAGCATTCAGGGTCACGCCAACTTGTTTAGCTGTTCATAGTACAGAGTTACTACGCTTTCTTGGTTTTTCGGTACATAGATCAGTACGGTATCTCCTAGTTTTGTGACCTGCCCAGGTAAGTCCACCACAAGGTCTTGTGAGTAATTTTCGTATTGAGCATACTGTGGCTAAAACAGGTTTCCTGTCTACTGCTAGTGCCCTTCTAGGATATGGTGTCTTAGCTTTATAAGAAGTGTCGCTATGAACATTGAAAGGGGATTTCTTCCCGAAGGAAAACTTCCCCCAGTTTACTTAGGTGTACTTGGTGGGCTGTGATGCCTCTGCCTATCTCAAGACTGCGCCCTCTCTCTCATGCACAGGGTATCGTGTGCCATCTGCATGAGAAGCCTAAACCTTTCGAAGGCTCTGTGGGTCTGTCAAACGCCCGGAGGGCTTTTGATGTATGAGTTTAGGGTCAGCGCCTTGGGGAGAGTGGCGTCCTTCACCAAGAGGGAGAGGGCCCTGCAGTGGAGGAGCGGCTGGAAGCAGTAATTCGACAACATTACTATGCCAGTCCTATCTAATTAAGAGTGGTTAAAGAATTGGCTCTTTGTTTTGGGCGCTAGTGCGTCTCAAGGTTTGCAGAGTATAGTTAGTTGGAAACAATGAGAATCGGCTTCATGCGCTTGCCTGTGTCCACAGGCTGCCACTTTGCGCAACTGGAGGTGAAGGATCGGAGTGCTTAGCTGGGTGCAGCAACACCCCTTCAGCCTCGCTGTGGGTCCCTTTCCCTCATGGTGCACTGCTGAGGGATCCGGGAAGGGTTAGGGGGTGTTTACACATAAGCCTTTTGGAGATAAGACTCAACAATTGCTCACCACCATGTTGCGTGCTGAGTTTGGGGCCGATAAATTAAGCTTTTGCCGAGACTACAGGCGGAGTACTATAATGTGGCTCCAGGCCCTTCCCATCCATGCTACAATAGGGCCCGAAAAGGAAGTGACCCTTCCATATAACGTGTCTAGCTATGCATGCGGTGGATGCTGTCTCCAGTGTCAACTCTATGGCTGTGGTGCCACTACGCATTTATGTCGCGCACACTAATAGAGCGTGGACAGCCCCCCGACCAACAAAGACGCCTCGAAGGGCCCGTGACATGCATCGGTAAAGTGCTGTTATTACGACGGACCCATTCAGCGCCCGGTAAGTCGCACGGCAATGCAAGCTTTGGCGTAGAGATCTTTTAGAGCTTGGGATCCGGATGGATAAAGTGCCTTGGTAGCCTGAAGGCCGCTGCTTGTTCAGGAGTGCAAGGACAGAGCTTCAGCACCCACACGTGCTTTTGTGGCTTCTGCTGCTGCGTCTCCCGAAGCAGCCGAGAAACATTCAACGGAAGATTGCCCGGCTTCGCAATATCCTTATTAATTAGTACCACTTCCCTGAGGAGCGCCTCTAGCTGCTGTGCCCTCTCGATTGCAGTTACTGTTGCTGCTCCTCCGCCGTTCCCCGCTGCGGCAGCAGCAGCAGAACTGCTACGGCGGGCTGGAGGCGGAGGCGCCATAATTTCTAAGTCAACCCTACGCTGCTGCTGCAGCGTCGTCCTCAGCTGCTGTAGCACACGAGAAGTGTCAGTCTTGCCTGCTGCCGTGCTGAGTCTGAAGAGTTTCGGCTTAGTCGCCGGATCATAACTGTATTGCTGCTGCTGCTGCTCTTCCTCCTGCTGTTGCCGCTTTTGTTGAAGGCGCTGAAGGAAGCTAGGGAGGTTCTTCACCAAAACACAGACGGGGGGTTTGGCACGAGGCAGCAGGAGCAGCAGCTGCTGCTCCTGCTCCTTCGCCATTTCAAGGGCAGCAGCTGAAGACATATCCCCTAAACAGGAAGCAGCAAATCCCTGCAGCAAACCTGATCGCCGGACCTCCATCTGCTGCTGCTGCTGCTGCTGTTGCTGCTGCTGTTGTTGCTGCTGCTCCGTTTGCGGCTGCTGCGGGTCGGGCCCCAACTGTACCTGTAGCAGCCGCACGAGCGGAAGGTTTATTTGCTCATTCAGCAGCCATTGCGCAGAGGAATTAGAGACAAAGTGAGCCTTTTGAGACACTGCAAAAGGGCGCGGTGCCCCTGTGAGATAGCAGAGGGCCCCAGCAGGGGGGCCCCCCAAAAGTGCGGCCTGCTTGACGCAGTAGTGAGTGCTGCCGAGGCCGCTTCTGCAGGTCCCCCTATGATAAGCCACTAGCGCTCTCCTAATGGAAAACTCGAGATATGAGGGGGATTCCTGCAACAGGGGCGACCCCTGAAGGATCTGGGCCCCAAGGGCCCCTTCCACAGGGATGAGCCGCCTTAAAGAAGTTGCACAGTGCATGTTTCGGAAAGCGGCACTTGGTGCTGCTGCTGCGGCGGCTGGCCCCTTTGGCACCGCTCTCCGTGAGACTTCCGTGCGTGCGCCCGCTGGTGGCTTATGCTCGCGTTCCTACACCATGAAGAAGTGTTGGAATGGCTGCGATCACCTCCAGAAAAGTGACCCTTTCCAGGCCTAGGCCTGCGCGCACCGGAAGATGCATTTAAAAAACAGTTCGAGGTAGCCACTTTCGCCTAATAAAAGGCAATTATGAGGAGTGTTCGGAAGCCCAAGGATCTCCGCAAGGCCCCCAGGAGCGCCGCGAGGCCCCCCCGATTAACCTGTGCAGCATCGCGAGTTCACCGTGTGGTGGCCATTGCAAGTCATCCCCCTCCCTCCTTCCCAAACCCCAAATTTTTGTAGACTTGAATTCGATTTTGCTGAAACCACTTCTTGGGCATTTTCCTGCTTCCCTTGCATTTCCGGGATTATCGTGATCTGGAAGCCACTCTCTGTCTCGGGGGCCCCTCTTTGGTAGGGAAGCTACGTCCTTGATCGTGCGTTCGATTGAATGTGCATCATTTTTCCTAGTAACGGGCTCTTAGGGCACTGATTGAGTCCTAGAAGGAGCCGCTTCAGGGCTCGGTGAGGGCCCACCACTCATCAGGTGCAGCAACAGTCACACCTACAGCAGCAGCAAGGGCTGCAGGCGCATTCTTCGAGATGCAAAGAGGCGTCTTGGCTGTTGCGGCCGCAGGTACTGCGGCTGCCGCAGCCTCAGTGTACAGCAGCAGCGGCGAATTGGGCCGGAGAACCTGTGGCCCCTACGGCAGCCAATCTCTCCTCCCCCTTCGAGGATCCGTTTCTGTACCTTGGGGAACGCCCTGGAGGCCCGTTGTGGTCTCTCACGCGTGTAACTGTGCTGGAATCGATAAGCAAGTTTACTTGGAGAAAAAGGCCAAAAGAGTGCTCTATGTCAAGTCGCGTTTTGGCTTCCAGTGAGACTTCAAACCTTCACTAGGACTGGATCTTTCCCGGGGTTTGGGGCTGTCTAAGTCTGTGAATAAGATTTGCACGCATGCGATTCGTGCCAATTTTAAGAGGCCTGCATTTCAAGGCTTCGGTTTCGCAGCACCGGGGGCCTTCAGCTAGGCGTCCTAAACGGATTGCTGTTTCGGGAATTTCGGGTTGTCGTGGACGCTCAGGTATGTAGACAAGACTGAAGGGGAGGGAGAAGCTCTTTGCCCGGGAGATTTCGCTTGGGTGGAGTTCGAGGGCAGGAAGGCCTTGTCAGGTAGGGTTGCGTGTTGGAGCAGGTGCGGCATGTGTGGTACGCGGTTAGGCATTAAGGCTAAGACATAGGGCTACTGGGGTATGGGTAAATGCTTGCAGGCGAGCTATTTGAGACCTCCCGGACGCAGGGCCTGTTGTTGTCTCTGCTGCTTCGACCCTTTAAAAGGGGGAGCCCCCTCACGGGGGGCCCTTATAAGGTGCGGGTTAAGGATTTGGGCATCGAGGGGGAAGAGGAGGATAGCCACACGCAGGAAATGGCAGAGGGGGTCAAAGCGCAAGGCCTTGCAGGAGAGGCGACAGGCGAGGACACGGAGGAGGGAGCGGCAGTTATTGAAGGAATAGCAAGGGGCATATGTGGCATGAAGAGAGGCGGTACGAAAGCACATGTGTGTGCGCATGCTTGCACACCCTGTCTATTGGGCCCCTGATGCAATCGGCTCATATTTTCTCTGCACCCCTTTTCTTCTCTGTTTACAGGGAAAAGGGAATTGATCCTTCCTCCACAAATGGCCTACAGAGATATTTGCAAAGAGGTGCTCAACGCCTGGAACCTCTAATCCGCGCTTGCTCTGTAGACCGTTTATAGGGTCTTAGGGTACACACGGCACGTCTGGCCATACCCTCATCCGGCCCCGCGACTTTTGCATCCACAGGTTCTCTGAATACCTCCATGGTGCTGTCTCTTTCGTCTGCTTTCGCTGTCCACCAGGTTTTGATATACGAGGTACGCGTGGTATGGGTCGGGAACGATCCCCCTCCCGCGAGCCTATGGGGCCGGGCCCTCCACGCTCTTCAGTCCTCGTCAGGAAGCAGCAGCAACAGCAGCAGCAACAGCAGCAGCAACAGCAGCAGCAATATCGACCGGGCTCATAACAACAGTTAAATCGGTGCTGGCATGTCGGGTGTGAATAACCCCGCTAAGAAGTATCGTTGCAAAGTTCACTGGCCCCCAAAGGTTCCAAACTCCTGAACCACACGGCCGTTGCTAAGGAAAGAGGGAAGCACAGAGTGACGACCCTCAAGTCGTGTTTGCACTAGGGGAGGATACCTAGTTCGGTGTGTAAACCTCGTGCTTTCAGGCCCCTGCGAATTACCAAGGCAGAAGGCGCGTGCACTCTGCGTTCTGTGCTTCGTGGCTGGGGGCTTACAACGCTTCTCTGTGGCAGCTGGAAGCTAAGAGAGCAGTCCTGAGTATTCTGCGCGGGTAAAGCGATCCGCGAGGGGCCGCCATTGCAACAGAACACGGTTGGCGAAGGGGTAGAGGCAGTAGCCCGATAGAGATAAAGATGTGACCCGGCAGAAACTCTCCACGAATATAATTTTTAGAGTATAGCCAAATACAAACTGCAGCACGCGCACGCAACAAAGAAGCACGAGGAGGGGTGGAAAAGGCACAAGAAGTGCAAAAGAGGCTCACAAACAGCTATCATGCACAAGAGTACAAGCTAATTAAGGCGGCTCTTCACCTCGCACAGCAGCGCAGCTGCTGCCACTGGTAGACAGGTTCCCGGACCATTTAAGAGCACCTGAGGACAAATATTTTCAGAGATATGCGATACAAATAGTCACCCAGCCAGTCGGCTAGCAGGGTTTACGTAGCTAGCTGCCTATCCAGGAGTGTGTTAAGGTGCATGCAAGAGCAAGCATCTAGGCACCTCGCCTCTGTGTGCCCTGATGTGCTTAAATCTGCTCTCGCGGACCGCGAATCATGAAGAGCAGCATAGAGGAATCCGTTCCTACCAGTTTCGGCTTCTCTTTTATGACGATTCGTAGGGCTGCCATGAAGGCCCGTGCAAATCGGAGTGGCACGCGAAACAGGGAGTCTCCTACTTCTCTGCAGCGCGGGATAAAACTGAAGGAGAAGGGATCGGGCTGAGAAATTCCCTGAAAATACAAAAAAACGCATGGTGGTATTCTCGCTTTGCTGTGAAGCAAGAATCTGAACTCGTTAATTTCATGTATGCAGTGCATTATAGTGCATCGCTAGTAAGCATTTCTGAACCTGCGTATTCTACGTTTTACGTGGTGCCTTCTCAAAAGTTCTCTGTACTACGTTATATATATGCTTCCTCGTGTACGGCTGCATGTTTTTTCTGCCGCTGTACCCACCTGTTTGGTCTGCTGTGGATCGTGTTTAAACAATCGATGCACCTGGGACAGACTGCAAGTGTCGGTGTCTGCAATTACAAAGGTAAATTGGAAGATCCTAGGGTCAAGCTCCTCCACAAGCCGCAGCATTTCCGTAGTGTGGCCCCCTGCAGAAATGCAGAAGAGCAGCAAGCTAGCGGCCTGTTGCATGAGAGCGATAGGGTGATAGCGCACCATCTAGCAGTGCGAAAGGGGGGGCAAAAAGCGTGGTATGGGGACTTGAGCTAAGCGGCTGGCAAACACGCAACTGTAAGCGGCGTTCGCCGACGAGGCCAGAGACAGCACAAGGAAAAGAAATGCTGCAGAATGAAGAGATTCGAATACAGCGACCTTATCCTGAGACACCCGCAATCGCCGTGAACGATACCACCAGGCAAGCATTCGGAAAGCATAGCACAGGGTACCAGCAGTGGCAAGCCACAACACGATTTCTTTGAGCAGTCAGCGGGCACCTTGACTGCGTTTCAGGTTACCTGAACCTAGAACTATGAGCGTCTTGACATCCCACGTTTCGTGCAAAGCCTCGTAGCGCTTATCTCTTTGCGAGCTCATCTCAGCCGCAGCACTCTTTGATGGCCTTGCGGCTGCTCTTTTCGTCGAATCTTCGCTTGTTTCTGGGCCTAGCTTGATTGTGTTCACGACCTCGTGTGTCTGTTCCTTTTCTTTCCTCGATGCCTCTTCGTCCCCTTTTTCGGCACATCCTTGGCCTTCTTCTGCGCTCTTCCCCTCCTTCGTTTCCCCTGCTGCGTCTGCTGCTGCCGCGGAGGGAGGCAGCTCATGGGGAAGGGCCGCCGGTCTGGTGAATAAGCCTCGGTGCACCGCGCTTGACGTGTTTCTTGGTGGGGCATCACGACCAAAAAAAACTTCTGCATCCTGGTAGCGTCGTTCAGGTACACGGGCAGCAGGTTCGCGCTGGCCAACATGTGGTTCACTTCCTGCGGAAGGCAGCGTACCAAAGGCTCAGACTGCGGCGAAAGCTCCAGCACACATAGACACTGCAGCCTTTGCACTGGAACGGTTGCACTGCGCCGAACGGAAAGTTCGCGTCTACCAGGCTAGGACTCCTGATTTTGGTCATCCGACAGAAACGCCTCTTCTCTCATGAGCAACGCACCTATTCGGTCGCAGCCTGCATGTTTTGCGTGTCTTTGTCTCCGAAAAGACAGCGCCAGTTCGAGGATGCGGAGCCAAAAGACGCGTCTTGTGCTCCAGTGCAGCCACCGGAGAAGAAGGGAGAAAATGACTAGCTGCTTGGAGTTGAACAGCACCGTGCTGATTAGCCGCAGCAGCAGCCCGGTCTCTTCGCTTATCTCCGCTGCAGATCCTGCCGAGACTGCTGCTGCCTCTCCTGGTCCAGGTGCGCTGTGCACGCCTACACTGGTGGCACGCACTTGAAACAGCAGCTGGAACGGAGAGATGCAGACAGCAACGATGCTTGCAAGCAGAAGCAGCTCAACAGCCGAAGGCTCGGGAGAGGAGGGAATATGCCATCTAGCGAAACGGAAGAAGGGCCATAGAGGAGAAGCCGGCCACGGCGTAAAAATAAACTCCGTATACATCGCCACTTTGAGCTCCGAGAAGCTAGCGCGCACGTGGTATGCTAGCCACGCTCTCGCTGTGGCCTACTTGTTGATGGCAGTGCTCCCGTGGACGTTGCTTCTGCTATCGATGTTTCTGGTCTTTTGTGTTCCTATTCCGCATTTGAAGGCACAGGGGGAGTCATGATGCAGCGGAAGGAGGCACACCGCGAGGTGTGGAGGAGGAGGGCGACATGCAAATCTGCATGGACGGCGGACAAAGGCATAGCCACTCCCAGCACGCAGATGATGCACACAGGAACGGGGAGAGGCGATGAGGGAAGACGGGAGCGAGGAGGGTTCTAAAGAAGGCATATACAGTCTCGAATTTTGGTGTGGGTTTATACGCGCCAAGAGGGTGAAGCCTGAAGCCTTAGGAGAATCGAATGGCGTAAGAGCAACACATCGTCCGCTGTTAGCGGATTTTGGTGTTTGCGCCGCGCTTGGCGGTCAATGCAACTCGACACTCTCTTGGGAAGGAAACAGACAAGAGTGATGCAACTCGGGATGGCGAGGGAAGCAGCAACAAAACTGGGAAACACGGAAAGCTCGGATTCAGACAATATTCTTAATGCTAACGGCCGGCATTTTCTCGCATTTAGTAGGAAAAAAAGACCCCAGAGATACGTGCGTGTCTGGTCTGTGGCTGGCCGTTGGTCAAACAGCTCTATCCGTAATCGAACTAGCACTAAAACATAGGAGCTAAGGCAATGAAGCTAGCATTACTAGACCTAGACAAAAATTGAAACACTAAGGGATCATGTTAATATGATTTATACAGAGAATGCTCCCACCGCCTTTTGTTGTTCTGCATGTGCCTGCGGCACGGGGGCACATGCAGAACAACAAAAGGCGGCCGAAGCATTATTTCTTTGCCTTATGCCAGTAATCATGGCCTCCCTTCCCTAAGTTATTGATGCAGTGAAAACTAGAGCATATAACGACAAGCCTTGTATAGAGATATTAGCAACAGAATCAATAAATGGCCCTCTTTCCGAACCCCCAGCTTCCACTTTCTTTCCTAGGCGGAGCAGCTGTCCAGACACCCAGCTCACCATTGACAGCATTTCTCGCATCCCTCTGCATGCTGCTAATAATCCGCAACTCACTCGACTAACTGGTTTTCATCCTTCCTGTTTACATTCTGATGCATTGGCGCCTCAGCACATGCAGACATTTACTTGTTGCTCAACAACTCCGGGCATCCGATCGCTAAAGCCTGGTGCCTTCCCGCACGCTCCTCCCACCCCGATAGACCGGCAGATAGCCACTTCTAAATATTTGCAGGCAACTGTCCTCTATGGCGGAGCGTCCACACCCTTTTCTGCACTCCCTTCCGGCATCCTGGACGGCGAACAATGTTTTTCTCATCAACGAAGAAGGCAACCGAGTCGTCACCGTCTGACAATGACTTTGGTCAGCACGCAGCTTCTTCATCGAAGCAGCAGGCGGGAGGGTCCGCCGCTCCTTCCTGCGTGTTCGGAATTCTGCTCTTCAATCCCCTGCTCCTCCCTGACGGCGCCGCTCCTCGGGAGGAGAAGGGGAGTGACCTTGCCTCTGAGTCGGGCAGCAGCGAACACGAGAAGGAGGAAGATAATGCAGACGGATTGTCACGGGAAGAAAGAGAGCAGGAGTCCAAGATTATCTACAGCTACCCACCGAATAGGGAACCGGAGGAGAGGCGCAGCCAGGCAGGACTGCTCGAGGGGTTGCTCATGTTTGCCAAGTAGGTGCATTATAGAACTACAGTTTGCTCGGGATCCATGGCTTAGAGTTTGATGTGGGTAAGCCGTGGTGTGGTGTGTCTGTGTTTCAGTCTGTATGTGTGTGTCTGTGGTGTGTGTAGTGTATGCGTGTAAATGTATGTATGTGTTGTGGGTAGGGTGTATGCATGTAAATGTATGTATGTATTGTGGGTAGGGTGTATGCACGCGTGGTCGCAAGAAGATTTGTACGGGTATGTGTGTGTGTGCCGGGCTACTTCAGGCCATTTTCGCCACTTGGCTTGCCTGTGCAATCTATCTGCACCGAAAAGTATATTATTGTGATGGAGGAGGTAGAAAAGGATTTTTGGCTGTCCATGGTGGGCTTCCTTCCGGAGCTACTTCTCGTGGGAGGGTGGTTAGCGAGCTGTCGCTAACCACCCTCCCACGAGAAGTAGCCCCTTCTCTGACTGAACTGTGCACGTAGCCTAAGGCCCTTTCCCCTGTAACTCCTAAAACAAGGTCGTCCCTAGAAGTATGATAAAAGAGGCCCATAGGCTCTCTGTAACGCCGACCATTGTGCCACATGCGTGTTTCCCGCCCACCGGATCCTCTTGCTTTTGGTGTCTTTGGCTTTGTCGCATCTCTGCCTACCTCCAGACCTTTGCAGCCAACGCAGTATCCAGCCTTGCTATCCCCGAGAAAGCGTCACACCGCGCGGACGAAGACACGGAAGAAGCCATTCTTTTGGGAGTTGGTCCTCACGAAACGTATAGCCGCGCGCTCAGGCTCGAGAAAGAGAAGGAGAGAGATAGAGATAGATACATAGAGAGACAGAGACAGAGAGATTGAGAGACAGAGAGATAGACAGAGAGAGAAAAAGAGAGACAGAGAGAGGGAAACGCCCAATGAATGCAGTGGCCGGCAAAATTGCCGAATCCCCTAGAGGACTTCGCGTGCATATAAACATGCGTATATTTTAGATTTAGATGCATTGCGATAGATCGTGCATAGGTATATCTATGCCTTTCTAGGTAGTTTTACATCGCAAGGCCGAAGCCGTTGATGCCGCTGCTGCTGCGACACGCCAAAAAAACCCTAAATTGCATGTTTCTACCGCATGCCTCTGTCCTGCGCCTTTCTGAAGTCTTCCAGTTTTTGCGCTTTGAGCCCGTGAACTCGCACAAGTTTTGCTTTTGCATGAAACAATTTTTAAAAGTGCTAGAGAGGGCAAGCAGAAGCCAACGCAACCTCATCCCGCCATGAGGCCTTGCCTTCTCTCCCTTCCATCTGTCCGTCGTCACTCTCTCGCAGGTGCTGCGTGGCTTTTACGCCTTGTTTCGGTTGCTTCACGGCCGCTTTGGTGCCTTCCTTGAGCGTGATCGGCGTCACGAACTGCTGGACGTGTTGAATGACTACGCCCCCTCCTTCGTAGAGACTTTGGATGGCAGCAGGCTTTCGCTGTTTAACGGTATGCCTTCATGGATGGGCTGGCATAATCAGGCGACTTAAGTAGTTTGCTAGCTGCCGCCTTGCCAGTGGCTGTGGCCGCATGCACATCCACGCACAGCCCAGCGCATGTGTCTGCACGCTGCCTGCTTCTTTGAGGCAGGCAGAGTGCAGCAGCGGGGGAGAGGCATGCCAAATCCTAATCCTCGAAGGAGCTGGAGTCATCTGCGTCATTCGCATGCACACGTACATGGGCATGCATCTCCGGGCTGACACATCGGGTGCCTACATTTGGCGCGCTGTATATGAGTCGTGCTTGAATCCAGCCAATGCCACATTATGCCCCAGGGCAGCGCATGCAGGCACCACATTTTGAATCGATGGCTCTAGACTCTGCGAAAGGCATTTAAACGGCCATTTCCTGCCGCTTGCGCATGCCTGTGTTTCTGGCACAACACGCACATATATGTAAATATACATATACACGTAACACATTTTTTTCCCGCCGTTCTGCGGATGCTTGTTTGCAGCCGTCGCAGGATTCCACTTTGCGCCAGTCGACCGATTGCCGTATCTAGCGGTCCCTTCCCTCATCTCTCTTCTTAAACACAACTACCCCTGCATTCTCCACGCGGCACTGCTCCTCAACGGGTGTCTGGTGTATCACTCGTACGCGCATAACTTCCCATAGTGCTTTCCGGCCATCCCTCCGTATACCCCACAGGGATGCAAGGAGCCTGTGCACCTGCTGAGCGTCTCTGTCCATCTCTCTCTGTCTCTCTTTATCTCTATATCATTCTATCTCTCTCCCTCTCACTCAGCATCGCATCGGCGTCGCACAGTGTCCTTTTTCTGATTCTTCCCCCCTTATCCTGCCCGCTTCTCGTGCATGAGCGTCCTCTCAGCGCCTGCTTCTCTGCGTCCTGTCTCTCCACTGGCTGTCTGTGGGCTGCTTCTCTCCCCAGTGTTGCGCTGCGCTCTGCTTCTTCCATGAGGTAGTAGACTTGCTCCTGCGTGCACCCCTGCGTGCCCCCCTGCATCTCTGTCCCTTCTTCCGCTGCTGCAGTATGAATACTCCCGTGGATGACGGCTGCCTCATGGGCTCCTCAGAGATTCGCCATCAGGCCGCTGGCCTGAGCTTCGAACCCGAAGCTCTCTTGGTGCTCTACAACTATCTGGTGTGCACTGAAGGGAATGCCTCGGTCGATCCTCACAAGCTCTTGAAGCCTCCTTATGCAAGAGTGCCTACGGCAGCCGCAAGGGTATGGAGTTTCTTTGCTGCTCTCTCGGCCCCTTCCCATCTCCTTGTAGAGCGGAGTGGTGCGCAAATGTGCGGGCTGCGTTTTTGCCCATCAGCTTGCCACCTTGCCCTCCAGCGCACCACATATATATTAGGCAGAAAACACAGTATACATATACATGCGTATTTTAGATGTAGGCAAGAGGAGATGCCACTGTGTGAGCGCGCGTATGTATGCGTCCACACGGATATGTCTCGTGGAATTGGCGCAGTCCGTCAAGGCCCATATCTTGTTACGCGAACAGATGCGTTTTTTATGTTTTTTCTCAATGGCATTACGATTGCCTTTCTGTCCGCTGCCTGGCTGTCGCCGTTTTCTGTTTCTTGATTAATGTTTGTGTGTGTATGTGGGTGTGTATGTATGTATATATGTGTATATGCGTGTGGCCGATAGCTCTAGTGCTGCGTGCACTTGAGGCTACCCTTTTTGGATGGGCCTTCTCTGTGTGGTTGTGGGTGTGTTGATACAGCCTGGAGGGGGCTGCTCCTCCTTCGGCCGGTCTGTGCGGGAAGAAGGCAACCCTTGTTTCCTCTTTGGACCCGTGGGGTGAGGCGCAGCACTGCCTGATTGCGTCTTGCTGTGTCTCTTACGAAGTGCACACCTCACTGCCACTTGGACTGCACCCCTCTGTTCGCGTCTAGGATTATAAAGGGCCTGATGACAAGCCGGGGCTGCAGATATGTGGAAGCGTTCGTTTGCATTGTGCATACGTGTTGAGATGGTCGCCGACACGACAGATGCTTGCAGCAATGACAGAGAGGGACGCACTTATCGAGGGTGAGTACTCATGTGTGCATTGCGGGGTGCGCCGTTCAGGCAGTTCGCCTTCCTCCCAACTGTCCATCTAGGAGATAATTCAACTGGCTGCCTGCTGGCGCTGCTCTATGAGCAACTCCTTCTCATTCTCGTCCTTGACGAGACAGACCAGCGAATTTCTGACGTTACGGTGAGGCTCTAGGGTGTAGGGCTAGTGTGAGCTCAACTGCTTTGCGTTTTTATGGGATCGTTGAAAGTCTTCAAAAGTTGTAAACCGTGTTTTAGGCCTTGTAAATGGGACCCACAGCTATGAGCAGAACGACGTGTGGGCTCGCTTTTTCATATTACACCTTTTGCCTAGGGATTTGTATTTCCGCATATATATATACATATATACTCATATGGAGAAAATTTCGGGCGGGAAAACAGGGCTGCTTCCCCCACCCACACGCCTTCCCCTTACGTACCCCTCTGTTAAGTCCTTTGAACGGCTTCTCTTCCTTTGCATCTTAGTTGAGGCCCATTCAACTGCCTCACATTCATTGACTGTCTTGCTGCTTAGTTCCCTTATGCTGCTGCCCTGTGCATTGCAGTTCTTGCAATCTCTTCGTACCGCGGCTGTTGAAGGCCCCTGTGGTCTGCGGGAGCTGAACGGCATTTTGTCATCAGAATTTAAGAAGGTGATGAAACAGGAGGATACCTACAGGTTCATTTACTTCAATCAAGCCAATAGAGCGATACGCATGTAAGCAAGCTGCGGGGAGCCCTTGTTTGCATCTGCAGGTTTGTGGCTGCCTGCCTTCCTTCTGCACCTCGCGCTACGCCTCTGTATTATGGTGCCTCTATATAAAGCATTCTTCCCGAACAGTGTTTATGCATCCGTTTTTTCAGCTCCAACAAGTCGTGTCCACAGAACTCTAATTCTCCTCCCTTCTTCAAGAATTTCTGCTTCTCCGCTCAAGAGCTTCAGCGCGTGGGTCACATGCACTGTAAGTTCCTGGGATTTTCTGCATCTCCCCCCATGCTTAATGGATGCAAAGGATCAAGACGAGCTAGTGATGGAGCCATTTCCCCGTCAAGTAGCAACTGCAGCAAAAAGGCAGAAACACATAAGGAAGAGGATTCTACTGCAGCAGAAAAAGGAGGGTGGGCGACGGGGGTCAGAGCAGGAGGGAAAAGCCTTATGGAGGTCAAGCTGCAGCAGCAGGAGATGGGGATTCTAGACAGCGTTCGTACAATGGCAGTAAAGGATAGCCAGAGCGGGTGGTTAATCGGCAGAAGGACATGTGACAGAGAATACTTTCTTGCACTTGATGATGCGAAAACAACATTTACGAAGGCCATGGAAGACGTGCAACGTTTCTCAGCTCTTCATTTCTCCAACATTTTTGTGTGAAAATCTGCAAAATGCCGGAAGCAACGGCAAGCCACTTGCATGGCCTCGCGACAGCAGTCACGCTGCCTTATAGGTCGGGCCAAGTCAGCACTCGTTAATTTATCGAAAAGCACGCCTGTCTCCACTATTTCAGAATTTCAGTCAGTACCAGCAACGAGAGACACATGGAGAACCCAAAAAGCAGGCCCTTCTTTCCCATTTCTTATCTCATAGTGCTGCACGCTTCAGGCCTAACAGGAGCAAGACCACATGGAAAGGAAAAATGCTGTCTTTCCATTGTAGTAGGCTGTATGACAAACGTGAAAATACGTCACACAATAAGTTTTCCTTGTACCTCTACTTGTATGTACACTTCCGCACACCTAGTACATGTATTATAGTAGTCAGACTACTCTGCACAGCGCGTATACTTACATATATTCATGTACGTTTGTGAATAGACCTGTGCCTATGGTTAATCTCATCGTTTCCAGAAAATGCTACCCTGCGTTGGCTTAATCTGACCGCTATGTAGCAGCCCGTTATCCCCTCAACGCAACCGTATTTTGCTTGGTAGCATTCCCATAGGCTTTGCAATCCGTGCGCTCTGCGTCAATGCACATCGCCCACTTTTGCAGTCCTTGCCTGAGCCCCTGTTCCAAATTGCGGACGAATGCCCGGGTAAGGATCTGCAGTCGGCTTCATGTGGTTACACCACAAAAATAGTACACAGGTGCAAACGGGTGCAGCAAAAATAGGTACTGCGAGAAATAGTGATCTATTTGGCTTTGCAAGTGTTGACATTATTCCACTGGGACAGTCATAGGAACAGCAACTGGGTTGAATTCGATTGTTTGTTCATGCTTCCGCACAGCGCAGCGGGTCCTATAAGCTCCTCCCTCGCAATCCAGATACTGTCGATGCGCAAGTGGACACATTTCATGAGTCCATTTACAGAAACAAGTGACTCAGGCGTGCAGGAAGATTAAATGAGCGCACCTTGTAGTCTTCGGTCGGACTGGGTTCATTGAAATCACCTTCGGGGCAATGAGGGTCCCCGCATTTCGTGTAGCATTGTTGCCCCGGCTTCAGCTGATCGTGTAAATCATTAGACCATCCATGCGAAAATGTGGGCGACGGAGGGAACATACCTTTTTAACTAGTTCAGCAGTGCATTCTTTGTTTTTTGAACTCAGCATTGTGCAGAGGAAACGTCTCTCTGTCTCGGAGCAGCCTGTTGTTGGGTGTTGCATAGCTGAAATAGAGCAAGCGGCAACCGTGAAGGAATATTCAACGGACCGTTTGTCCCCTTTGAAGTCTGTTTAAGGGGTCTGTCTCGCAGCACAAAGGAAAATTTCCAGTCTGAAAAGAAGGGAAATACAGTGCTCAATGTTGTTGTCTTCCGAGTGGAGATCCTGTGGCCAGTTTACCAGTACTCCGACATAGTATGGAATTATCTATTGACACCTCATGATTTTCCGCTTATGCGGCAGTTCTTACTTTCTCCTTGTCCGCTGCATCTCGCTTCGCCCGGTTCAGTTCCGCAAGAAGACCAACATGCTGTTGTTGAGGAGCTTGACTCAGGCTGTTATCGGAATGTGAAACGGCACAAAAATTGAAAAGAAAAAAGTTTCTGACCACCAAGGAATCACATGTTGCAGTGAAATGCCCATTATTTCCTAATGTGTCAATCCTGAAGTTTTCCGATGATAGATTTAGTTAGTAATCATTTCGTATCGAGAGATGGGAACATTGAGGAATAAGACCTACCCTGTATGGTGCCGAACTGCTAGTGAGCAAGCAGAGAGAAAGTGAACGATTAGCACAAATGGAAATAGAACCGTCATTGTTTGTGCCACATTGCGTCACGTATTCCCGTTGCAAACGAAAGCACACAATCAAGTATGTTTGAAGACAGTTTCGTTGTATGTACACCGCTAGCGAATGCCAACTGCCTGACTGCAGACGGAAGATTATTGAATGGAACAAAATTCAATATATTTCATTAATTGTTAGCTGGATATAATGACTGTCTGTCGAAGTGTTAGGATGAAAAATCAGAAGTCTCGAATTCATTGTATGACACATGAGCTAGCAACGAGAACGTTCAGTGCAGTCCTCTAGTGTATTGGTGCTTAGATTCTCCTCTTGCATACAAATACAACAAACAGTGAAAACACTAGAGCACTGAAAACAATAATTAAAATCGGTCCACAGCTCTTTACGGCGTTGTGGTTGAACACCTGCTTGACGAACTAAGGGTATTGGGCGTCATACCTCAACCACAGCAAAAATGGGACAATGCTTCTTTTTATTAAAGCCTGAAAAACACGAAAGTGTGTTTGCATTGCGTGTTCTTTGCCATGTATCGACCTTTTTGCATTCCCATATATCGAATGAACAGATAAGGCCCCTCTTTCGGGGCGTTGTTCCATGCCCTTTGATTCCAGCTTTTCTTACACCAGCGCGCCTCTAATTGGTCGGCAGAATGCGGCGTTAAAAGGTTAAGTAGATATTTGAGCGGGTGCTTACAAATGAAGACGAAGCAGAAAACGTGTTTAACATGAAGAGTAATCAAGTCTCCAATAGTTCTGATTTTGTTACCTTTATGTTGCTGGAAATGTCATCAGCGCGTTAAGACGCAGGTTTCCCCATTTCCTCTTCTTCATTTGAAGTTTCGACGACTCCTCTCAGAGCCCTGGCGGCCTGAATCGGTTGATTGTATGAACTTCCTCAATTGGACTCATGTGTGCTGGGTTCATTTTACATTAAGCTCAGATTCCAATTGCTCTGAGAGCTGCTCTCCTTCTTGCGCATCATTGTTTTCCACTGTTAATTTCATTGTTGGGTTTGCTCAATTCCTATGTACAGAGATCAAGGAGTGGTACGTGCGAATTACGGTGGGTAGATTCGTAGCCCGGGAGATGTCTAATACAATTAAATGTAGTAGCAGCTTCACTAGGATCATAAAAAATAACTCACTGGTCAACTATCGTCGCCTCTCCAGAATTAGGAACTTGGCTCTGAATAGACATGAAATAGCGTGAACACACAATGTGGATCAAATGTTTTCCCCGAGTTCTTACCGGCTCAGGACGAATGCTCTGTTGAGGGGGCTCTGGCAATGGTGTTGTAAACTCCGCTGCTTCTTTTGCTCCTTCGAGCTCTCCCTCCGCCCTTGCTGCAAAAACGTATGCAAAATGAAACGGCAATATCGGTTAGAAGTTTCACTTGGTTTTTTGTCACCATAACAATGCTATGTGAGTTTTCCATACCTTCCGCAGTCGCTGCTGCTTGTTTTTCCCTCCTGACTTCCGTATTTAATGCCTTCTTAGCGTTTAATGCATTGTGGCCATTACAGCAGCGACAGATAGACTTGATAGGCATAGCCGTTACTCCAAGCTTATACCTGCTGGGCGAAAAATGCAAGAAGAGAGAAACACAGCAAAAAATATATGAGAGCAAAAGCATGCCACGCATTATCCTTCTTAGAATAAGGAGAATGGGCGTATTAGTAGTTGGTCAGCCTAGATTAATTTTTGAGTCGTCGCTTTATTTTTTGCAAAGTAAATAAAATGACACAGTAACGTTCTCCACCATTCATTGACTGAGCAGGGGCGTCTGTACAGCGCAGCAACATGAGCCTCAATTTTATTCCTGCATGACCGAAAGTGCCTTCATTTTGTACGGAACGTACTGAAAGAAATTACCTTCAGTTTTTGGTCTCTCGTCATGGTACCACACAGTATAATATAAGCGAAAAAAGCTACTGCAGATTCGCCCTGTTGGGTCTGATGGTCCAGGCACACACAGCGGCATGTGCACGAAGGTACACCCCGCCACCCTTCCAATTCTTTCTTATTTTTCATGTTTCATTTGCTTTTAACAACAGCAGTGGCGCCTTCTGCAGACTGACGCATCAAGAGGGTAGATCCCCTTTCCCATTTCCAGGATCCGCTTTTTTCTGGTGTCTGTTTCATTATTCCCCTCGCCGTAGCAGTGGAATTGCGTTGACTGTTTTTAGGATTTAGACATATATTTCACGCCATTTACTATTTGAAACTCATTATGACACTGTTTTTTACTTGATGTGAGACAGAACTGGAGACAGCCAGCAAAATATCAAGAGCACTGCTCTGCGGCTTGCCAATCCCGCACTACCCCATGTTCGTGACCGATTATCTAATTGCTAGGGACCAATTGCAGTCAAAAAGGAGGCGAAATCGGTATTCAGGGCCCTAGTCTTCCAGGCCCATTCAAGGCTGCCCCAGAGATGGACCACCAAGCTCCCCGCACATGGGCAGATGGTGGGTGCTGCCAAGACCCCCGGACCGGTGAAGACTCGACTTCTTAATTGATTTGAGGGAAAGATCGAGAGGCAAAATGGGGAGGACGAATGGGCAAGCGTATGCAGAAAATACGAGCGACAAAGTGCACGACAAAAAGCGGAAGACAGAATATATATTGCGGGCTAACGTGTTTTACTTTTTGCTTTTCGCTGCAGAGGATGGGGGGGTGATTTACGTGCCAATGATAAACCGGACAATTAGGCGAAACCGCATTGTTGAGGTACCGGAAGTTCATGTGGTCGAAAAGCTGGTGCCAAAAGTTACGTTCCAAGACGTCATCAAAAAAGTCCCAAAGGTTGAGATACAATGGGTAGAGAAAATTGTTGAGGTGCCGCAGGTTAAGGTACGGCATCCTTCATGCGTTCGGTGCGTTTTCTTCTGTGCCAGTGCCATCGGCGTATACACTTTCGGGAGGAAGTGCAGCATTTCCATGGGAATTTACGCAGTTTGCACTGATATCCTGGAAATTTGATCTTCTCAAGTTGACGGTGCATTATTGATGCTTTGTCTTTGCCATCAGGTGATTGACAAAATTGTTGAAGTACCACAAATTCATGAAGTACAGCGACTCGTTCCCCGTGTAGAAATTCAAGAAGTTATCCGCCATGTCCCTAAATATCAAGTTCAAACGGTGGAGAAGTTCGTGGAGGTCCCTCAAATTCAGGTTGTTGAGAAATTCGTTGAAGTCCCTCAGATCCATGAGGTCATCAAGTACCAAGTAAAACGGCACACTCACAGAAATTTCTGAGAAGGGAGGAACGGGAACAAGTGGGATGCCTAGCTGACACTCAGTAGCCCGCAGGCGTACCTAAAGTCCCCTTATATGCGGAGTAATAAAGTCTGGTAGAACCCGTTTGGGGTGATCGCAAGTATTTCATAAGGCGTTCTAGTAATGGGGGCACGTTCTTGCCCCCTCGGTATGTGTTCGTCGATGTGCCGGATGGAGCCTCATGGCGTTTGTTGGGCAACGGGCGCCTGCAGTGGCACACTGGACATGATTAAGGCTTTTGTATGTGTACTGCTCCTTCTGTGGGTTTCGGGTTTTTACTCTCTTTCGTTGTTTGCTGATATTATTTCGCTTCTCCCGTTTATGGTAGCACTACCTTTACTACAGTTCCTGCGGTGCAAATCATCATGACACGTATCCGATTTAGATGCCTACGCGTGGGTTGAGGGCGGAATCACCGTGCCGCTCTCTCGTTGTTGTGTGCTCTTCCTTCAGGAGAAAATAGAGATTGTGGACGTTCCTGTTGAGAGGATACGGGAAGTGCCCAAAGCTGAAGTCAAGGTAGTAGAGAAGATCAGGCACGTGCCTGGCCCCATTGAATATGTGGATATACCCCAGGAAACCATCTTCGAAAAGCCTATTATTGAAGTTGTCGAAAAAGTTATTGAAGAGCCAGATATTCAGGTTAGAATACAGATAGGCCTCGCTGTCTTGTGTTCTACCATTCAGAACCAGATCACGGTTAGCCAGCAGCCACCTTGCAGCTGTTTTAGGTGCAGAGCCAGGTGGAATGCAGAAGGTGTGCTTCTTTTTTTGCAGGAGTTTATAGTCGAAACACCGGTGATTGTCCCGTCCGATTCTCCCCCCGTGGAGATTCCTGTGGAGGTTCCTGTTTACTACGATGTGCCCCAGTATTATCCCGTGAGGGGTCGTGTGGTGCCCGTAGAACGAGAAAAGATTTACGAAAAGATAGTCGAAGTGCCGGTGTAAGCACATCTACAGCTAAAAAGGGTGGTACACGACAAGCGCCACTCCCCTTTCGCCTCACCCTTCTGCAAAGTGGGCAGCTTCTGATGCCACTGATCTCGCTCCTACAGCCGCTGCCGCTGTTGCTGCTGTGTCTTGTCTGTTCCGCGCGTTGCCAGTCCCGTTGTGCACGAGAGCGTGCGCGTAGTGAAGGTCCCCCAGGAGGTGCCGGTGGAGGTGTATAGGGAGATTCCTGTCCCACACTATGTTGATCAGTACATTGACGTCCCCTATCAAGTGCCAGTGATCAAGCAACCCCCAATTATTCAACCCGTCTTCCAAAACGTAAGCGCGCAATACCTGTGCAACACTCTCTAGGTGAAGGGAACCTGCCCCCTCACCCTCTAGCCGGTAGTACCCACCCGTCTAATAGCAAACTGCCGTATCCTGCCCGGGAAAATCTTAAACTAGAGCCTCTGTAAATTCCTCTTTTTCCTTCTCTTCTGTCTTCAAACTACAGTCTTGTATCCTCGTGTGGAGCACTCTGGCGGCTTCCCTGCATTACAATGACTTAGGGTGTGTGCGGAGTCTGCATTTTGCAGCAAGTTATCGACGAACCTCCAATATACGAACGGGCCCCCCCGCGCTACATATACGAGAAGCCTGTGTGGGGGGCCCCTATCTTTGAGGAAAATGCGGGGGCCCGACCCCCTCATTTAACCTAAATGGTTGAGCCGTTGGGACCCTGAGTTCCCGGGGGAGCCCCTTCAGTGTGTCTTGGGTTTTGCGGAGTAGACGAATAGCCCTCTTCAGATTGACATTTAAATGGATTTTTGTAGCAAAGCACCTTTACTGCAATTCTTGAATTGCCTGGAAACCCCAAGTGGCAGAAGCCGCAAACGACGCGTTAAGGCGGCGGGGCGGTGAGATGCACAAGTGCCCAAAGGGGGCCCAAAGGGCCTGATCCCCACAGTGATAGGGGGCCCCGAATCCCTTTAGGGGGAACCTTCTAGATCGAGAGCCCCTCTGTCGAAGAGAGTCGCCGAGAGAGGCTTTCTCGCTTTAGGGCCCCCCCATTTGGTTTCGATTTGAAGTGCAGCAAAAAGCCAAGTACGTTACTTTTCTGCACTTGTTGGGGTGTATGCACAGCTGGCGTAATAGACCAACGGGAAAACAAAAAGGAGGGGGTCCCATATGTAGGTTGCTGTCGTGAGGGCCCCCAACGTAATGAGGGGGCTTGAGCCCACATGGGAGGAGGCCTTGTTTATTTCTCTGTAGCTCCGTCCGTCTCCATAACAGCTGTCTCTTCTGATGGGACTGAACGCATAAGTAGACAGAGGAACTTTCTGCTGTTGGTGCGGCGTGCGAAAGGCGCTTCTCATGCGCGCGCGCGCACGACGGGTCCGAGATCCGTGCTTCTGCATGCACGCGGCCGCCTAGTGAGGCGCCTGGAAAACCGCACTAGATTGCGCCTGTAGCTGAAGAGGTCTACAGAAAGTACAATTCAGCCGCGCTACGTGGCAGCTGGTGGCCCTCGACCCGTACAGGAGTGACCCCCTCAGCGATGCAGGTGGCAGATTAGCCGCTCACTGGAGATTCCTGGGGGCATGACCCCGTTCTTGAGAGCTGCCTCTAACTTGGCGATCTCCTCGAGTGAAGAGGCCTGAGCTATCGCTTTCTGGAAGCAAACATGCCCGCAAAAACAAGAAGAGCGTAACAGCGAGTTTGAGGAGTGCGCAACAGGAGTGATGCCGGATGTGCAGGCGTCGGTAGAGGGGGGGAGCCATTGAATATGGATCCATCCGGAACGATACCATCACTATCCCAAATAAGATGCCTTCCTGTCTCTAGAGAGACGAAGAAGGTGTTGCTTTGCGCACTCATATTCATGAAAAAACCATAAAAGCGAAAGAGCACTCTACCATCAGCACACCAACAGACCTTGATGGCTTCCAGTTGTTGGGGCTTTAAGCCACGGGCTTCTGAGGCGACGGTAGGGGCAGTCGTTACGCCGGTCTGGGGTGGCTGGCGCGGAGTGGCTGAGGTGGAAAGGGAAATTAGCACCCAAAAAGCACAAACAAAAACCTTGCAGTCCCTTAAATCCTGACAAGCCGGATTTAAAGGAACGTGCCTCTACGGAATCTAGAGACATTTAATTCTATTCTTAGAGCTACACTTTGCATTACCAATTTTTTCGATGAGCTGTCTCCCGGCTTCGCCTCCAAACTGCTTATTTGCGCTATCCCGTTCTTCCTTCCTGACTCTACAGAAGTCAAAGAAGCGGAGATTCGGGAGATGGAAGAGCACGTAGGAACGGTAATACGGGGTCGAGCAGACGGGGTTCTCCGTTAAAACCAGACGTTCCAGTTTCTTTGCTGAGGACAGACAAATGCAATTCCGATCGGGCGAGTCGGTACAGGGCGGGGAAAAGACAAAAGACGCTGATAAGAGGAAACACAATGAGTAAAACATGGGAGGCAACTCGAGTTGTTGTTGGATGCATTGAAAACCTGCCCTTGAAAAGAGGCTCTAAATCGGAGAGTCGCTCAAGCTGCAACACGCATGCCACACATCGCAAAGTACTGATGGATGGAGATAGCGAAAACAAATAGAAAAGCGACCCACCGTACAGCACTTGCCACAGGACCCCCTCTATATACACACTCAACCTTCTGGAGTCAGCGAGTCCAGGGGCAGGCATGAGCAGGCAGAAAGTTTTAGCGGAGGATCAAGTAATGCAGTGCCACCGCTATTCAAAGGGAGGGTCACACCCAATGATCGAATACACAATGAAGGGAGCGCCTGGAGGTATTATGCATGCAAAAGGGTCGTCAAACCAGATGGAACGGGAGTCCGAGAAACAGACTGAATCTGGAGGGCACGCTATCATCTGCAGCTCAAAAAGCTTAGCCGGAATAGCATGCATGTCGGCGATTGGTGCATCTGGCTGTCTAAAAGGCCCCTCCCTCTGCTCCTGCACTTACTCTGTTGTTGGTCAAGACAAGCGAAACAACGTTGGGGAGGCATTCAAAGAGATCCGATGCAATGCGTGATACCCGATTGTTGCAAACAATCTGCAGCCCGCAAACCGCACGTCGCGAAGTTCGGACCCTAAATCTTTCACTATTCACACAAAGTCGTGACAGGAAGTTTCGTGCAGGGGCCAAGTTTCAGCCTCCATGGCGGCTGTACACCTCTCCGCAAGTCGGTTTGTCGAAGACATCGGGTCCTGCTTACCAAAGATGTGAGTCGATTCAAAGGAGGAAAATTTTGCAGTTTTATAATTTCATTGTCGCTGAGGTCAATACACTCGAAATGGTCCGCGGTGGCTCCCAGGTTCTCGATCACGTCAACCTGGCATCCTGAGAAGCCAAAGCACCAAGCCATGAAAACAGCGACTTCCTTGATCCCAGAACGCGCCTGTACACCAGAGACACCCACCTAGAAAAGCTCTATTTTTCGCAGGAATTGCGGAACGCGAACACACCTCGCAGGCCGAGAGTCCAGTTCTTCGATGGCGATATGTACTGTGGAGATTGGAGAATCAGATCCACGGTTAGACGCATCTTCGACAAGCCCTGCAGACTCTATATGTCCATGTATATGTATTCGTGTGGAAATGCGTATAAACCCGCACGTGAGGATTCGGACGGCGCGGCTCTTGCTGCCGCTGGGGGCGAACCACCCGACTATTGCACCCCCTCGCGCTGCTGCTCCTGCTCCTGCCGCTGCTGCCAATGCTCTGTAATCGCGCGTTTACGGGGTCTGGCACCCCGCTTTCTGTTTTGACGGTGCGTTGGCCACTGCCGTGCCGCTGCGAGCGTGGTGTTGTAGCAGTTGCACGCGTTGCCGCCGTAGCGGGATGCCAGGACCAAGGCGAGCGACAGAAACTGCAAAGCTCTCCAAACAAAGTTCGAGAGAGATCGAAATGGGCAGAGATGGACCAGGTGGTCGGGAGGTTCCTCGAAGAGGAGAGGGGGTTACAGGCGGGAGGGCGGGCACGCAGGGGTATGGGGCTCCTGGTACGCTATTTGGTCATTCCTTTCGAACTGCCTTTTCTTCATTCAAAAGCAAGCAACGGAATCAACACAAACCCCACCAAACAACGGAGCTCGATCCTGCCGGGGCCGTAGAAGCGGCACGTTGGCACACTTTGCTGCCGCATGCACGGGAGGCTCTGTACCTTTTGCATGTGGCTGCTCTACACTACCACCTCCTAGATCCTCTCGCGCCTAAACCCTAACACCCTTGTAATGCGTTTTTTGAAAATGCTGACGGCTCGTTCAAGCATTTGTTAGCTGTATGTACAGCAGAGGTTTCTGGCGTAGGACGGCGCTGATCCTACGCACAATCGGCCCGCGTCAGCCCTCAATATCAGGTACATCGGCGGCCCTCAAAGACGCAGTGTGCAGGACGCCGACGACTTCTTTGAAATTCCTGTGTGCGAGGGGCGTAGAACGTCGGAGACTCAGGCGCAACGAGCGCCCGCTCCCGATTCCCTTACAACGTCCCCCCTGTCAGTGAGGGCCTTTTACGCAGGGGCCTCCTTAATCGCCTTGCATCCTTCACCGCGGCACAAGGATGAGGGGGCCTTGCGAGGTTCCCCCCTCCACTTCCGAGAATGATGACTTTCTGCAAGAGTTGTCTTGGTTGCAGGCGCATTCCCGCAGTGTGGCCGCCCTTCAACGAAGCGAGGCCGATGCCCTTCGTTCTCACTGCGTGCGTCTCGGCGCCATGTGCCTCTCGACCTCCAAAGTCTCTCCCCTGCTCGTCAGCTCCTGCATCCAGGAAGGCGGAGGCCCCTCCCACCAACCTGTCCACGAGCTGGCGTGCTGTGTTGCTGTGATACTGCGAAGGGCGCGGGGAACCTCGCGCGAGGTGTCTGTCGTCTGCAGTGTGTTGCAATATCTCCGGGTGTTTCTGTCCTACTTCCCTCTGGCTGCGATGCTGCTGCTGACTCCGTCCTCCGCCATTCAAGGGCACGAGAGCGGTGATCTGCCAGAGCCTCCGCACGAGCAGGGAGGCTCACGAGCTCCCCTCAGGGAAGCCGCTCTCCAATGGGGGGAAAAGCTGCACGAAAGTCTCTTGGGAATCGTGATAGCCGCAGCAGAAGACCTTCTCGAAAGGAACTGCAACGCAGCTAGCGCCGAGGATTCGCATGAGGACGTGTCTGAATCACCGACGCAGTTACAGCAGCAGCCCAGTCGCCTCTTGCAAAGGACAGGGAAGGAAGCAAGAACAGAGGGGCCTCCACTGCTCCAGCCTTTTCAGTAAGTCCTCTTTCCTCCTCCTCCCACCGACCACCCCAGATGCCCGCTATGCGTTTTGCGTTCTGCTGGCGTGCCTCGGCTCCGCGTCGCCATCCCCGCTTCCCTTGGCCTCTTCAGCTTTCTGGCAGTATCCTGAGTCGAGCTCTGCTCGTTTCGCCTCAGAGATGGCTCGCAGAAATCCCTCGCTGAAGTTCAAGACTCCTTCCAGCAGCCTCGTCCCCTCAAGCGGCGAGCCCAGGGGGTTGCGCCGCTGGAGACTGTTCCGACGGCGAGGGTTGGAGGGACGGCTCTCAGCGCGACTAGACAGGAAACAGGAGGCTTCGCAGAATCCGGGTAGGCTGCTCCTCCAGCTTCTCCAACTCACTTTGCAAGATCCAGGCGTTCCAGAGCTGGAGAGTTCAGAGTCTTCATCATGCGCGCGATCGCGTGCGTTTCAGGAGGGTGTATCGAGACGGGGGCCCCCTCCTGCTTCGCTACGCAGAGTCGCCTCCAGGAGGCCTCGCCTCTGCGGCTGACCTGCTGCAGCGAGCGGCAGCAGAGGCGCTGCTGCTGCAGCAGCTCTTGCTGCTGCTGCTGCGAGTGGTGAGGGGCCTCACTGTAGCTCTAGGGAGGCAGGCTGCTGCTGCGGGTTACCACGCCTTGGCGCTCAAAGCTGAGCAGTTGCAGCTGCGGCAGCGCTGGATCGCTGGGATCTCAGACGACAGCATTCTCACCAGCAAGAGCAAGAGCACCACCAACCCCACAGGAGCCACTGAAAGGGCTGCTGGCATTGCTGTTGTCGGCTGTGTCTTGAGGGCCCTCGCCACTCGCCTGGATGAGTCGTGGCCTCTTAGAGACCTTTTAAGGCCTCCTTTGAAGGATGTCGCTTCCCCGAGGGGCCCCCCTTTCGCAGAATCTCCCAAAGCCTTCGCGGATGCACTGAAGGGGTACCTAGGCAAGGCTGCTTTGGGCAGCCATAAGGGAGCACACGGAGAAAGCCGCATCAAAGACTTCCTGACGATGGAGGCAAGGGGTGGCATGTGCGATCAACGACTCGCCGAGGGAGACTTCGCACACAGCGAGCGCCTCCCTTTCCCTTATCGTCTGAGGCTGTGGACTCTAGACCTCGTGTACGCCGTGCGACACTTATGCACGCACTTCTCTCGCGACCATTCGCCCACGAGATCATGTGATTCTTCAGGGGGCCCCGGGGGGCCCCCCTCGACCAAGCAGGGAGGCCCGCGGGAGCGAGCAGGGCCTCCCCCCGGGGATCGGCTGCGGGGGACTGCTGCGTGGTTGTTGAGCAGCGAAGCCATGGAGGCCCTAGGGGGGGCCCCCCTCTGGTTGTTCGGGTTGCCGGCGACTTCGGAGTCTGCACTTTTCAAGGAGGAAGCAGCTTCAAGACGCAGTGATGGTTGGGTAACAGTGGCGGAGGCTCTCCAAGCCGCAGCTGTGCGTGCCTTCGCCGCCGGAGGAGGGCCGTTTCCCCCACCAATGGAGGATCCCCTTCTAACGCGTGCTTCCGCGGAGAGCGACGGGTCAGCTCTCTATTGGTTCGAGGGCCCCTGTGTGTGGCGTAGAGAACACTTCTTGCTTCCGTGGTCGGGCTGCTAGCATGTGCATTTGTGATGCTGCGCGCCGGGGTATGTCTTTCTTCAGGGCCTTGTATCCTTTCTATACGCCGCTGCAAAATTGTATTCGCCTTCTTTGGCACTGCACGGATTCCGCTGGTGCGCACGCCCCGTCAGAGTCGCCTCTTCGAGGCGTCTACGGCCTCCTTCCTCCTGCCGACTGCATTTCAAACGGTGGTGGTGATGCACTGTGGAGAGGGGGTCCGGAAGCTTTGTCAGCGTCCTTCAGCGAGGACGAGGAAAGTCAGCTTGCCTTCGAGTGCCACAGGGAACTTTTGCAGCAAGGCGTGGAGCCACCCTTTTCGAGGCTTCTTGGAGCTTCCCTGAGTACCCTAAGGAGCATTTACGGGTCCGAAGAGGACGGAGAGGCGCCTAGGCCGCTCGATCCACAGCGGAAGGCTCAGAGTTCAGCGAGGCAGGGGCCCTCTGGCCCCCAGCCGCTTGTTGCGCAGCACTTGAAACAGCAGCAGCAGCGGCGCCTTCTGCAGCATCACATAGCGGAAGATTGTCTGGATATTCTTTCGCGCGGGTGGGCCCCTTCAGATAGTTTGAGCGGGAGGGCCTCCCTGCGGAGCAGGGAAGATTCCGGTGGCCCCCTCGCTGTAGGCTACCCTCCTCTAACAGCTAGCTCATTAGGCCCCACGATGCCTTTGCTGGTGTGCTCACTTGAGCAAATGCTCGCCTCTTGGGGGCGGAATTCGGGGGAAGACGCTAGCCAGGGGGTCCCTCTGCCCCCCGAACTGTGTATATCTGCCCTTTTTGCTGAGGGTAAATTGCGGGCAGCGGCGGAGCGAGGCAGATGAGCGACCAGAATGCTGCTGCAAGCGTGGCTCGCAGCGGAATGGCCCCTGCCCTCTCTCTAACGCTCATACATTCATTTTTTTGTGCGACATTTTTGGAGGCGCTGTGCGTTCCACACAGCCCCAAACTATTTCAACTACACTCCGAAGAGCTCACACGTAGGAGGGTCGACTAGAAGGCGCGAACGTGGAAAGACGCCTCAAAAGGCAGCGCGAGGTCATTAACATCTGAAACCCTTGGGCTATGCCAAAGGACCCTTCTCCCCCTGCCAGCTGAGTGCTCGTGGGGTTTAAACGAACAAAAGCGGCTAAACTGCCGCAAAAAGCCGATTTCTGCATTTGTTGCAGCGTCTGGCGGGTAGTGCTTCAAGACAAATGACAGGTAGAGACTCGCGCACCCCCCCAGTGTCTACTCTGGAGCGTGCTGCGCCTTTCTTCCGTTGCATCTCCAGCTCTTTCTTCCCTCGGGCCCTCCGCACCCCTTGCGTGTTTGCCTAGTCTGTATTATTGGGTGCGTTTTCTATCTCGATCGCATCTTGCTCTGCCTTCTGCTTTTTTTGCTGAGGCCCCTTGTCTGCGACACCCGTCGACCCGTAGCCGCAACTGCCGCGGGAGGTCTCGTCGAGCGAATCGACTAGCTGCAAACACCCCGCATAGTCCCTTTCCCCATCTTACAATTATCCAATGAAATACAACCGCCGCTCGAAATATACGCGCTAGCCTCTACCCGCACGGGCTGTTAGACGAGAGGTGCTTTGGCAGGATTCACATGTGTGGTCTCCCTGTTTCTTCACTTGCCCGTGCGCCATCTATTCCGAAAACCCCTGCTAGTGGGGAACAGGTACAGTCCTCCAATTTTAGCCAAGACCATATTGTTACGAGCTCAGCCCTGAGGCTGTACACGTCTAAATAGGGGAATCAGCAACCTACAGATTCTTGGCACTGCATGCGACTCTCACCTGCAAACTAAAACCTTCGCCATTAAAAGCGACCGCTTGAAAGTATCTGTCGCCTGGCTTCACAGTGAAGGTCTCCGACTTAACATTATCGACGGCGGCCATCAGCTCTCCCCGATACCCCGCGTCTATCAAACCAACTGCACAGTATACCCGAGCAAACACACCCTTGGTTTCAGCATTGTGAAGGGAATGACACCCATACCGGAAGACACGAATAGCAACGACACAGAAGCTACACGAGCTCCTCTTAGCATTCATATGTACAAGAGAAGAGCACAAATGAAAAGGCCCTCTCAAGCCGCGTGGACATCACAAGCAGTCTTCTTAACTCGTGGTTGAAGCATCCATCTCAACCCCCAAGGTGCCTCTCTCTAGGAGTCGTAACCGAACCATACACAGGATTACTATAATTCTAGCGAAATTCCACCTGGGTTCTGTATCTTGGAGCGTGCAGTCAGCACTTCCCAGGCGTCGGCTAGATGCACATTTTGCAACATTATGGAATAGTGGCAGTTGGCTCAGTATAGCATACCTGAGTTAGCGAGTCGAAGCGGCGTTTTCGAAATGGAGCTTCTTGGCAGAACGAGCCATGAAACAGCCCTTCCTTGCTCATTTCTCATGGAAGCAGCAAAACCCAGCTTTAAGAACTTAGTTTCGCCTGGGGCGATCGATGTTTGCTCCACGATGAAGAGATCGAGGCCTGAATCGCCATCATGGAAGGTACCATGGCCTGCGTACAAGGCTTTTGCCTCTTCTCTCAGTGGGAGTATCTGCAGAGTTGGCATTGCTACGGTGCGACGAAGAAGTAGTTCGGGAGCGGTGGTCGAATCGAGGAAGAGAGAAGACGAGAAACGAGAGGTAAGCCAGCGAGTAGAGCTTTCAAATCAGTAAAAACTAATAAATATACAAAAAGAACGATTGAATAATCAAAAACGCAAGCGAAACTGCTCAATTTTCTCCCGTGCAGACATCCGGGTGCCCGTGGTGGTTGTGGGTGCTAAAAATTGGTCGTTTCGGGAGGGGGCTTAGGGTTTGACATTTGTTGCACTCAAAGGGGGTTACCTTCCTCCTTTCCTTTTCGTTATCTGGACGCAAGCACGGCAAGGGGCTTCTACGGAAAAGCCCATTCTTATTGTGAAGGAGTCGATAACCAACCCTCCCAATGTAACGAATGCAAGGTGTGTGCACACGCGTACCCATTAACCCACCCACCCATATATATACACAGTCGTGGCGCTGTCCCTCCATTCAAGCGATCTTCTCACGTAAATAATGAATGAATAACTACGAAATGCGTTTCGTTTGCCGCTTGAGATCTTAGGCCGCTGCGGTCTTGATCCTTATTCCTTAACGTGTTTCGCCAAGGCAGATAAAAAGTATATTTTCACCCATTTTGCGACTTGGTTGCTGTTTGGAACACACAATCGGTTTTCACGGATAATCTCCTGCCTATGAGGTGTGGGACAGGACAATTCACAGTATGCGTATAGAAGCATTAAAAAAAATTTATGCTTTTAAGCGGGCCGAAAGCTAGAAGTAAGCACATTTTACTGCATAATTAGAGTATTCAACAGTTTTGCCTACAGATGACAAAATCGGCTCGACTGTTCGTATTTTCTACCTTTCGCAGAACACAGCACGCTAGAGCAGGACTGTAGGAACTTGCCTGTGCGAGAAGCTGCTATCTGCAAACTCGTGCTAATGTTCGTAAAATTCAGAGCGTCCAGCAGTGCGTAGGCTCGTTGCACAGGACGCTTCCTTCATAAGGACACTCTATGGGCTCGGGGAAGAAAGCTCCATTGTAACGCTTTATAAATGATCGCCACAGGGAGACGCTCAAGTCCAGATTCAGGGCGAACCTTAGAGGGAGTTATAGAGTGCTTTTTCACAAAAGCTCTCAACTTGTCCTTCCCGCGTCACTCAGAGCTCCCGCATGGGAGATGGACACATAGGAAGCGCGTATCTGCACCCTCTATACACTTGGAACATCCACAGATAGTTGCACATCGCATCTAGAGTACACACACAAAAAATATTGTCTTCATAGATCGTTCTCAGAGTACTCTGCAATACGTAAGATATATAAGAAGACAAGCCAACTAGTCAGGTTGTTAATAATTTCTACTAAAATACATCTATTGTAGTAGGAAGTGTGAAAGTACATCTTCGTTCGCCACATCTCTTCAGGCAGGAGGGGGGCATTTTAAAACTTTCGCTCAAATATCGTATATGGTTTGGCGGTGGAGCGGCCGCCTCTATTAAGCCCTTAGAGCTCTCGCTTTGGCAGCTGCTTCTTCTTCTGGGTGCCGAAGTCCTCGCAGCGGATGCTCCGTGTTTCTGTTCTATACAAACGTTGCTGTACTGAAGAGGGTCCTATGGTAGAGATGGAACTGCGCAACGCTGAGGTAATGGCTTCGGCCCCTCCCCTGTCTGTCGCGCTTCCGTTGCGCCCTCTGTGTTCAGTCATGGCGCAGGATTTCCAACGAGATGCTTTGTAGCCGCAAGTCGGCATGGTTAAGTCAGGAAAGCATATAAAAGTTTGTTACAGGGAGGGGGAACCGGGGGTTGACATAAAGGGCCTAGGCGACGGTTTCCGCCTTATCGTGGGAACGTTGATACCAGAAGCTCGTCTATAGGCGCTGTAAGCCCCCACACTTAAAGAAGCACTGCAGTGCCTCTCGCTAAGGAAACATGTGGATGCATGTATACACAGGAAGGAGGAACTTCTATAGGCCCCGGAGAAGCAGGCCATTAACCAATCCGCTGCTGAGGCTACACGAAGATGAAGACACGAAAAAAATTCCGCCCCATGCGGCTCTAATGTTTGTTTTCCTTCATGAAAACGCCAGAGACAATGCAAGATAAGGTTGAGGAGCGGAAGAGACGAAAAACAAGAGGGTGGGTTTGCAAAAAGGCAGAAAAGAATTAGGATGCATTGATCTTGGCGATGCCAGCTGGGCCCTTCAGCAGCCTGAACGATAGCACCGCAAAACAACGCAGAAGCGCACGTACTAATAGCCTAAAGGGCCCTTCAAACGACACCCAAAGCACTGCACTGCAATTCCCTCCTTCTATCTCTGCTTCTTCCGTTCTTTCCCGATCCTTACCGTTTGGCTAACAACGCATAGTCTGCCTGCTTTGCCGATCCGAGAGCAGCAATGAGCATGAGCTCATCAACTTCTGTTTTGGGGAGCGGCTCCCCTCTTTTCGTAAGGATGTCGTGAAGCTGCGTCAAGGTAAGTTTTCCGCTGTGCGAGGGGTCAAAGACGTTGAAGGCATTGATGAGCACCGTCTCAGTGACTGGCTTCTGGTAGTTGTCGCTAAAAGTTTTCACGAATTCCGAGAAAGAGACACGTTCCCCTAAGCAGCGGCGCAAACAAAGTTGGGGAACAGTGCATGTGGGAGGGACATAATACTCTCTCAATCACAGCCTTTGATTCCTCGGCTCCATTTACCTACGCCTCCGCTCCGTATCGACTAGTAGCCGCAGCTCCAGTTACATAAGTGGAGGCGCATAGCTCTCAAGTGCCCGCACAGAACCCTTATACACTAAGTGTTCATAAAATCTCCGTGCGCTCCTAACCTGCTGGCACCGGTGCGGCCTTCTTTGTAGCGGCCACAGTTGGCGCTGTCTTCTTAGCCGCCGCTTGATCTTCTTTTGCGGCCGTTGCCGCCTTCTTGCTCTCCTCAGCAACAGCCACTGCAGACGCAACATGCCGCAAGTCATTAAAAGAGGAGGAGACACATCCACGCCTCATGAATTCACACGCTACCACCGTGATTGCGGTATTCAATGCCTGTTGTCTGTCCGCCTAATCTATAAAATAGAAAGAGGTCAGCGATTATGTGGACGTACGCGCGAAAATTTTTGTGAGATTTGCGTTGGAAGTAGTCTGCCCTAGGGCTCTAAACAATGTGAAGAACTGAAGGGGCAAGGAAAAGCAAAAAGCCACCGATATGTCTGTCACATGGTACGGAAGCGACACGGGAAAAGTGAAGGTAAATGCCGGCAAACGACGATCGCCACAGAGACGCATCGTCCCTTCCAGCAAAAGAAGCCCAAATGCGATAAAAGACAAAAGAGCGCCACAGATGCATACCTGAGCTTTATCGATCATTCCATCCTTGTCTTCGTCGAGCAGTTTGAATGTATCGCTAAAAGGAGCACAAGCACACTGAAGCGGGGGACGAGGGGCTATATTTTGGCAGAGGCAGAGAACACCACACACCCCCACAGGTGCCACCTTGCGGCGTCTCCTGCCGAGTCACAGAAAAGGGGCGAAGCCACACATGCGCGCCCAAGAGTCTAAACAACGGCAGCAAGAAGAAAGCCGGAAATATTGCCGCTGCGGGCGCACGTTGTCTCCTCTTCCCGATGCCGCCCTTCGAACGCGCGGAGAAGAAGCACAGCGGGAGAGAGCACTCAACGCAAGAGTCACAGCCACTATGCGTGATCAGCTTCCAGACCTTCATGACGGCTTGCGAACGCGCGCACACCCGCGAACATGCAATATGAACGAGAAAGCGGAGATGCAATAACAAGACAGTCAGAGAAGTGCGGCCTCCGAGGGCCTCGAGCCCTCCTTCACGGCTTGCGCCTTTCCTTTGAAGCGTCCACTGCAGAACGATGTGAGGAGGGTGTATATACAGACCAGCACACTGCTCAGTGGACCCATCAAATTAGGGCCGTCTTACTAGATGAGCCGGAGGTGTTGCTCGCTGAGCTTAACGCCCTTTCCACTCGCCATCTTCTCGATCGCGTTGAGTCATAAATGACGTTCGCTCTCTTTCTGCTCGGAAACGGCCTTTGTTAAGCACCCCGATTCGCCTCTGCGGCGGGGGCCTCACAGCGAGGTCGTGGGCGGCTGAACAGCTACTGCCGCAGGGGCCCTTCGCGTCGAGTTTAGCGCCAACGATTGGCTCTCTCGGTAAAAAAAGCCAGCAAAATATTAATTCGTGCTAATTTGGAGCTGTTTTCGATTCCCAAGCCCTTAATCATAGAAGCGCCTCGCCTGCTGCTCCCAGGGGGCCTCCGAGTCTGCCGCTGAAGCCTGCAACGAGGGACTGCAGCCCCCCCGACCCCCCCTCGAAAACCACCCACCCGCTGCCACCGACTGCACCTCCCCTGCCGGCGTAAATCTCGAGTTTGCGCTCGACCAACCGATCGCTTTTTGTCCCTAATTGCTTTAAGGGGCCCTAGAAGCCCCTCTCTCCCGCAGACTCCTCAAAAAGCCGCCTTCCTTTCCCTAAGGGCCGCGTGCGGGAGGCGGGGAGAACCGCGAACAAGCGAACTTCACGCGCATGTCTCCAACTCTTTGTCGTCTTCCGACCGCTTCCGTACAGCCCGCATCCCCGCCGTCCTCTCTGGCCTTCTTCAGCGCGAGGCCCCCTGCCTGCCGTGCCTTCCCCACAGGCACCCCCGCTGCAACACCGTGCAGCGTCCAAGCTGGCTGCAGGGGAGGAACCTGTGCCTCCTCAGCCTGGCGGAGCTCCTCAGCGCCTTCAGCCGCTAGGGCGGGAGGCTCTCCTCGGACGGGCGAAGAGCGAAGCACAGCGTCCTCTGAGGCTCCTTGACGCACTCCTGGTAACGGCCTCCATTCGGCAGCTCTTGGGGCCCCCAGCCTCCGCTCATCTCCCTCCTACGCTGCCTACACGTCTCGCATCAGCGGCAGTGGAATTCGTTTAGCATGGAGGCTACTAGAGCAGCAGCGGCAGCCACGCGGATCGCCGCAGACAGCCGTCTAACTCGCAGCGGAACCCTCCTTGAAAGGAGCTTTCATCCACGAGGCGGCTTCCACCAACGCCAAAACCAGCCGCTCACAGCCTCTGCCTCTCTCGAGCACCTTCAGGAGGACGAGGGGGGCCCCCGGGGGGTTGCCCGTCGCTTCTCTTCGCACAGGCGCACTTCTCCGTGCGACCTGCAGCACAAGCAGCAGCAGCAACAGCTGCTGCTAAACTTTGCTGACAATGAAATAGAAGAGCTAAGGCAGGCTTACAAAAAAATTCGCAGCTCCCCGAGCAGGGGACTGGCAGCTGCAGCCACAGAAGGGCCGCAACAGCACCAACAGCAGCAGCAGGTCGAGGACGAGAGGAGAACGCGAGTCAGAGGAGTTAGCAGCAGCAGCAACAACAGTAGTAAGGATAGAGCTCGTGGAGCAGCATCGAGCGATCCATGTGCAGGTGCTTCCTTCACTCACGTTGGCGGCAATGAAAGTAGCAGCAGCAGCAGCAGCACTACGCCGTTCGACGAGCTTCCTGCAGTAGTTGCTGCCGATGGGGAGGAACCTCCACCGTTTGAGGCTTTGTTGCAGAGAGCGCTGCAGCAAGAAGCGGCGCGCATCCGCAGGGGCCTCCCACCGCCTCTCGTACAGCAGCAACGGCAGCAGCAGCAGCACGAGCAGCAGCAGCAGAGTCGTCCGTTTCTCAGAAAAGGCAGCAATCTTCAGGCCTGGAGGGCTCCCTCCGTCTGCAGAAAGCGCAATGCAGCATCAGCACCCTCCTCGAGCGCAGAAACACCAGACTTTCATGGTAAGCGTCGCCTTGCAGCTGCAAGTGATGCCTTGGCTGCAGCTTGTGCTTCCTCTGCACCAAGATTTCGTGTGGCTGCTGCTGCCCTGCAGGGGCGGCTTTGGAGGCTGCAGCAGCAGCGCCTGCCGAAAGGACGAGGCAGGAGCAGCATGCTCGAGCGCATGCTGCCGACGGAGTAGCCGACAGAGAGGACGACGCAGCAGCAGCAGCAGCAGTGGCAGACGTCGAAAACCGACGCGCCGAGTTGGAGGCATGTCTCTTTGAAGAGGAGGAGTCCTCTCCTGCTGGACTGACGAGAGTTCATCGTCATCGACAGCAGGAGTCTCAGGTGCAAGGCGTGCTGCCGCAGCTTCAAGACAATGCAAGCGACGCGGAGGAGGCGAAAGACGGAGAAGATGACTGGCTAGGGGCACAAATGGAGCAGCTGCGTCTTGATGAAGCCCCCCAATGGGAGGCTTCCTGCCAGCCTCACGGAGCAGCAGTAGACACACCACAAAGCGAGCCGCTTCGCCGCTGCGCCGCGCAGAAGACACCCCCTCAACGGGTTCAAAAGAAGCAGCTCGTGGACCCCACTGCAGATGTGCAAAGGGGAGCTGACACATCCCCGTGTGAAGTTTCCCCTGCTTCGTCGAGCCTGAGGCAGACGAAGCAATCGCAGCAGCCACATCTTCTGCAGCGGCCACGCCTAATTACCTTCGCCGATGAGGTTGCCGCAAGAGGCACAGATTCCGCCACTAACGGCGCTCCCGATGGAGCACCCCCCACTCCATGCGATGAACCGCTGCAGGCTTCTGCTGCTGCGGCAGAAGAAAGCGAAAGGGAGCTCTTCATGTCAAGGATGGAAGTGCTCAAAACGCAAATGGCTCGGTATGATGGAGAACGTGCGGAGGAAGACGATGGCTAGAAGGGAGGCCCTTTATAGAGGGGCCCCCGAGCACAGCTTCCGCTTTGTGTGTGTATCTAAGTGGGTGTGTGTATGTATGTCTGTTTGTCTGTATGTATGTATGTCTCTGCGTGAGTGTGCGATGGAGGGCGTTGGCGGAGAAAGGGGGGATGTTGATCCGCGCAGTCCCTGTACCCCCTGGTGTGCCTAAATTGTTGATCCTTGCTGCGCCTCCTGAATCGCGAAAGCCCACAGAGCGCGTGTTGTTTGCGGATTTTCTGTGGGCAGGCTGCGGGAGAGTGAAGAACGGCTAAGGAACATCTCTGCAGAGCTGCGGCAACAGAGGGCAGATCTCGAAGCAGAGCGTGGTGAGGCTTCCAGCCGACGGGAGTGGGGGGGAGTAGTTCGCTACGCCGTCGGAGTCATATGTGGTATTGGGATTTTTTGCGAGCGCTAAGGACAGGCTGCAGACCGCAGCGTTGTACAAATCTGTCTGGCTTTTAGGTTTGAGGGTGCGCGTCTCAGGCCGGCTGCATTCCACTCTGAACGACCAGCACCAGCATGCGTTGCAAGAAATCAGCGCTTGCAGGCAGCAGCTGCAGCAGCAGAAGAGACGATTAGCAGGTGCTCTGGGGGCTTTGGGGGTGTTGGTGGCGACAGGTGCAGGCAGCATCGAGAATCGAGATACTCAGCCGTCGTTTGCAAGCTTAGTGTTTCCGTTTATGCGCCGCGCATGATGTCTGCAGCGGAGAGAGAGCGACTAAGAGAGGGCCTTGCGCAACAGCAACAGCAGCAGCAGCAGCAGCTCTTGCTGCAGAGGCAGGTGGAAGAGCTGAAGGTTCGTTACGCGTGGTGCTCTGTTTCTGCTGCTCCGCGTGCCTCCTGGTGGGGTCTCCCCGAGTTACACCCGGGTGCAGAATAGATGCAGATACGCCTCTTGTTGCATCGGGTTGCTGCTTTCGCAGGAAGAGCTCCAAACTGTAAAATTCCGATATCGTACTGCGCACAACCGTTGGGCTGCTGAGAGGCAGCAGCTCCGTCAACAGCTGCAGGAGGCGAAGGCGGAGTTGCGGCTTGCTATTGCTTGTCGCACACCCTCGCATGCAGGTATGCTCCCGCTTCCGTGTTCAATCGAGGTTGCTTTTTTGACGACGCTCCTACGCCTCTGTTGGCTGCACGCAGCCAGAATGTGCTGCGTTCCTTTTCTCTCTGTCTGTCTCTTCAGGTGCAGCGGCACCATCATCAGGAAGAAGTCTTGCCCGGCACCCCTCTGTGTCAGGCCCCACCACCCCCCCCTCGCACCGACAGCAGCAGAAAAAACAGACGCAACGCCAGCTACACGCAGCGGCAGCAAGCTCCCCCGTGTGCCGTCGAGGCTGCAGCCTCAGCAGCACGAGCAGCCTGCGCAGCACCAGCAACTGCAGCGTCAGACGCTGGGAAGTGCAGCAACAGCAGCGGCAACAGCAGCAGCAGTCGTCTCCCGCGCTGTCTCCCTCGGCTCTGGAGGCTCCTGACTGGCAAGACGCTGCCGCAAGTTTGCTGGATCAAGAATTCCTAGCCGGTGTTACTTGTGCTACCGATGCTGCAGGGGACACACTTGCACCAGAAGCTACAAGAGCCAGCGAACGAGCAGTCGTCTTGTCGGGAGAGGCTGCTGCTGCTGCTTCCGCTTCCGATTTGGGGGAGGGGTCAGCAGATCCTGTCGCTGAAAGCGTGCGGGTGCAGCAGCAGCTGTTGATGCGAAAGCAAAGCCAGGCCTCCTTGCTACCAGCAATGGCGTTCATCTCTCCCACAGATTCCTTTGGTCGCCGCAATCCGCAGCAGCAGCTGCTATTCGAGCAGCAGCAGATGCTGCAGCAGCAACAACAGCAGCTCCTGCAGCAGCAGCAGCTGCTGTTGCAGCTCTCCAAATCGCTGGCAGCAGGCGCCGACCCCACCGCCCCTGCAGCTCTCGCGGCAAGAGGGACGCAACGGAAACAGCAGCAGCAGCAGCAGCCAGGGGGGGTTTTGTCGCAGCAGCCGGATGCCTCGCAGAGCAGCATTTCCACACGCGAGAGCAGCACGCATCATCTGAGCAACAGCATACCCTTGGAGGGCGAACCCCTGTTGCCTTCAGAGATGCAACCGCATCTAGGGGCCTTCCCAGCTGGAAAACAGACAGCAGAACACGCAGCAGCAGCAGCAGCTGCTGCTGCTGCTGCACCAAGTGGGGCAGCAGACAGCGCAGCGCACGAAGCTCCTGCAGCGAGATATCTTGCTGTTTTGGCTGATATGTCCTCACAACAGAAGGAGACCCCGCATGTGGAAGCTCCATGCACCGGTAAGGCTGTAGCTTGCCTATGCATTTGCCGTCGCGGTAACTACAGTTTTGACAGCATCAGTTGCGGGCAGCTATGTCTGCGCCTCCCGTTTGTGTGTATGTATGTGTACGTGTGTGTATGTGTGCATGCGTATGTCGGTGCGCAACAGCAGAAGACTTTGCTTCTTTGTTGTCTTTTGATTTCTCCGGTCCTTTTGTGGCGGGCATGGAAACTCTCAGAGAAATTCTGAGCGATAGAAATCCTCCAGTCGCTAAGAAAGAGCTGAAGGATAGAGTCGAACAGACGCTTGAGTCAGGTATGACGGGATGGTGCCTGAGGAAGAAACGACTAAAAAATCTACATTTAGGGGTATCGGGAGAACTCCTTTGAGTGTATGCAGGGGCTTTGCAATGCTCTAGAGCCAGCATCTTGGGAAAGGCATCCTTTCCTGCTGGCCAGCTCTTTTAAATTCCAGGTTGAGGGGTGTGCGTAGTGTATTAAGGCGCTTTTCTTTCCAACCGCAACTCCTTCGTCCTCTTCTTGCGCGCTGTTTATGCAGGCCATATTCGGATTGTTTACAGCAACGGCCTCGAGCGACTGCGTGCGAGGAACGGCCAGACTTTTGTGCTCTTTCTTAATGGCGACATCAGAATTACTGAACCAGGTGGCGCGCAAGTGCGTCAAAGGGAAATTCTTGGGCAAAGAAGGAGGTTTAGAGGAAGGTTAACCAGTGGGAAATGTATATGCTTGGCTAGTGAAGTAGATTGAGCATTTACTAGGCTCAGAATTCGTAAATATCCACTTGTACCTATGACAGCAGGTACCCCAGGTGGCCACTGAATACGAACTGAACTGATCTTGTTTTGTTTCTCAGATCTACCAGTTCAGGGAAAGCAACACGCTGCAATACAATCTTGCAGACGGTCGGCAGTTTAACCGGTGAGAAGTGGTATCTCTTTTAAAGCTTCTTAATGCACTCAGCGTTCACGATTTTCCACAGAAACTTTACACACCGAAAAGGTAGCCAAAGGGCCCTGCACAATACAACCTGTTCATGACTTTTTTCTAGACTTGTGCGCTTGTGCTTTCGCTGTTCTTCTGCTTAGCTTCTCTGATGGGCAGCTCGAGTGCTTGTTCCCGGATGGGTCAGCGCAGATTATTTTTGCCAACGGAATTCGCAAAATCGTGGGGGCCAACAGAGAGGAAAAGCTCATCTTCCCAGACGGTGAGGCAGTCCACAAAGTTCGCACAAGCATTAAATGAATGAGCACTGCCAGCGGCTTTTTCGAGGATCACAAGTGTTCTGCATGGGGAGGAGTAGCATAAAATGAGAATGAAAGCTTGAATGTGCGGGATACTCAAAGGAAAGTGAAAACGAGGGTCTGCACTGCGAAAAGGAACGACTCGCCAAGGGAAGATCACAAAATACGTATTGAACGTTTCAGGTTGTCACAAGCGACCTTGAACTTTAAATCTGATGAGATGTTCCATCTACCAAATGCTTTGCGGAATTGATTCCTGCTTCTTTTTGTGTGTTTCTTCTCAGGCAGCACGCAGCTCGTGACCGCGCCTGCTGCTTCCGCACCCTGATTTTCCCGTCCTCTGAAAATTCTTATTTTCTGTGCTCGTTTTTTTGCCCTATTTGCGGGATTAATATGGGGGGATGAGTGATTTTACAATGTTTTCGGTTGGATAAGCAGCGTAGCGTAGCCAGAGTAAAACCACAGCCACCCGCCACACGCGGATTCCGCTTTTTGCGACCTTTACTGTTTCATTTAATAGGAACTTTGTCCAAAACGAACCCGCGGCATTGTTTAGGGAATTAAACCTTATGTTCAAAAAAGCATCAGTAGCTCTCCTGTTGACTACTGCCTCACCGCCTCTTGAAGCATGCGCCTACTATTATACTGCTAATCGAAGAATAATCTAGGGGTTGCACAAGATAAATTGATTTGAACGGCAAATGTTTAACGGCAGGCCCAATTTCCCAAGCATCAACGCACATGCACACAGAGTGCATTTGCCTACCGAGGGGGACAATGGGCGGTGTGTGATCTATGAAGTCAAAAAGGGAGATTACCGCACTATCTTAAATTGAAGATATGCACAATATGTGCTGCCGTATGATGCATATACCTGCAAACAGGGGCAGGGTAGTTTGAAAGGCAGCAATGTGGAGGAACAATTTCCGTGGAGTCATCCAGGGGAATGAATGAAGAGATAGGAACCGTAGCTCAGGATGACGTCATCCTGCCGGTACAGAGAGTAAAGACGAGGAAATCCAAAAAAACAATTCATTGACCTCAAGGCCGTATGGTCCTACCATGATGAAATCATTGTTCTTTTCGAGTTAAGCTCCTCTCCCTAAACATTTTTGAATGAAATAAAAACCAATTGGGACGCCACCAAATCCAATGCGGCAACTCGGCTGGAAGCTCTCATAATATTTCTTGAACTCCTCACCTAAACGCTAAAATTATCCGTCAAGATTAATAATTAACGTAATAGGTCTATAGTAATGCATATACTGCCCCCTGTTGCCTCTTCTGTTACCACAAGTTGAGCTCGAGTCCTTTTTACAGACGCACCTGAAACCTGAAGCAAACTGCCACTCATACGCAAGGAAGTGGATAATTTATAGTCAATGTTGAGCTTTCGTTTCGTATGTTGACACGAGTGGACTGCGCTGAATGACCGCCGACAAAGTAGAGGGCTACCAGACCCTCGTAGGCTCGACCCCCGCGTCTCCCGTGGTTTCGGGCACTGCCACATTGAAGGGCGTTCGATTCCTTCACTTTAACTTTTCGTAAGGCATTAACTGTGTTTCAGAAAGCTAAGCTAGTTGCATACATTTTTTAGACCACTGAAGGACCAAAAGTCGTAGGCGTGTGAGGATTTTTGCTCTACTGGCAAGCATAAAAGAGGGATATCTCCATGCCCTCTAGCTCAAATTTTCACTCCTTCACTCTGGCTTATAGAATTTCACTGCCCAAACTCTTTACTTTCGCTGCAACTGGTTGCTTGCTGGTGCAGACCGGCAATGTCATTTATTCATAGGACTGGCTCAACAGACACAGAATCACGTTACACTTCAATGCACACGGGTCTCGGCTGCAGTCCAACTCCATCTGCATAGTCAAAGCAGCTTTGAATATTTTAGGCATTTTCAATGGTAGTTTTTCCATATCGCATCAACTCAGACTTCAACCCGTCGACCAGCACTACCAGCAAGTAGCGCGACAGCCACGGCATCGGAAACATACACCCAAGTATCAGACCTCGTACTCCAGTTCTACGAGCAAAATGTGCCCTGGTCTCTTCTTCGCCATTATTAAGGTATTCCGGTGCAGCATAGAGACAGTCACCAATGTGGGCCAGGCGATAAAAACCACTGCCTGCAAGTACTTTTGCACTTTTGCACTTTTGCGCAATCCATGAGAGAAACAAAAAAAAAGTGTAAGTCTTTTACACTTTCCATTAAACCTTGTAAATACTGAAGAGCTCCTCCATCTCTAAAGAAAGAAACCAAAGGAAACGTTTGTAAAACGAGAACAGTGTTGGTGTGCATGATGGCCAAGGACAGTTCCCTGAGGCGTTCTCGGAGAGGCACTTGGAGACTTCAAAGACGCTAGTTACGCCCCTAAAGGCCTCCTCAAATATTTACCTTATCTGAAGACTGTTCATTCAAATAAATTGCCCGTAAATGCCAAAAGGCAATGACTGTACACATAGAATGGGAGTGCGTACAAAGGATGCAGCTCCTCCCTGCTGCGGTTTCGGATAACTTTTTGCCTTGGAAAACCTATTGGTCGACAGGCTGTTAAACTTAAGAAAGGTGACAGCTGTTACAGAGTCACATGCCGTGAGCCTTTTGCTGCTCGCAGGTTGGAATTTTACCTGTGGAAACGCACAAAAACGAGGCTTCTTTTAGTTGTCACCTTTTGTTGCACACTTCCTTTGTATTGCTGCTGACGCTTCGATTGCATTTGGCATATTTGGTGTACATGCTTATTACAGCGCTAAGAACGCCTCAATTTAGAGTTGTCTTCAACTGCTTCATATTGCATGGGGGGAATTCATAAGCATCTGCTTTCTGAGTGATCCGTGAAGGCTATATTCGTCTTACCTTGCTTATTGCGATAGCTACGCCCTAGCTAAACGATGTTGGTGGTTAGGGATCTCATCCTTTTCTATCTGGCCATATGATGTATGGAAATGATCCTGGGGAGTAGCAAGCTGCAACTCTACTCAGGCCATCCGAAATTACCAGGATGCGATGACAGCGAAAAGCTGCACTTCATGTAGCATTTGAATATCAGCAAAGGCACCGATGAAGTCGACTTCGACTCGCATCGCACAATACTTTTCCCCAGTACTAAAGCACCCCCAACAGTGAAGAATAGTTTCGGAGCACAGTGTTATTAGCGAAAGCATTTTGAAGCTGAAAGCAAGCACTGTAGATATTGAAGTCCTAGACTTGCAGCATTTACACCCTGCAAAAAAGTATCTTACTGGCTTGCGCTTTCGTTTCAGGTCTCTAGTGCACCCTATTACCACTTCCTTTCTTTTAGTGCAATTGTGTGCTGTTGTGAGAATGCGATTGCCAAGTCAGTATTGCATACCCTGTATTACCCGATTTCTTGTTGCATACACTAAAGCACGCATGTACAGAGGCTGCTCTAGCCATAACACCAGTCTAACAATAGCATTCCTACACATATATGCTACATAAATTCGGTAGGTTTTATATCTGTTTGAGGCGCTCCCACCCACATATCCCACGCTTGAGATGCCTCAACCATCCAACAAGGGGCGATCCTAGGCATAGAAACGAAACATGAAAATAAGACAGCAAGATGCATTTACTTTGCAGAGAAATTTGCAAAGAGATAATACAGCTGCTAGAGCGTCTGCTCCGCACACATTCCATGCATTATGTAACTTAAGCACTGCGCTAGGCAATGGTTGAAGCTTCGCCAGTGGCCTGAAAATCGATTCCCACCATATAGTATACACACATGGAAAAGCCCTTGGATTTCGGACCCTACGTGGCACTTGATAGGATCTCTACCGGGAAACAAATGCGACTCCTGGTCCTCTGCGTGCAGTCAAGGTAGGATGTAACAGGCAAGCCAAATCAGCGCTTGCATTCTTGGGTGATGACACTTTTGTTGCAATGAGGGTGAAATCAATGCATATGGTAGTTTGCCATATCAGCGCAAGTCCTAATACAGCGCTGAGAAGAGATGGTACATCCTCAAGATTGCGACCACTTAGCCCGCGTGTCCGAAGGTCGCGCAGCCCCAAGGTGCTGCGTATTGTCTACAAAAGTCTCTACAATTTCGGACAGCGAAGATCCACCGCAGCAAATTTAATGCCCACGAGCAAAGAGCACACCTCGACATAAAATGCGAACACTTCTCATTGTGTACATCACCAATTCTATGCGATGTTTCATATGGAGTGCAGATGGTTGTTTGATCAACATTTTGTCTTCTCTCAAGAAGTGAGCTTTTCTATCCTCCATTCCCATTTATTTGCACTGTAGAAGAGCCTCAGCAAGTAATATGAGTCGAAAGATATTTTAGTCAAGTATCTGTGTCTCAGGAGCGTAATAAAGGAGCAGGTGCCCGAAAACTGACAGCGATAGCTGGATGGAAAATGCATGGACAGAGGGGACGGAATCAAGCTCCCCCAGCGCGAAAAATCAAGCAAAACGTGAAACTGTCAATGATTGCTCCAATTAAGGCAACTTTAGGCGCCTAGATAGCGGGCTCATTTGTGCTATGCACGACCAAAAGAAGGCCATTTTAGAGAAATGGTTAATGTGTAGCCGGACATTGCCCACGTAATCACTTTCTTTTACACTGGGTACACTTTACTCAGAATTACAGGAGCATTGTCGCCTTACTTTATCTCGCCGTCCAACTTATTTATGCACAGCACTCTCAGCACGATGTAACAACACGCTACGTTGCATGCGTGTGCTCAAAATGTTATGTTCAACTAGCTGTGAGAGCTCGGATGCTTACAGGGTGTAGCTTTGAACAATCTAGCTGTGCCTCTTGCTTCATGTGGGGAACTATGAGAAGCGCTGGTAGGGGAAGGAGGGCACTCGTTTGAGAAATTCTCCACTTCCATTTATCTAGTTTGCACTGAGTCTGCATTCTAGTATCTTTATAAAGACCATAGATGGAGTGTTGTAAGATAGAGGCCGCGTAACAGTACGGCATCCGTAGCGAAAAAGGCTACAGAGAGGAATGCCACGGGGTGTACGTAAGTTGTCAATCAGACAGGAGCACAAATGGTTATAAATCCACGCCACGAAAATGACCAGAAAGCATTTCAGGCAAAAAATTTTCCATTAAAAGGGCAAAAAACTCACAAACCATCAGTCAAAATACCTATGGTAGCTGTCTTTCATTATTCTCAAGTTTCGCCTTTTTCTTCCCCTAGCTCTTACGATAATAAGCCCAACCTTCGGATGCTCAAGTGTCATTAGCGGTTCAACAGACCCAAGTCGTCCCCTGAGGCACTTTTCCCTACATGTTTTCATGATTCTAGCCTGCGTAGTCATCCATTGAAGACAGAAACTGCAGGAAAAAGCCAGTAATGTTGAAGCCCATTATTTGAAAAACACATCCTCAGGAAATCCTTCGGTGAATACGGAAAACGCTGAGAAATCTGCACATGTACAGCTTTACACTGATTAAAATGAAGATTATTACACCATTTGTACAACTAATTATTCATATGGACCTCATTTCAAAAGCCCTTAGCGTGGAGGTGTTGTACACGGTGCGTGCGCCTGCCGCTTCGTCTCAATATGATTTTTAGTGCTGGCAGGCAGGCTGGAAAGGCTAAAACTACCAATGATTTGAAGTAAGAGCAAACGATACATAATATATTAATCCTCGCGTGTTTCTGAGTGGGCAGGCAACGAAGTTGGGCAGATGCTTCTCAGCGTAGGGGTGGGTGTGCATTTATGCTGTGCGAGCTTTCGCGTAGTGTCCATATATTGGTTCAAGTCAACTGCTGCACAAAGTTATAAGCTGTTTGCCTCAGAGTATTCGCCTTAATTAAAGAATATTTCGAAATTACACCAGCGAGCATTTGTATTCGTGGGGCTGCGACACCAGAGGTAGCGAAGCCTCGCAGTAGGCGTCTGACGTTTTCCCGGGCGATTCTGCCGAAGGCAATCCGAAACACACTCAAGTTTTATTTAATGTGCATAAAAATCTCTCTGTTTATCACTCGAACCCCTGTTTCGTGCGGGCAGAGCGCTCCGTGTAGATCTGCCAAATTCCGGCAGCACCCCCGTGCCCGCATCCAGGTGACTGCTCCCTTTCCCAAAAACTTTCTGCCCGTATTTCTCGCGTAAATTGACTTTGCCCACCTACTACCGCACAGACTCACACGATCCCAGGGTTATCGCGCTCTGTAACCCTCCAGGCGTCGCTCAATCGAAGCAGGCTCCCACTTCTGCTGCCTTCCCGCCTGGAAACGGGAGGGAGGAAAGTCGTGTTGCCCGCGCGCGTGTCCTCGGGTCCATTCGAGAAAGATGGCTAGCGGAGTAGCCACAGTTAAGGAGGTTATTTCTGGCGACACTCTGGTGTTGGTCGGCGCTCCGAAGGGTGAGAGGTCTCGTGAAGGGCCCCCTCGGGGCACCTGGCTTGCCGCTTGCCGGCTATTCTTGCCTTCTTTCATGGACGCTGTGGCGTTCATGGGGTGTCCAGCTCTGCACACGATTGCCTACTTGAATTTCCGCCTCCGAGTGTAGCGTCGCCGGCTGTGCACGCCTCACTTCCGCGCCACAACGCGTGCTAGACAAGCGGCGAAAAGAGGGGGGATGCTGTGCGCTGTGCGTTCTGCTGTACCCTCAGGAGGACCTCCGCCGGAGAAACGTGTGGGCCTCTCTTCTGTGATTGCGCCACGCGTGGCTTTGAAATCTCTGACGCACGAAAGCTCCGACGAGCCCTACGGGTGGCCTGCTCGGGAGTTCATGCGCAGCCGCCTCGTTGGACAGCAGGTCCAGTTTAAGGTGGAATACGCCTTCAATGGAAAGGAATATGCATGCGTTATGCTCAAAGGCGAAAACGTCGCCTGTGAGCTCCTCAGACGGGGTCTCGCCAAACTCCGGGATAGCAGGAATCCGCCGAATGCGCATGACCTCGAGGGTGCGTGTGTCGATGTTTTTGTGGATAGGGAGAGACACATGCATGCATGCATGCATGTGTGTGTCTCTCCCTCTCTTGGCGCTTTTAGTGAACGCAGCGCTCTCTTCCGAAGCCTCTGGTGCAGCCTGTTTCTTTCTCCTCTCGGAGGCCTTCCTCAAAGGCTTCGCGCATTCTTTCCCCAATTCGTGACGCACTCTGTCGGTGGCTTGCGCGCGCAGAGCTGGAGCGGTGCGAGGCAGAGGCGAAATCAAAGCAGCTCGGTCTCTTCTCTGCAGATCCAGGGTCGTCTACGGTTCGCCAAATCACCTGGGCAGTGGGGGATGCCTCATTTGTGTCAGCCTTCGCCGAGAAGCATCGCGGAGAGCAGCTACCAGCCATAGTCGAGTATATCAGAGACGGAGGCAACATGCGGGTAGCCATCCGCCTCTCGCCAGAGGGCGCCTCTCCCGCTTCTTACGCATATTGTGCTGTCTCCCTCTCGGGGTTGCAGTGCCCTGGCACCAAGAGAGACGCGGATGGAAATACTAGTCCCGAGCCGTTTGCAGGTGGGCAAGCCGTTTCGCTTCGCCTGCAATTTCTTCGCATTTTTCCCACTGCGCTCCTCTGCAGGAAAGCAGCCCTTTTTTCGTGCTTCCTTTCCGTGGATGCCCCCACCTTTTCGCTCGGTCCCTCTGCGCGTTCCTGCATGCACCCGTAAAATATGTGCATCTGTATGATCGTTTCTCTCCCTCTCTCTCGCTCACTCTCTCTCTACACGTAGGGCTACCCTGTCGAAGATCCTCGCGTTGCACCCACTGTGAGCGTGTTTTTTGCTCCAGCAGAGGCGCGTTTCTTCGTGGAGATCCGCCTACTGAACCGCGATGTGATGGTGCGCATCGAGGGCAACGATGACTTTGGGAATATTCTAGGAACCATTATTCACCCGAACGGGGAGATCGGCCTCCTGCTCTTATCTAACGGTTTTGCGAGAATCAACAATGCAACGGCGCAGCTCACCGAGGCTCCAGCCAAGCTCCGGCAGGCCATGAAGGATGCACAAACCAACAGACTCCGACGGTGGAAGGTACACGCAACGCCAACCCCTCCCTTCCCCCGGCAGTTGTATCTAGCTGCCCCGTCCTTCTGCTTTCCCTTCTGCTCAAAGTGCCGCGTTCAGCGGGCTGCTTTTCCTTTGCATCGTATTTTTAGACTTCCCCCCAAATGCTTCTGCTCCCTCCGTGCCGCTCCAAAAAGCGCTGTGTCCCCTCATCTACCCAGAGAGCAGACTAAAATCGGCAGCTGGATCTGTTTCTTCCCCTCCGCACACACCGACAACCCAGCGCACCCTGCCAGCGCTCCTCTCCCTTCGCGGCGGCACCAGATATTTCGTATGTGTTGAAGGGCTTCGCATTGAGAAACTGCAAGGCGTGGCTGCTGTAGCCTGGCGTGCCTGTTCCCTCAGGACATAGCGACCCCCTCAAGCAGCGATTCCATGGAGAAAGTGTACGCTGCAACTGTAGAGGAAGTGGTGAGTGGCGATTCAGTGGTTCTGCTGCTGCCCAGCGGGGAGTCTCGCCGCGTCTTCTTCGCCTCTCTTCGCTGCCTTCGACCTGGCAACGCGAATAAGGCGCAATCTCGAGAGGACGAGGCTATAGCGCTGGAGGCCAAGGAACTTGTTCGGAAAAAGACCATTGGGAAGACTGTAAAGGTGACTACTCCTCGCAGCACGACAACGCGTCACCTTTCAACTCTTCTTCCTGCGCTTCCGGCCCTCTCTCCGAGTTGCCAATCTTCTACTGGCCCCTATCTCCGCTCCTCTTTGTGCAGGTCGACGTGTCTGTCTGTCTGTCTGTCTGTCTATTGGCATGTCTATCTATCTGTTAATCTGTCTTTCTATCTGTTAATCTGTCTTTCTATCTGTTAATCTGTCTTTCTATCTGTTAATCTGTCTTTCTATCTGTTAATCTGTCTTTCTATCTGTTAATCTGTCTGTCTGTCTGTTAATCTGTCTATCTGTTAATCTGTCTGTCTGTCTGTTGGCATGTCTTTCTATCTGTTAATCTGTCTGTCTGTCTGCTGGCATGTCTGTCTATCTGTTAATCTGTCTGTCTATCTGTGAATCTGTCTTTCTGACTGTTAGTCTGTCTGTCTAACTGTGAATCTGTCTTTCTGACTGTGTGTCTGTCGCACCTTCCCACCCTTCGTGCGTTGCCTTCTTCATTAGCGCTCGGTTACTGTTTCTCTTCATGTGTAATTTGTCTGTGTTTGAAGGTCTTCTTGGAGTACGTGCGGGCTCCTCTTGCCAGTGCCGTCGGGGGAGCTTCTCCGCCGGCTAGCGACAGCAAGGGCAACATGCATTTCGTTTCTTTGTACATTGGTTCTCCCAAGCTGTTGGGCATCCCAGAAGACCTAGAGGTCGACGCAAAGATATCGCCTGAGCGGAGAGGACAGAATGTGTCGGAATTGCTGCTTCAAGCAGGCCTTGCCAGGACGGTTCCTCATAGGGCTGAGGACGACCAGGCAGAGGTGAGCGCATGCCCGCCGCGTGTGTACACCTCGTAAAGGTCTTGTGCAACAGTGCATCTGTGGCGACTAAGGGGAAGCGCATTGGTAGCAGCGCCGGAGGACGAGCGATCCTTTTCTTTGGTTGAACGTGCAGAGTGCCCCGATGTTTTTTGCACCTGAAAGGAGAAAAGGCCCTTTTCTCCTTTCAGGGCGGACTTTTAGAAGTGAAATTTCCGTGTAGTTACTGCGTGTCTCCGGCCCTCCCGGCACATGCCCAAGTGCCTCCATCTCCCCTGTCTGCGCCACTCTCGATGTCTGACTTTGCAGCGGTACGATCAGTACCAGGCCTTGGAGAAGGAGGCGCAGGCGGCAAAGCGCGGCTGCTTTGCGCCTCCCACCGCAATCAAAGTGGTCAGAATCGTCGACCTGGTGGGCCCTGCGAACACGCAACGGGCTATTGCGCATCTGCAACAACTGCAGAGGCATTCGCAGGTCGATGCGATCGTTGAAAGCGCATTTAACGCCGCACGATTCAAGCTTAGAATCCCCTCGGTACGGTGTTGCAGCTGTAGATCGGGTTGTTTTGGGTGCTCCCCGTCTTCTGCTGTGAGCCCTAGCCTCTGTGCCGCTCCTTCTCAGTCACAAGGGGCGGCTCTCGGAATGTTGTGCGGCGAGCCATTTTTCTTGTTTGCATCATTATGGATGGCTCTCGGCATCGGGACATCTATTGATCTATATCTACATGTATGCATATGCATATATATATATACATGTATACATATATATATATACATATGTGCCGCTTCCCCCCCGTTTTCGCCTTCAGCAAAGCCTCTGCCTCTCCTTCGTCTTGTCGGGAATTCGGTGCCCCCAGACGGCGCGTCCAGCGATTGTGGGAGGCCCCAAAGAGCGCAAGGCGGAGCCTTTCGGGACAGAGGCTCTCCAGTTCACGCGAGAACGGGTGCTGCAGCGAGACATCCAGGTGCAAGTGGAGCAGTGCGATCGGGGCGGTAATTTCATAGGGTCTCTCTTCTATGGCCCCAAAAGAACCAATCTGGCTGCTGAGCTGCTGGAGGCCGGTCTAGCGCAAACAGTCGAGTTCTCGCTCGCGAGAGCTGCCTGCAAGGATGTGCTGGAAGCCGCGGAGGCAAAGGCCAAGGCGGCGCGAAAGAATCTTTGGGGCCTTCCTGGGGCGCTCGACGAGGAAGCGGATCAAGAAGAACAATTCATGGAAAAAACTCTCAAGGGGGTTGTCGTCTCGCACGTCCAGAGCTGTAATTGCTTCTATATTCAGGTGCATGAAGCGCCGGGGGCCCACCACGCCATGAGGCTTAGCGTGCCTCGAAGTCAACCCATTCGCGTAGACGTCCATGTATACCTCCGTAGACATCGTGCATGCATATGCATGCATCTACTTACATGCATGTATTTGCGGGCGTTTATTCGTATATACGCCTATATATATATATATATCTTCGCATACACGCGTATGTATGTAATATGTATACCGATGTACACACCCATACAGGTCTCCATAAAGCGGTACTTCTATGCATACACACATACATGCACGCATCCAATTATACATATATATATTGATAGATGCGTATTCATGTACCTATATGTATTTACATGCATACATTCATGCGCATAGATACGTATATATATATATGTATATACGTATATAGGTGCGCAAAAGTAGAGGGGCCCTCAGGCTCAACGGGATGCCTAAGCACAGGGACGCTGTCCATACCACGCATCACTTTTCCCGAAATTTTAGCCTGCAACTGTCGCTGATGCCTATGGATGGCGTTGCGTCAGCCTGCGCCACTTCTGCCTCCGCGTCCTCAGGATGAGGGCACTGAAGAACTCGGCACCATCGCCTCCGAAATCGAGCAGCTCGTTGGAAGCCCTCCAAGCGCAGACGCAACCTTCACCCCCGCAGGTCTCCCGAGAAAGGGCGAAGTCATCCTAGGGCAGCATGCGGAAGATGGCAATGTTCGTAATAATCTTAAGAAGTTGCACTCTCCCGCTGACCTCCTAAAGTGCCCCTTTCAAGCAACCTTTCTACAGCTATCAGCACGTCTATATAGATATATATATATATCTACATACAGTCTTGCTGTATGGGCCTTATAGGGAAGTTGGCGGATATATATATATATATATATATATATATATATATATATGTATATGTGTGTATATGTACATACATACGTGCACATATGTATGTATATATATCTCTAGGAGGTGCTTTCTCATCACTTCACGCACTGCGCACATCCATCCAAGCGTTTGCGCCCTTTGCTGTGTGGTCTTACACTTTTTTTTGTATCGATCGACCCCTGCCGTTCTTGCATTCTCTTCTTCTCTCACTCTTTCGCTTGCAGTGGTATCGAGCTCGCGTGGAGAACCGCGAAGGTCAGCGTGTCTCAGTGCTCTACATCGATTATGGGCAGAAGGAGTCTCTTCCAATCGAGAGAATGCGCCGCTGTCCAGCAGCCATTGGTCCTGCAGCAATCCCTCCTCAGGCCACGCTTTGCGTTCTCTCCGGTACGATAGCTGTGGCTGCAGAATTTGCGGTAACCTTCGTTCCCGAGCTTCTTGGCGTTTGAGGTTATTCGCGGATTTATAGCTATCGGTTTTCTAGCTTTTCTGTTAGCAGTGCGTCCCGTGCCCCTTTGTTTCTCAGGGTTGCTGCCTCCTCCGGATCTCGAGTTCGAGGCTGCGGAGGCTCTGCAGAGTTTGACAGCCGAAGGAACCTTCCACTGCCTTATTGAGGGCCTTGATAACGAGAAGAGACGTAGATGCGTCCTGACTGCAGAGGCAGACTACGCAGAGAAACGTAGGACTTCGCACTTCTCACTGAGCAGCGAGTTGACAGGGTTGTCTAGGGGTATAGAGGGATGACGAACGAATAGAGAGGTTTTTTTTGAATGTCTATTGAAGCGACCATAGGTTTGCATTGAAGGGGGAGCGAGAGGGAGCTGACAAGGCAACTTCGGACTCCCTGCAGCGCTGCTCAGGCAGACAGATGCTGGTTCATAAGCGCGTCTAATGCAGGTGGTGGCGAGGAATCGAAGGAGGCTCTATAAAAATCACGCACATGCCAGCGAGCGCCTTGCCTCGTTAAAGGGATGTACATACATGATTCTCTTAGTTGTCGATTGGTTTGGTTGCTTTCCTAGAAGCCAGATCTCTCGGAACGTCAGTTTCTTCGGCTGGGCAGTGCTTCTGTATTGCGAGACAGCATCCGCCTGATTCGCTGGCCCAGCAACTCGCTTCGGCTCTGCCTCCCTTCCGTCTCTGCAGGTCCTTCGGTGAACGAGAAGCTCCTGTCCATGGGCTTGGCCTTATTCGATAGGAAAAGCAACTGCAAATTTGCTTCCCGTTTCGCTGCCGAGGAGCAGAGCGCCCGCAAGGCACACCTGAATGTTTGGAGATACGGGGATATTGGTGCTGAGGATGATGATGAGGACTACCCTACATTGGCCACCAACAAGTGCGCTCCTCATTTTGCAGTCATATATACATAGAAACACATATACATCTATATACATTTGCACATGTCAAAACCAATTTCTCTACATGGATTTTTACATCGCTACAAACACCTGCGCTTGTGCGGTTTTATTGCATGGATCGCTGTTTTGCGTGGACCTAGACCCGCTTCGTGTGCCTTGTACAGTCTCCATCTTGCTCGTTTTTTTTGTCGGCCACCCTTTTTGCAGTACGCTTCATTGCGCCCGCTTGTCCTTTTGTCGCTTGCGGGAGGTCTTCGCCGGTGCTGTTGGTGCTGCGCTTCTGCTTGCTTTGCATATTTGATGCGGTGTCTCTGGCTGGGGGCTTGCCTGGCTTTCGCGTTGTGCGCAAGGCTTCGAATCGGCTCGCTGTGTGCTGCGGGTGGCTGGCTGCAGGAGAGCTCCCGGAAGGAGGTGAAGGGGGTCTAACAGGAACCTATTTTAGCGCTGCACGACGAAAAAGTGCATCAGTTTGGTGTGGCGTGTGTGCTTGAGGCAGCAGTTCTGCATCCTCGCGTGCGTTGACGGGTGTTGGATGTGGATGGTACAGGGCTGCACACGAGGAATTAGAGCGGAGCAGAGCTAGGGAAGGCCGCATAGAGCGTCGCTAAGGAGACGTTTGATGCTTGATCCGAAACTCGTTGTCTCTGAGCCTTTTGATAGCGCTTGCGTTGTAGGTGCTCCTGCTGATGCTAGAGGGATGCTGTAGCAAGATCGTGCACTCTTCTGCTCCCCCGCGCCGTAGCGTGGCCTATCCCTGTGTCGCACACGCTACTTGCAATTGGCCCCTACCTGATGCCCCCTATAGTCAGAGACAGGCTGTGTAGAACAGTGGCGAAGCAGGGATCAGTGGGAATAGTTGGGCCCAGCAGCAGCTCTTTCCTGTAGAGTCTGAAGGGTGCCAGACGGCGTTGCTGCTCATGAATGGCTCCATTCCGTACGGCTAAGAGTTGTAGATCTTGATTTCTACGGAGCTAGCGGCAGGCGCCATCCGCGTGTTGCTGTAGGGCTCACTGAAGGCATTGCGAGGAGCGACTTCAGAAACAACTAACTGATCCACTGGGGGATTGACCGCGTGAGAGGAAGCAATCTGACGCGGAGTATTTCTTAAGGAAGGCTCGAATAATGTTTTCCCCAGCTGTACTTACGGAGCGAATTTCTGTGGTGCTAGTGCGGCCGTCACTGCTGCAATTGCCTCCGAAGGAGGACATCAGCAATAGGGAAACTCTAAAGTTTGACACCGCAAAGAGTATCCTGAGACATTGAGCCGTGTGCAGCGGCACTTGCTTGTGCGTTCCTAGCCATGAGTAGCATTGTTTTAGCCCTCATTGGAGCGTCTGTTCATATGCACGTAACTCAGAGAACCCCAGAGACTTGGAGGGTGTGGCGAGGGGAGTATGAGCTCCCTATGGGTGTGTTTTTCGAGGAGATGTTGTCTCCATGTTCACAGTGTTGGGAAGGCGGCCAGCAGCAGGCATGGGGAGTTTTCCGTATGGCTCAGAGGAGGCCAAACAATAGTTTATAGAGACACTGACGCTGCTGCAACCTTAGGGGCGCAGTGACAAAGCATTGCCGGCTTGCAGCGGGCACCTAAGAAGACTGGACTCGCTCCTGAACTCGGTGTGCTGGTTTCCCTAGACGCTGATGAGATGGGGCTTTCTAGGAAGCAGGTAAGAGGGAGGACTCGTGTTCTTGAAATCGAATTGATTCTCATTCAAGTAAGCATGCATTAAAGGCTATAGCTACGCACTGGCTATATATACATATATCCACAGCCAGTAAGCGAAAGAAAGAAAGTTGGATGCTGGTTCATCTATTGGACTGTTTTTGCTCGTACAGCTAAAAATACATCTCTATATTTATGTACACAACGGCGTATGCCCGTAAGCAGGACCTGCTTCCGGAGGATCAAGAAGCAGAATACGCACAAGCCAATGCATTCGTTGAAAGCGCATTGAATGCAGAAGAAGAGTCAAAAACCCCTCCAGTCCACAGGCCCCTCCGGCAAGTCGACGTGCATCAGCTCCCTAAGCGCCATTGTGCAGTACACCCCCGGAGGCAGATGCAGCCTTACAACGAGACTGAGATTGCTCGCCTTCCTCTGTTCGTCCACGATGACAATGCTGCTTTCATCCGCCCCTCCGCTAATACGACTGGTGCACGAGGGGTCGCCTTCTGCAGCCAGCTCACTTAGCGCCAATGTGCGCGGCTCCTTCCCCCTGAAATCGCGGATCCTGCTTGCGTCTAGTGGATCGTCAAGGGATATACAGTGCAGCCGCTTTGAAGCTGCAAGGCGATCTGTCTTTTGTTCCTGTTTTTCCTGTCCATGCTGATGCTCTCCCTCCTCGCCGCGCTGCCTAGCGTCTTCGCCTCTGTCCTGCTGCAGGCGCTGCTGCTGCTGCTCCTCCTCATTCCTCTTCTCCGCGCGTATCCTTTCCTTGAGCACGTCCACGTCGCTGAGCAGCAGTGCGGCAGGGGGTTCCGCTGCCGCCGTCCCAGAGATGGCGAGCTGCCAGCTGCACGCAGTTGCGGCAGCGACAATACGGCGAAATCCCCCGGGCAGACTGAAGCGGAGGTTCTCGTGCGTGGCTGCGTTGTCTTCCTGCTGCAGCAGCTGCACTATTCTGCCCGCCGGAATGCCTCTGAAGGGCCTCCTGCGGTTGTCGCAGCCCCCTCGCTGCTTCTGCTGCTGCCGTCTGCCACCAGCGCCAGTGACGGGAGGCTGTAAGAAGTCTTTCACCGTGAGGCCAAGGTGCGTCTTACAAATGTCTTCCAGCGGCTCTTTGAGATACTCAGGTACCGCCGAGCTGCTGCTACCCAGGAGCGGCAGCACGACTTCGTGGATGCCCACGGCTGCCGCTTCTGCAGCAGTGCTGACTACTCTTACAGGAGGAACGGACTGCCGCGAACAGGGGACCCCTTCGAGGCTCTCGGCGTCCTCCCCAAACTGCAGCAAGTCAGCGGGTGACGCGGCGCAGACGAAAGCCTCGCTGTCTGTCGCATGGAGGCGGCCTTGTTCGTCGCTCTGCTGGTAACACTCTGGCTTCAATAGACTTCCTTGAGGCTTCTGCAGCACTAGGTCGCCGGGGATGACGCGGCAGCCGTACCGCCGCCACCTGTAAGACAGAAGCTGATTGAACACCAGAGCCTGCGCTGCATGCAGGTACATCAGGAGGCTTGCGTGCGGCAGCTGCTGCAGCGCCTCGGCGTAGGAAGCCCCCCTGAGCAGTGCTTCCAAAAGTCGCTCCTCTAACGATTCGGACCGGCTGCACTGCAGCAGCGGGCCGTCTCGTTCCGGCGTTGCGGATCCGTTGCTGTTGGTACAGAGGCTAGATGTGGCGATGGTGCCTTCTGCAGCTTCTGAGGTGCCTTCGCCTTGCTGCAGCTGGTCCTGCTTCTTGCGGAGAGCTTCCTGCATCTGCTGCTGGTGCTGCTGCAGAGCATCCTGCGCCTCCCTAAGCTTGCTTTTAAGGATCGTCCTGACTGCTGCCGCATAGTCTCTCCGAAGCAGACATGCGCCAACTGCTGCGGTTGTTGCCTCTTGGGCTCCGAAGCGCTGCAGGCCATAGTAGTTCAGGAAGCCCATGGTCGAAAGAGAGTGCATGCGGTCCGTTACAAACGCATGCAGCGCATGCACGGCAGAAACTGGAATGGCACGGGCGCCCTCACCCTCCCTCTTGCTGGTTGTGCAGTTGTCGTCGCTGTTGCCGAGGAGAGGCCGCACATTGCGAATGACCAGTTGGAAAAAATTGCCCTTGAGCCTCCCCAAGTGCAGGGGTTCGTCCGCATATCCAATGAATTGCAGGCTCAGATTTCTGTCATAGAAAGCATGCAGCGCGGCTTCTTCCACTTGCTGCCGCGTCGCCTGCAGCACGCAAAAACGCACAGTCGCAGCCGCTTCGGTAGCACGTGCCAGAAGCAACACCAGAAGCAGCAGGGGCAGCAGCAGCATACTAACGGGGATGCCGCTGAATGTGCCACGCCTCTGCCGCCACAACGCGCGTGTGAACGCGCATGCCAGCCCTTGCAGTAAAGGCATGGACGCACGGGGACAGAGAGCAGCAGGTGCTGCAGAAGAAGGACGAAAAGATGTCTAGGAAAAACACCGGAAGGCGAGAACAGCACCATGTGGCATTCGGAGAAGCAATACGTACGCAGTGCAGGTGCAGAGTATCCCATGAACGTACCCCTCCTCCCCTCCCCCTCCCCCTAGAATGGCAGCTACACGACTTCTCGGCGAGTGCTCCTCCCCCGCAAGGGCAGCTGCAGCTGCCACTGAGGCACTGGCTGGAGGCGCACTCTGCCTCAGCCGCGGCTAGTCGCACTGGCTTCAGCTACGCTATCGCTGCTGAGTGCTGCTGCCTCCTTACACGTTCTATAGAGATGAGTTGGGTGGTGATTGCGCGGCGGTCTTTAGTTCCTGCGGCACTGAACGAGAAAGGCGGCTTTCCCAAGCAGCGCGAGAGGCAATGCAGCGCAGCTGCAGTGTCTCTATTCTGTTTGTGCAGCAGCACATAGCAGTACCGACGGACCTTGCAAGGTGCTGCCTGGTCATGATCGTACTGGGGGAGATCAGTGCCTACTAGAGAGGCGTCGTTGAAGAAGCGTCGTTGACTCCCGAGAGCGTTCTCTGCAGCTGCTGCGGCTGCCTCGAGAATGCCGCCACTAGCTTTGCATTTCTTGATGCTGCTGCTATCGCCGCTGCTGCTATTTTTCTTCTCCTGGCTACTTCGGAGAGTCTTCGTAGAGCCGCCGGGAGCCTGCCAAGGACGCTTGCGACGGAGGGATCCCTTCTCGTCGTCGGCATCCGCTGCTTCCTGTGCTTCCAGCACCTGCTCCTGCAGTTCTTGTCGGTGCTGGTGCAGCTGCTGCCTGGAGACACCATGCCTCTTGAAGAGAAAGACAAGGCACTGAGGCTGCAGCGTCAAGCGAACGAGCTGCTGCGGAGGCGCAGCAGCGGCGGCTCGAGCAACTGCAGCAACTGCCCCTGCCACGGCAGCTCCTATCGAGTCGCCTTCTCGTTGCAGCAGCTTCTGTTGCTCGAGCTGCTCCAGCTGCAGCTGCAGCAGAGCCTGCTGCTGCTGCCTCCAGTTATCCTCGAGAGAGACAAGCGGCAGACAGGCAGCAGCTGCCTTACCAGCATCGTTAGGCGCTGCAGCAGCCTTCGCGTTGAGCTCGGCAGCGGCAGTCATCGCGTGCTGAAGGAGCCCTACATTTGTCGGAGACGCCTCTCCACCAGCGAGAACGCCGCAAGCAGCAGCGGCAGTCAAAGAAGCAGCCGAAGAAACGGTGAACGGCAGCAGCCGCCTCACAGCGTTGTGGCAAGCCTGTCGTTGCTGCTTGTAGAGCGATTCCAACCCTGCTGGAGAGACAGTCCACGTGCTGCCGCCGCCGCTGCTGACAGCTACCGATAAGTGAGCCTCAATGGCAGCGGCAACCTTCGTGGGTACGCCATCGCAGCTCTCTGCTTCGGCAACGACTGCGTCTGTCGAGCAGCCCTTACTGGGTGCTCCTGCTCTACTCGCCGGTAAAAGTGCAGCAAGAGCAGCAGCTGCTGCAGCCTGGATCGCTTCCGCTACGTTGCCTAACAGCCACAGCTCAGGCAGAGTGAAAGCCGTCGCTGCCGCGTCTGCCACACGACTGCTATTATCGCCGACCGGCGCGGCTCTGCTGCCATCAAGGCTGCCTTCCCCGCCGTGCATGCCGTTGTCGTTCCCCCCTCTGAGATCTGCGTCTGCGACTGTCAGAGGATTCGCGAGGCTTTTCGTGGAATCCATTTTATCGCGGCTGTGTGCAGCGGCGGCGGCGACGAGGGAGGGAAGGGAGCTGCCGTTCATCGCGGATCGAGGCTCACTGAAGGCATCAAGCATCGGGCAAGCAGCCAGCTGCCGCTCAGCAGCTTCTGCTGCTGTTGCTGCTGAGGCTGTTGTGTTGCTGAGGTACAAGGCAAGCGTTCTCACGAAGGACTGGATGTTGACGCGATCGCCGACGCTCAGCGCACTTGCTGCTGCACTGGGTGCTGCCGTTCCAGTGGGTGTCGTTCTTGCAGCCGCAGCTCCTCCAGAGGCGGAAGGCAGAGTGAAGGAAGATCCAATAAGGCCTTCCCCTCTCAGCAGCCTGTGCTGCTCCTTGCGCCTCCACTGCAGCCGCTCCGCATCGAGCATGGCTGTCAGACGCAAGGGGGAGGATTTGTTGTTGTTGCCGCTGCTGCAGCTGCTTGGTGGTGATGCTGCTGCTGCTCGCGTTGTGTCGGGGGGAAGCAGGGGGTCTTCGTACACCTGAAAATCCTCAAAAAGGGCCTTAACCGCCCCTCTAAAACCAACAATGGAGGAAAGCGCCTTCAAGTGACACTCATCAGACGGCAATTCCGCGAACTGCTCCTGCCCAGTGGGCGCTTGCGTCGAGTCGAATCGCGTCAGATATTCCACAATGCCACACTTCTGAGAGATGGATTCAGGGGAGGCCTCCACACGAGGCTGGAGAAGGAGGGGTTGCTGCTGTTGCTGCTGCTGCTGCTGCTGCTGCTGCTGTTGCTGTTGCTGTTGTTGTTGCTGTTGTTGCTGTTGCTGTTGCTGCTGTTGCTGCTGTTGCTGTTGCTGATGCTGCTGTTGCTGTTGCTGTTGCTGATGCTGTTGCTGCTGTTGCTGCTGTTGTTGTTGTTGCGGCCGCTTTGGGGAAGATACTCCTGAGTGCGAAGATGCGAAGTCACCTGTTGGTGCCTCCGCTGCCTCTGCAGCACCGCGTGTTGCTTGAGGGCATTGTGGCGCAGAGGAATCCATTGCACTTGAATCAAGCCACGAGTGCACAGAGCTTCTACGGGTTGCAGCTGCTGAGACGTGAGGGAGTGGAAGCGCTCACTGCTGGTAAAAACTCCCTCGTTCCCAGGAGGCGTGCCGCAGCAGGGTGTCTGCCGTGCGGCGGGAGAAGGCCACTGAAAAGGCCTTCAGAGAAGAAAATACAGCATTAAAAAAGAGTCTTTAGTGCTGTATTAGAAACGCCAAGCACGTTTTCGAAGGGGAAGAAGGCGCAGATATGTGAGGCTTCATGCAATGGAGGGGGCCCCTCAGCTGCGGGGCGGAAGACCGCTGGCAGCGTAACAGGCAGGCGGGAAGGAAGATCAGACACTGCCGCTGCAGTTGTCGCGCTGTCTTTTTGCTGGAAATGCTTCAACTTGCAGCGAACGAGGGTATAGAGGCTGTGGCTGGGAAGGCTTTGTCGCAGCAGACCTAAAAATGCCGATCACAGCAGAGCATACACAGCAGCGGTACGTCTGCATGGGGGCCCCTGGCGATAAGCGAGCTGGCAGGCTTCTCGGGATTTTGGATTTGAATCCTTGAGGCATAATGACTCGAGGAGCTCGCAGACTGCTCTAGACCGAGTAGGGAGACAGCCTGAGAGAGGGAGCGGAGCGGCAGGATCGAGCAGCCCTTCCCCTGCTGGCATCTCGAGGCAGGAGGCGACAACGCGCGCGCGAAAGAGGACTTTGAGACTTCGGGATAGCGCGAAATGAGGCATTTTCTCTTGTACTTGCTGGTTTTTGCCCAGTTTGTCACTCAGAGGGCCACACCGGCCTGCCTGACGACTGCTAGCTGCTGCGCCTTCCTTCCCAGCTGCAGCAACAACCACTGCCCCCAAAGCTGCAGCACTGCCGGAGGCAGCGTCTGCCTTGCGGGGAAAAAGCCTACCCACCAGGTGCTGCACCGAGCGTCAGCACAAGCAACGCATGCACCACTTGATCCAGCCCACGCACCAGTGGCAGACGATGGCTTTGAAGTTCTAGCACTCACCTCTCCCGAGGCAGTGAGTCAGTTCTTCCTTTGCTGCAAAGACGCTGGCGTACTGCCTGCCGAGCTGCTGCTGCAGCCGCGGAAGCCTCAACGGCCAGTGCTGCTGGTGGGAGCCGTGGGGGAAGCTACTGCAAGGAGATTCACCGCGCAGCTGCTTGGCGATGCTGTCTCTGCATACGATGCGAGGGACCGTTTAGGCAGACAGGCATCCGTCGCAGCGCAGGCGACGAAAGAGCAGCCAGAACGACACGAGGAGCTAAAATCGCCGCCTCTGCTCTTGCAGCCGCCCTTGTCTGAACAGCAAGCCGATGATGATGACGCAGCGCCTACTGCCGCGAGCGCTGCGACAAAGGCCCTTCTTGAGCAGTCTCTGCTGTTGGTTTCATCGAACGCTTCTGGAGTCGCTCTGGCGCAGCAGCTGCGAGAGAGGGTGGCCAAAGAGGCAGCAACAACAAATGTAGCAGCAACTGCTGCTACATTTGCTGCTGCAGGCGAGGACGTTGCTGCCTGGCAATCTGTGGAGCCTCCCCGCTGCAGCCGCTGCCACCGCCCTGCGCGTCGAGTGCTCTGGCCCGCCTCCGCTTTGGCAGATTCGCGATTTGCATGCGCACTCACGGGAGCAAGCTCAAGCTCCAGCAGCTGCAGCAGCCAAGACACCAACCATCCCGTGTGCTGGTGGATACGTCGTTTCAACATTTACACGATGGCCCCTAGCGCACTCTCGCCGGCTCAGAGAAACAGCCTGCTGAGTCTTATCGGCAGCAGGTGTCTTGCATCGGAGGAAAGCAATAGCGACACGCTCAACGGCTGCGGGATTGCCGTTATGCTTGGAAGCCCCTCCGCTGTATCTTCCTGGGTTGCTACCAATAGGCTCCCTCGCCGATGCTGCCACGGCAACAGGAGCGACAGCACGTGCGACTGCCTCGTGGCAGTTTGCATAGGGGAGACAACGGCCGCAGCCGCGCGAGCTGCAGGTCAGTCGAATTTATCGAGAAGACTACTAAGGGTCGTTGGGTGTGTCGGGATAGGGAGGATTAAGGAAATGTGCGGCGTAGAGGGGCTCTGGCGAAGCGGTTTCTCGCCACCCTCTCAGTAAATACACAACGGTATTCTCCGTTTTTCTGCCCCTCCTTCCTGTGCGTCTGCCTGCACACGTGCTCCTTCTCTAGGGAGCATGCCTTACGCGCCATACGTTGCTGCTCTCGCATCCAGAGACGACTGACGCTTCGCTTCAGGCGGCCTTTGTGTGCTGCCCTCTGTCACAAAGGCACACGCTAGGCGCCGCGCTTGGGACCGCGCTGCTTTCGAAGACTGCTCTGTGCCGCCTTGAGCATGCTATTTACACTTTATGCGCCTACAAGTGCTCCGCTCCCGGCTGGGATTCAAGGCCAGCCTCTCCTCTTAAGCCCCTTAAGTATCTATTTGCGGCTGCTGCTGGGTGGCTTTGTGCAGGCTTCAGCAGGGTCGTCTGCCCTCGGACGCCCGGGCTTACCGACTGGCTGCGGTGTCTGTACACCGCAATGGCGGCTCGACACAGGACGCGGCGGGAGTCTGCCAAAGGTGGTGCTCATGCTGCGCGCGCAAAGAAGCCCCTCGTGATAGTCACAAGGCCAGAGGCACAGGCCTCAGAGCTGCTACAGCTGCTTGCCAAGGGTGTTTCCACGCATGCAGCAGAAACTCCCAGAGGCTCCCTCCCAGAACTCTCAGCAGTCATCGCCCCTGGTGTACTGCATGCGGTGCGTTCTACTGCCGATCTGCACTTCGATGTGCTCGCTCTACCCCTCATAGAAGCACGAAGGGAGGGAGAGCAGCTGCTGCAGCAGCGCCACCTGCTGCAGCAGCTCCTGAAGGCGACGGCTGCCAAGTTCAAATGAGAGGGCAATAGAAAAAGGCGCTCTATTCAAGAAACTGCGCGCTTCCTCCGTAAGACCCGCGAGACGCAACGAAACTCTATATACAGAAAAAAACAGCAAGGCTTCCCCAACAGTTCCAAAGTGCCACTTCAGGAATATGTGCTCCTCTGGAAAGTTTATGCAAGAACCGAAGTGGGGAAAAGATTCGTGCATGTGAAGTAGCCTCTCGAGGCCGCCCTGACTTTTCGTTTCACCCACCACGACATTGCTGGAAAAACGTGCTAGTACGAAGCAAGGCATAAGTGGGCTTAAGGGACTTTTACGATTAGAGTTGATCGATGTCGTTGCTCCATATGCGCCATGAAGTGCAGCAGGTCTTGTAGCGCATGCTGCGATTTTTGCGGGGTGTCGCTCCGGCTGCGTGATGCACCGAAAATAGCAGAACGCAAACAGGCAAAAGCTCAAAAACCACCCACCACCCCTGAATTCTCAGCCAGAATTGGAGGTGTCCTGCTGCAGAAATGCTGGGAGCTCCTTTTCGATCTCCTGAAAAATAATCCAAACGTCGCCACACAGCACGTGTTGATGCTGCCCTCATTTCGGCTCCCCGTGTCTTCATCTCCCTGGTGCCCTCCCTTCCCCTGTCTCTCCCAAGCTTCTTTCTCGATTTCTTCCAAAAAACGTTTTCTCTTTTCGCCCTTTGTTATGCGTGTGTGTGTATGTGTGTGTCTGTGTCTGTGTGTGTGTGTGTCTCTCGGTCTGTCATTTGACAAACCACCCCCCTCCTCTACGGACTCGCAGCAGTCCGTCTATTTCGCGCAGACTTTCCGAAAGCTCTAAGGAGCTCCCGCCACGATGCTGGACTGCTGCAGATCTCGGCAGTCTCCTCAGCAAAGGTTCCAAAGCCCCATGCAACTCTTGCGATAGAACGCGCTGCAAGCACACGCGTAGATGTAACGCTAGGCCGCCCGCCGATACTCAACAGAGAGGCTTCCTTTTCCTCGAAGTGGCATTTTGCAGCGCAAGTATCCACACCAAAATAAGAATAACACCAACAACCGCTCGAAGCAGACGTACAGCCAACGGTTTTTGGAGAACAAGCGGTCTCTTGCTGCATGCACGCATCAACCCCCCGTCAGCACAGACACACACACATATATATATATATATACATATATATATATATATATATATATATATATATATATATATATACATAAACATATACATAAACATGCACACATATACACACAATCAAGCCTGAAGCAATGAGCTGCCGAGAGACATCGTATTGGCCGTCGCTGCATCTCTACAAATCAACAACTGCGGGGTTCGACAAATTGTAAAGGCATGTCTGTGGAGCCTATGTGTGTATAGATGTATGTGCGTGCATGGGTGCAAACATGCTGCATGCATACATGCGCCAGTCTGGAAACATAGGGCTGTTCTTACAGCTCGGTTTGAAGTAGCAGCCTTCTGGAAACGTCTAGCGGCAGGCCAAAGCGATCGATGTGAAAGTCTAGAGGGGGCCTCTGCTTTAAAAGAGAAAAGTTGAAGGCTCCGCATGCATAGAGATATTTGCAAACACGTGGCACATCCGCTAGACACCGTAGCGAGATGCACCGCTGCGACAGCCGCACGAGCGCGTGGCCTGTCCCTACACCGCAACACCCCACAAAGCGATCCCCACACATCACGCGAGCTGTAACTACGGGTGTCTCCCTCGTCCCCGCCACTCTCTCCTGATCACGGTTTAAGAAGTGCCTGGCTGTCAAGCCGCTAGCCAGCGCAGGAGCCATAAGACGCCACTTGTAGAGCTCAAAAAGCATCCGCATGCCTGGCGAGCTGCTTGACCTCCTGTGTCAGCCTTGCGGAAGGCGGGAAGGCGGGAAGGCGTTGCTCGGCAGTCTGTGCGAGGCTTCTCTGGGTTCTTAAGGCAAGTGTCTCTGTGCATGCCTCTCGACTGATTTTTCCCCGAGCGAGCGCAGTGTCGCGCGAGCGAAGGAGCTTACCGACAGACAAATGGAAGGCGTGGGGGAGGGGGGCAGCCGGCAAGGAACCAGTGCATTTTCGCATCGTTTCCTCGCTGCTGGTAGGCAGCACTGGCTGTGTGTAGTAGATCCACAGAAGCAGATACAGCAGCGCCGCTCGCTGGGCAAGTAGCAGTTCTTCTGCGGTAAGGTCGGCCTTAGAAGCTGCATCAGCTGCCGCCCTCGCGAGGGCATGCGCTGCCTCGTCGATGGTCTCCATCGAGGCTTGGAAGGCTTTTGCCGCTGCACTGAGGACGCTGTCTAACTCGAAAGAATCTGCCTCCTCCTCCTCTGGCTCTGTGCGCTTCGGGAAGACGAAGGGGTGTTCTTGCAAGAAGAGCGCTGCACACAGACACCACAGAAGTGCAAAAAGCTTTTCGCCCTCCTTCGCGTTCTGAACCAACGGCCTGCCTGGTGAGACTTTTGCAATCACCGCCTGAAATGAGATGCATGCTAGTTCCGGCTCGAGAATTTTTTTTCGCAGCGTGTCGTGCTTGCTTACTCTCCCAGACAGTGCTGAAGAAGGCACACACGTCCTGCGAGTCCTCTAGAGGAATAGACTTCGCCAGAGAACATGCAGCGCGCTTCACAGCTACACCCATGAATAGCTCTAACGACCCCTCCATCGGGAGGCAACTCGGCTGCTGTTGAGGCACTGGTTGCTGCTGCTGTTGAAGGCGTTCTTGCGCTTCGCATGCATCCCTTGTCGCTGAAGGCACTGCCTCTGAGATGCATGCGCCTTTAGAGGCAGCGTCTGATAGAGGCTGCACTTCGTCATTGCAGTTGCTCCCTCGGCTGTTCTCCGTACTTTCGCCCTGACCGCTGCTGCCTCCCCCTCCAGAACCCCCCCCTCGGCTGGTGTTGTTGCTGCTTGCTGCTGTTGCAGTGATGATGCGGTTGCAAAGGAGCAACACAAAGTCGCAGCATATATCTCTGATGTCACCCTCCACAAACCTTCCCCTCCCTGGATAGAGGGTAGGCCTGTAGAGGCCTCCCCACGCATCGCCACAGCGCAACACAGACCTTTGTTGCTGCTGGTGGTGTTGCTGCTGTTGAGGTGTATGTCCAGTGTCGTCAGCTTCTGTTGTGGAAGCGTCTGCAGCTGCAGCAGAGGCGACACTCGTAGAATCAGAAGGCATGGCGTGCTTGCCAGTGCGCCTTCACGGACGCTGCTGCCAAGGGGGGCTGCTGCGGTGCGATGATGTCTTGGCTGCTGTTGCTGCTGTTGACGCAGTAGTAAAGCCGCCTCTCCAGTTGCTGCAAAGCTTATACAGAGTCGTACAGATATCACACGCACTCTAAGGGAACGGCGGCGTGTGTCTGCTCTCCATCTGGATGGTGGGTGCCCCCCTGATTTTCCTTCTGCCGTCGCTGCATGCAGTGTGTGTTCGTCCTGTCCACGCAGAGAGTGTTCTGCACTTTGGCGGGTTCCTGAGGCGCCACTGCGGCGTCACTAACCGCTCAGAGGTGCGGAGAATGGAGAGTGCAGCTTCCGCCCGCTAAATCGAGTGGTCTATAGCGCATGGAAGCTGCAGACTGAACGGCGATTTCCGCACTGCCTCCTTCAGCCTGCCCTTTGCAACGCATGCGAGAAGGCGGAAATTTCTGCTTCCTGCGGATTTCGCTGAACCTGGACGGAGGGGGGCTGTGTATTCGGGAGCCGAGCTATTAGAGGACACCTCGTCATCAGCTTCGGCAGAGTGCGGTCTTGCGAAACGGACCTTCTCCCCAAGAAAGGCGTTGCCTCCTCGTCTTGTTGAGCTTTCTTTTGTCACTTCTGCGCCATTTTTTTCTTGGGTGGAGCGCCAGCCGAGAAACCGCCCGCAGCACAGACCCAGCAGCAGCAGCATGAGCAGCAGCAGCGCAGCAGTAACTGCTGCTGCTGCGACTTTGCGCTACTTGTGCAGCGAGCGCAGCGCAAGAAATAAAAGGGCCAACGGAGGGCACCGGATAACATCCCTGCTGCGATTCCTTTAGAAGCTTCCTCTCTACACATTAAGTCAGCGCCGCGAGAATCCGCAGCAGCAGCAGCAGCGGCAGCAGCAGCAGCAGTCGCCACGTGCTGCAACAGCCTAAACCGCACAGCTACATTCGCTTGCTGCGTTTGCCGAGAGTGTATGTCCACAAGGATTCATCAGCGACAGCGACGGGAGCAACAGTAACAGCAGCGGCAGCTGCCCAGCAGCCGCTGCTGCCTTCCCTGCCTACGCAAGGCAGACTGGCAATTCAGTAGCACGGCTGCACGAGTAGGAGAAATACCGCCTCTGACCGCGTTCCGCCGGCTTTTGCGGTGGCTGTCGTCTGAGGTGTATGCAGCGGATTCACGCTAACGGCTTGAGTGCGCATTCGCAGCGAGCACACACTACACACACATCCGCAGGAGAGCAGCGCAGCAGCAGCCCTCTCCTGCAGCATCGTCCGCTGAATCGAGGCGCTGCAGAGAGAGACAGCAGCGCATGCAAAAGACTGGGTGCTGCGACTGCGTAGAGGGATTTAACCGTAGAGCTCTGTCCAGCTTTTAGGCCTGCGAGTGTATGTACATACACACATATGAATATATACATATATATGCATCAGCAGCAGCAGCCCGTTCCACATAGTCAATGCAACTCGCAAGACAGCGTGAACGCACAGAACAGCAGCAAAGGCAACTGCTGAGCCGTTCTCGTTGCTGCGCACCGGCGCATGCAACACAACTTGCACTTACATTTTCTTGTAGATTAAATCAAAGCGATCGGCTTAGACCGCAGCCGCCGTTGCTGCGCTGCGGCTACTGCGGCTGCCTCCGTTGCTCACCTCCTACACAGGCAACTCTGCGGAAGGGTAGCGGCTGCAGCTGCCTGTTCTCCCACATAACGCAGCAGCAGCAGCAGCAGCAGCAGCAGCAGCAGCAGCAGCAGCAGCAGCGAACGGGGTTGCTTTTTACCGACCATCTAGCGACTCCCTATTTTATCAGGAGAATGAACAGGGCCTAGCTGTCGCAAAAACAGCAGCAGCAGCAGCAGCAGCAGCAGCAGCGCCTCGTTTCCTGCAGTATGGGCAACAACGACAGACTTACCGTGAGGAGTGCTGCTTCCAGGCAGCAGCAGCAGCCACGGCAACGATGCCAGTTCCCAGGAAAGTCTTCACAGCAAACGGATCAGGCTCAAGGTGACGCTCATCGTCTGCGCTACAACGTACAGCAGCAAGACGAGCAGCAAGACGAGCAGCAAGACGAGCAGCAAGACGAGCAGCAGGATGAACAACAACAACACCAACAACAGGAGCAACCGGATGATAGGGAGAAGTGTGCAGTGCGACTGGTGCCGTCAGGCAGCTCTCCACTGTCTCAGGAGGACGTGCACCAACATGCCGATAGACATGCCGCAGCAGGAGGCGTTTTTTTGGAGGCTTCTAGCGCATGCATGGCCGTGTGGGCTTCCTCTGCTGCCTCACCGGGTGTCTGTGAGGCAGTAGGAGATGTAGCGAGAGCTCCAGCGCATGCTGCAAACTCTGAATCTCTCGCTGCTGCAGGCGTCTCACAGCCTCCAGTTGCTGCAGGCCGCTCAGAGGGAGCACTAGTGAGACACCTGAGGAGTGGCAGCCTCCTTCGCGACAGCCCTCTACTACACGGCAGTGATGCGCACAGTGTTGCTGTCGGAGTCGCTTTTATCGGCAGAGACTCCAAGACAGACGAGCCGTCGGTCGCCTCTCTCCCGGGAGCTGATGGAGCGGGTGCTGCAGAAGAAGAAGACACATCCGCGAACATGCTGGCACTGCAAGCTAGCTGCTGCAGCAGCAGCAGCAGTAGCAGCAGCAGCAATGACAGCAGCAGCAATGACAGCCCACCAGAAATAGGTGCAGCGGTCTGTCAAGGCAGCAATCGTACGCTGCTGCATGATATGCTTACCGTCGCTGCTCCCCTGCCAGTCTCGAACGGCTGCCTCGAGACGTGCAGCGAAAAGCTGCTGTTGAAGCCTTCTCAGCATCCACCCCTTGCTGCTACTACTGCTCTCCCCCTTGCTGCTCCTCCTCTTCCTCCTCCTGCTGACGCTGCTTCTGCGTTTTCTTTTGTTTCTCCGGCTGCTGCGATGTCTACAGACCCCGGCTTTTGGGGAAGCAGCATTGCTACCACCACCACGACCACTACCACTACTATGCTGCACACTCAACAGAAGCAGCTGCCTCACAGCCATCAGCGCGCTCAGCGAGAAACAGCAGGGGGCACGGAGATCTCTGATTCTACCGGAGAAGAGCAACACCAGCACTGCCAGCGGCAAAAGCCGCTGCGCACAAGACGTTCCGTCACAAAAAGCAGTGCAGCACCTGATGCCTGCGTAGTAGCAGGAGGCGTCGCTGTGCACGCAGAGCAGCAGCCGCAGCAACAGCAACACGGGGAGAACGCAGACGCATCAGCTCCTCCAGAGCAAACAACACCGTCTTCTGCTGCCCCCATCGCTCGCAAGGCGTGCGAAGAGGCTAACGCGCAGCCGCAGTGGCAGCGACACTCGCACACCCACTGCACTGGCGAGGGCATGAAAGAACACTTCGGCGACTGCCTTGCTAGTAGCAGCAACAGCAGCGACGGCAGCAACAGCAGCAGGGATAGCGACGCCATGCGCTGCAGCACAGACGATGACGGAACGATGCATGTGGACGCTGATGAAAGGGATGATGTGGCCATGCAGCAATTGACGCCTTCTTCGGAAAAAGTACCTGCAAGTCGTACTGGCGGATTCAGCCGAGGCATCGCTATGCAGGCAGTAGGACGGCAGCTGCCAGAGTTCTTCCCGCAACAGCAACAGGAGCAGCAGCAGCAACAGCAGCAGCAGCAGCGGCAGGAAGAGGAGGTCGCGCCATATGGCAGTGTATCGTCGCCTCCTCGTTGCAGCGGATACAACGCGAACAATGCCTCGTTGCCGCTCGTGTTGCAGCAGCAACAGCAGCAGCAACAGCAACAGCAACCGCAACAGCAGCAACCGCAACAGCAGCAGCAACAGCAGCAACAGCAGCAGCAGCAGCACGACTGGCAGGAACAGGGGGCGTTGTCTGTGCAGGAAGAGCAGCAAGAGGCCTTCCTGAGGGAAGCAGCGGCAGTGGCAGCGCAGCCGCTCGCGTTTGAGTGTATGGATACGGATTGCGATCCGCCAGCTGTCTACGCAGCGGTTCCGCAGCATCGACGTCAACACATGCATCAGCAGGAGCAGCAGGAGCAGTTCTCGGAGAACGCGCAGGCTGCAGATGCCATGAATGCCACGGAGGAGGCAAGGAAGGTGTGTGTCTGTGTATGCAGAAGGGCCATCTTTGTGTGTGAGAGGGTGTCTAAGCCTCTCTCTGGGGGGAGGGGGGGCACGTTTGTCTTATTTTTCCACTTCTGTGGGAGACGTATTCTATTTGCACGCGATGGAGTGTATGCTGTTGGTTTTGCGTGTTTTGCGACTCCTGGTGTAGGCTGAAGAGGAGGCTGAAGTAGAGGAGTTGCTGCAGTACTATGCCACTCCACACCCGTCCGAAGCCCGCTATCTGCACTTGACGGCTCTCATCTATTTGCATTTTCTGAGTGCGCAGCAGGAAGCGGCCAGTGTAGTAGGGGGGAGGGGAGAGGAGAGGGCGGAGAGGTATCACGAGGGTGTGGAGGCTTTTGGGGGAGTCATCCTGCGTTGCCTTTGGTTCGGGGAACGCTGTGTATGGACGGGTATATTGGCACATTTTCTCGAGAGGATTTCAAGCGTGTTTTTGAAGCAGGCAGCGTACTGCAACTGTGAAGTCGTGACTATATTGGCCATGGAAAGCGCAGAAAGCGTTCCCTGGGTGTGCAGGTGCAGCCTTGCGCCTGCATGTGTTTCTCGGGGTGTGGCATCTCAGATTCGCATTTCCAGAGTTCTCCTTTCGGGTGATCTTTGTGTGTCTGGCTGCATGCAGACTATCTGGATAGAGGCTTTTGTGGGGAGGCCTCGTGTGGGGACCTCAATGCGGACTGCCCCTTCGTCTTCGACTTGGGAGACTCTCGTCGCAGCAGCTACGGCACGGCGTCGCTCTTTGATTTGTTCAGCGCTCTGCTGCAGCGTTACGGGTCTGCTGCTGTGGAGGCCGTCTTTGCGCTCGTGGCAGTTCCTCTGAGGTTCACGCATTATATCCAGTGTCATGTGCTGGGGGAGCAGCGTGCTCACGTGCAGCAGGAGGTGGGAAGCGGCGATTTCGGTGGTTGCAGAGACTGCAAACAGCGGCTTTCTTCTCACGTCCCTTCGCCCTTCCTTAGACGTGTGTACAACGGAGTCGTCCCCTGCTGCTGCGGGGTGTCTGGCCTTGCTTCGCAGCCTGCAGCAGCAGCCGTGGTAGGCTGTGTCGATGCTCTTCCTCCCCCCTTTCCCAAGTCTCTTCGTCGGCTGTTGCCTCCTAGACGGCAGGCGTTCGGAGGGGAGGCGGAGTCGGTCGAGGCAGCCTCCCCTGCGGAGGGGGCTGAGCACGAAGGCTGTTGTGCTGGCAGGAGCAACGCGCAGCAAGCCACTGCGCCAGAAGCTTCTGCATGCAGCCACAGCGACCGCTGCAGGCTGCGTGCCAGCAGGCGCGCAGCCTGCAGCGGCCGCTGTGGCTGTGAGCGAAGAAGGATAGAGACGGTTGAAGGGACGGAAGGCTGCAGCAGTCCTGTCCCCTTTAGCGCGCGAGATGTTGCGCGACGCTCGTATACAGTCTATGACTTTATCATTTCGTGCTTGGGAGACGGCTTTCCGGCTTTTTTTCCAGCAGACACCCCCCTTGCATGCATGCGCCTCTCCACAGCGAGCGATGCCACCTTCCGCTGCAGGGGTCCAGGGAACGCTCCCACTGACGCGTGCCTTTTCTTTCGCTCTTTCCTCGACAGATTTGCTGGCGTTGCTGCGACAACGCTGCTTCAAGGCCTTCACCCTGCCACATGCAGCAGAGGCAGCAACCCTTACCACATCACCAAGCTGCTCGAGCTGTTGCTCTTCTGCACAAATGGCTCTATCGAGAACCTGCCTTCCCACGTCGTGGTGGCGCACCCAGGGGATGCCGGGAGCCGAGTCTTGAGCAAAAGCAGCAGCAAAAGCAGCAGCAAAAGCAGCAGCAAAGGCAGCAGCAAAAGCAGCAGCGGCAGTGAGACCACTGGAGGTCAGGGGGGGGTAGTACCGTCCTTGGCAGAGGAGGCGACCACGGGGGCGTTTCTGCAGCAAATGATTTCATCGGATGCGGAAGAAGCCTTTCCCTTGGGCGCTGCCTTCCGATTGACAGAAGAAGAAACGTATTCTTCGGGGAGACAGAGTGCAACTGACATTACCCATGCAAGTGCCGCTCTGTCTCTCTCCGAGGTGTTGCGTCACTTGATTTTGTCGCTCTCCTTTCCCTCTTCTCAGGAGTTGCTGCTGCGCATCACCGGCAGCAACAGCGCATGCGTGGGGCCTGTTGGAGCACCCGTCCTTCAGGCGCTCCTCGAGGGGTGTAGCTGGAGAGCCTTTGTCGCCGCATTGCTGAGACAGAGACAGTTTGACAGACGAAGCGACTTGGTCCTGCAGCTAGCCAGTGAGACCGCAGAACCAAGCTGCAGCTCTTGCTGCTGCAGCTCTTGTTGCAGCTGCTCTTTTTGCTGCTGCTCCTGCGTCAGCAGCCCTTCGGAGAGGGCGCAGCACCAAGAGGAACCTTCGCAGCAGGCAGTGAGGCTTTTTGAGGTCGGCCGTATCGGCAGCCGCAAACGACGGTCGTCTGCGGCAGAAGTCTTTGAGGGGGCTTGTCGGTCCTTCCGCTTCTCCAGGAGGCGGCAGCAGGGGCAGCTCCTCAGCAGCAGCAGCAGCAGCAGCAGCAGTAGTAGTAGTAGTGGAGAGAGCAACTCCGTGCCGTGCACGATGCAGAATGTCTTTTCTGACGCTGCCTTGGGAACTCGGCTTCAGTTTTCATCTTCTGGGTCGCTGGGCAGAAGTTGCTGTCGCTGCTGCTGCGCATGGGCAGCGTTTGAGCGGCGATCCACTCGCGCAGCTGTACGCAGCAAGGGGGAGAGGCTGTTGCTGCGCCGCGAGCTGCAGCAGCAGAGGCGCCAGCAAAAACGGAAGCAACAGCATTCGGAAGGAGGGTTCTGCTCGGTGCAGCAGCAGCAGCAGTTGCAGCAACAGCAGCTGCAGCAACAGCAGTTGCAGCAGCAGCAGTTGCAGCAGCAGCAGCTGCAGCAGAGGCGCAGCATGCAGCTGCTCGGAGGCACAGGAAGCGTCTCGGGGTGGAAGCCAAAGGCTGCGCGTAGCAGCGGTGGGGGGGGACGCGGTAGTAGGAGGCGGCCTTCAACTACGAAGTAAGGCAGCTCACAGACCACCTAATAATACAGTCTCTAGAGCTGATGTACTGCCGATATATATATATATA